TACTAGTATTAAGTAATACTAATAAATAGTAATAGAATTATATTAAAATTTATATTTTTAAGCTTACTAAGGTAGTATTTTAAATTAGTAAGTACTGTAATTATAAAACCGTTAAGGTTAAATAAAGACTATAGTTAGTATACTTTATTAAAATATAAGCTTTATTACATTACCTCCGGAAATCGGCTTTGGAAATGTCTTATATAAAGCCCCTTACTTAACAATAGACCAGACCGTAAGCTCTTAAGTTTCCCGATATTAGCCCAGGTTCCTATTACAGGGAACTCTAACTCATCACAACTAATTAACAATGCTGTTTAGTTCGTTTCCGTCCCATCTGTAACGTTTGCTATAGCCTATTCTAACAGACCTAAGATCAGCCGCTATAAAACAGTAACTAAGCAAACGATATTTAACACGAACACTGCTTACATCCTATGCAGTTATTAATATAAGTACAAGGCCAATAGAATAGCTAGCAAGCGCAAGGTTAAATGCCAGAGACCAATTCTCAATGCCCCTATCTAGGCATCGATTCATTCATTACTACTCACTCCTCCAGGGCTTATCTCCAGGACTTAACCCTCCACCACGACAATTAATACCAGTAACTTGTAACAATCCATTCTAGTATTCACATTAGGAACTCACAGTCGGTTCAACTCTAACAGAAAGCCTATCTTTCTAACCCAATTAACCAGAGGCTAAACTTAACTTAGTCTGAACATCCTAACTCAAGGGCTGTTGTCAGGACGCTGCGCTATACGTACTAGCTTGACTTCGCAGTGATTATCCAACATCCATTCTAAGCTGGCATTTTCATAGGACCCCAGGTCTTAATGTAAGTCTGCAGACAGGAAGGATATTCTGTCGGTCTGGCGAAACAACTGGTATGCCAATCACTTCTACCGTCTAGCTACTTCAACATTCCAAGATTATCCAACAAATCTTAGCCATCAGGCTTACCCTATCTTTTTATCGTATAAGGCAGTATTAGGCAAACTAGCAAAATTTACGACGGTTAATCGATGTAAGCCTGGAACAGATTATAGGATGTCAATATGAGAAGGCTAAGTCCCGCAGTTTGACACTGATTATAGTAAGCACGTAAACGCTGGTGTGGTTTTTCGCCGGCTACGTAAAAGGCATAGCCCATGTGATAAAGAAGCGGGCATGGTATAAAGCTATTTCACGATCTGCGCACCGCTATTGCCGACTGACATAAGGGTCAAATAAGAAGAACAAACATTTGGTGGCCAGCATAAGTTCCGAAGGACAAGTTTCCGACTACCGATCTGCTGAAGTGAGTCCAATTTAATGACTGGTCCATTAGTCTCTAGCTTTATGATTAACTACAGTTTCTTGGTATAGGTATTGATGAGGCAAGCCGACACTTCTCTCTTCCTGTGATGACTGCCTACTACAGTGACGATTCTTAAGGATAGCAGTAGGTCCTCTAGCATTATATGAGTGTGTGGTCATACCCTCAACACCGATGTCCTTAAGTGCAACTTCAAATAATACCATCTCCGTCGTTGTTAAGTTCTGTTCAATAGGTACCTTAGTATCAGGCTAGAGGCTAACACCCTTCATCCTTACATGCTTGCAGTCGCCGATAACCAGTAAAAGATCGACCAGAAAGGCTCCTTTCCTTGAACATGATATTCGAGATCCCTTAACTACTTGCCAAGCGTTATTAATACTAAATCACATTAACGATGTTTTGTCAGCGATGCAAAGGGCTCCTCTACGCAGCTTGCGCAGTGATTCATATCATGGTTAATGTTCTAAAGGCTTGACCGAAGGATTCGCTTCATTAAGACATATGTAGCTAACAAGGTGCTTGAAGACAAGCTGCAAAACCCTGTCAGAGGCGCCAGCGTCCATAATCTGTAAGCTTAACGACTTACAGTCTCCTCATGCTAAGAGATAGTAGGTCCTTACATATAAGCTTGCGGCCGCTTTAAGAAAGCATCTATTGGTTCACAGATTGATAAAGGTTCAAGGCTTAGAGGCCATCTTACAAGGCTGAAATAATTCAGGCCTGACCATCCCCAGTCAGCTATATGTTGTATAGCGAGCCAAGGTACAGCTCCGTTCCAGGAAGATGGAATGATCTCCCAAGACTTCCGTATACATTAATTGGAGTCAGTAGTAGTAGTAGAGATAAGTCAAGAGTGTAGGAGTTCAGCAAGTACTGGATTGAAGTAAGATTAAAGACTTATTCAAACAGCTTTTTAGGCAATAGGCGGTATTTATTAATTGATATCTCGCTATATTTGATTAAGTCTGGCGTCTGGTAATATGTAATGAACGTAAGTGAATTAATTTGCATATCCAGATTTCTTTAAGAAATGATTATTATATTATTTATTCCTTTAGCTCCAGATACAATAGAGTAATAGTGTAGACTTGGTGCCGTAGCATGGGAGCCAACTGAGGCTATTATCTCGAATTCAAAAGAGCATTTAAATAGGCAAAATCATTAATCATGGTTTTGCATCCTGAATACGAGCGATTGTCGAAAGGATATTTATACAAAGCTCTCTGCGCCTATTGCTGATAAAGAGAACCTGGTCTCTTTTCTTTACAATGGCAAACACAGGTGTTCAGCAGTGGTATTCAATTATGCGTTTTACAAGAGTCGCGAGTGTCTTGTAGTTGATCAAGTCTGAGATCCCTTTCTGCGCCTTGACATCCCCAGCCGAAACTTGGTGCCGAATGTGCTGGCTACGCGAATAACAATCATGGCCAAAAATCGCGTTAGTACAGTGAAAAATTCCTTTCTCTTGACCTTTATCCGGTTATCAGAGTAAAGCTACCAGATCCTGCTACTTGGCTTTGTATCACGTTAACTAACCCAGCCGTATTCTATCATCCTACTTCGTCAAGAGAAACGAAAGTGTGATTACATTTAGCAACAGCTGTTATTAGAGGACGATCTCACCCCCTGGTTTTGGCCGACTTGCACGCTGGGCTTAGTGTTGTTAACTGTTGTGGTGCCTATGCGCTCCCTGTCCTGCCTTAGCAGATATAACTGGACAGAAAGACAGAAAGCCGACCGACGGGGACATAAGTATGGCACCTCAAAGAGAGTGTCCTCACTGCCACGTGACTAGGAGCGCTGATAATACCGATACCAATGTCAGTCCGCAAACATCTGTTACCAAAAAAACAGCCCTATCTTGTAATAGGAAGCCATAGCAGCGCGAGATAGTGTTTGGCTTTTAACACTTAGGCAGAGGTTTTATCATTAAGGATTAATATACAAGAAAGTAAACATAGTCCATATACACAGATTATGCATGTCTGCTTATGGAATGATTGTAACTGAGTGCACATAAAAGCAAGATATCTTTGCTTTTTCTCAAACCTATCTTATAAAGAAAGGACTAGGGAAATGACTATTGCTTAAGACGCACCATTGACCTCAGCATCGGTCTTCCTCAGCCCAGCTACTCGCCTGGTTTCATAAAGAGACAGATATTCGACAGTCAAGAAGCGGAGTTACATTTTATTTATATTTTCAAGCTAATATCTCTGAAAAGAGCGCACTATCTGCTTTATAGCAAGACTGTGACAAGCACGAGAGTTACCTGGATCTCTTGATGGCCTGGGGAAAGATATATAGCAAGTATTAACAACTCAAAAAGATAGGTGCTCCAACATATCCATCGACAGCTTGGCAACCAAATTTCTATGCCAGGCCTAAAGGGAAATGAAATACTCTAACTGGAAGTATTCCAATTGGTATTCAGGACGTAAAGTACCTATCGTATTGACATTTAAAGTTAAATCAAGGCCTACAAAGGGTCCGTTATAATAAGACTTGTATAATGTAATTCTATTGCTATGCTGCTAATTTAAGCGTATCTTATACTACAATTTACTTTTTAACTTATTATAATACTTTATTTATATAATAGACCTACTTTTCTATTTTAAATTTACTATAAGAAAATATATATTTAGCCTAACTTTTTATTAATAAGGAAAAAACCTTTAAGTAATAATCCCTTTTTTATTAAATATCAAACCAGGTTATAATAAAAATATTTTTTTTAATAAACTTATAATTTTAAGCCTTTTTATTAGCTAGCTAACTTCTTATATATTAATATTATAATTTCTTAGTTAACTTAAGTATAAGCTAGGGTAGTTTTTACTAGTAATTAGGCCCTGGGTTTTTTAGCTTTTTAGGGTTAGGGGCCGCGGGGTTTAAACCTACTACCTTTAGCTGCCTAGTCAGCTTTCTAGTCAGGCCAGTGACGTTTAGTAATGAGACTTGTGTTTTTGCAATTGTGCGTGCTAGCAGCAACTTTGGACGCCATCAAGGTAAACCTTTGGCCAAAGCCTGAAGGGCGCCGTGAGGCGAGACTGCACACATTTGTTATAATCGTGCCAAACGGCATCTTGGCTTCCAACGTTGGTACGACCTGTAGGTTAGCTGATCCACCCTCAACAGCAAGTGTGATCAACCAAGCCTCGTGTCAAGCCACTCCAAGGAGCTCGCGTGCCTTTTTTATTCAAGTCTCAGTAACTTCCCCAGGTCTACATCCTCCTGCGGAATACCTGGTATAAGGCGCTGTAGCAGCTGTTGCTTCACTGCATACAAACCATTACTGACTCTTTAAAGTAATCGTCAGGCAGCGACCGCCTCTGTCCCTGAGAAGAGAACACAAGACAACGAACCAAGAACACTAGATGAAAGTGCCCAATAACTGCAAGAACAACCGCCCGTCCTTCGAGGACGCCGCTGCGTCTTGTACCTCACTAGTCGCGGAACCAGTTGATACCCTCGACCACGCTCTACGAACTAAAGTATGTGCTGTCTTTCGTGATGCATAGAGAACTACGGCAACACACCGAAAGCGTGTCGTGAATATACAAGAGATTCAGGAATCTTACACCTATAAGCTAATAAACACAGGCCAGTCTCAAGCCAGCACGTACTACACTCGAACGTCTTCTCATCCGCCTCCCCCAGCGAGCCCAGGCCAGCCCTTCTATAATAGCGGCCACCGCTACACTAACTCAAGTTCTCATGTGAGTTTCTCGCCGTAACTGCTTACGCTTCATGGCCTAACATATGTCCCATTCCAGGATCCGCAGGGCTCCCAGCTTTGATCCAAGGGAACTACTCGGAGTCTGTAAAAAGTGTAAGTAATTCTCTAATAGCCTTCTTTCCACTGTGCTCTTGCGTCACTGACTTCCCGACCAGACAACAAAGAATGGCCAAGAACATTGCCTGCAAAGGCATCATCAACGGCCTAAAAGTCCTGTTGTCGAACGGCGTCTCTGGAGTCAGTCATCGGGATACTAACTTTTCAGCCAAAACCAAGATCCTAGGCAACAGTGAGGGTAATGAGTATCTTGCCTGTATGTGTTTATTGGTGTTCTTTACCTTTGTGCGCTGGGGGCTAAAGCCTCTTTTAACTACCCACAACCTTATCGCAGTCGAACGGCGTCACCAGAATGAGTCACTGCCCCGAACAGGCAGGGGGGTGAGACTGCGGCGAGGCGCCCTCACCTCTTTGAGTGACATCCGATCACCTTTTCGTATTTTATCGAGGGTGTGATTCCCCAGCGACACAGACTCTCAACGTGCCTCGCGCCCAAGACATTTTTATCGACAAGTCGTTAGTATTAATAACCAAGAAAGATCCTGCTACGTATCGAGAGTGTGGCTTTGCTCCCGTACAACATCGTCTAGGCTTGCAGTACGCAGGTGTAGCGATCGGAGACAGGAGCCATTTCAAGGATACACGTCAGGCGTCCGCTCCCCGACGACAACCCAGCCAATTTCTCTTACTTCTACAATACGTCAGGCCTCCAAACCTGCTATATCGCCCCTAAGCGCTTCTGGAGAGGCGCCGCTGAAGAATGCGAGGATGATATCGGCAATGGACATCTTCAGTGCTGGTTGTATCATTGCGCAATTGTTTCTTAAGTCTGACATCTTTAGCCTTGTATAGCTGTACAAGCATCGGCGTGGCAGCCATTTTGTTTTCCAAGAAAGATAATCAAGAACCTACGGTCTACCCAGGCACGGTCACGGTCGAGTCTTATCGCTGTCTTTTATGATGCTCTTCGTGAGCGCGATCTTTGATGTCCTCGCCAACGCTGATTCGTGCCGGATCATTAGGAAGCCATGATGGCCGAGGCCGAAGGTCGAGCGGGGCTCTGATGATCCCTTGTAGTTCCATAACGACGGCAGTAAATGTGCTCCGTCAGTACTTGCCTGGATGTGATCACGGCCTAACAAGAAGTAGTCTCAACCCGATAGAAAATTGCATCGTCTACAGAAGCTACTGCAGAACAACACCCCAAGCTCTATCTCGGCATGGAGCTGCGGATGTACCATTATTGCCGCTCGGGATTGGATGGTTTGCAATGGGATGAGTTTTATCCTTCGCAGGAGTATTTTGCATGGGGGGCGGGACGAATGACGAAGCTTGTATTGATGTCAAAGGGTCGAAAATTCAGAACGGCCTTGTGCTTGATATTGGATGGAAAGTCAAAGGCCTTCAGCTAATCGTGTATGCGTAACGGGACAAGATGAGAGGAGCCGTCAGTTCCTAATCGGATTGCAAGGAGTTAGTCGCTGCATTTGTAGCAGAATGAGGGTGAACGCGTGCAGATGTCGCGCTGAGGGTGCTACCAATGCCTGAGTAGAATTATAACGTCAGGCAAGTCAAGTAGATGTACGTACCATCAAGGACGCGATTCAATGTAGAAATAAAGTGCAATGGCGCAGCCTAAGGATAGAATAATCTCTCTGTCAGTCGCATGTCGATACAAATCGTTTCGGCTCCTATGCTTTGTAAGGAAAGCAGATGACGGGTGCTGAATTGAAAACAAACACTAAAGTAAGATCCCAGGACCTTCAGTTGGGTCACTAACCAGAGTTTGCAAGGTCGGTTTTGGACCCCTGCTAGCCTCTGCTAAGGTGTACCTGTGCCTCATAGATAAATTTTGTAAATACCGCATGAATAACTAATAAGGGATTTTGAAAGTCCGGCACTACTGTCCACGCTATTTACACATTTACTTACTTAAGGTCTTATAGGAGGAACACTGTGAAAACATACCGGGATACTACGGTATCCATTCTAATTACAATACTGATTGGTATTGTTATTGACGTTGAAACGACGAACTTTACCATCTCGTTATCATTCTTATAGCTTTTACATGCTAATCTTTCGTGGACGTCTGGTTTCTCAGAGAGATCTCAGCCGTCGCACGAACAATGCCGACTGCCTTAGCAGGGAGAAAATCCGTAGTAAGAAGTGTGAAAAAGGCAGACATCAAACAGCTGACATGTCATATTTTTGTTTTGCAGGTATCCCTAGTATAGGACGGAATATCAAAGTAAAGGAAAGTGGACTCCATTCTCAAACCACCAATCTAACAGGACATAACTTTAACCTAGTAACTGCCTAATCTACACTCCCAAGGTGGCTCGATAATTCTAGAGCGGAGTTTGGAAACAGCGGCAATGCTATGGTAGGCTGGTGCCTGTTAACGGAGGATGAACAAGGAGCAAGGGTCCAGTAGACACTATACAAGGCAATTAAAAGGCTTCCCGTCTTGGAGAGTGGGACATAGGCTGGAAGACGTGTATTTGGGTGCATCTATTACCGGAAGCACCGGGGTTTGCTAGATCACTAGGCAGCAGCTTCCTGAGACTGCTGTAACTCCAGTATGTCCCCTTGGATATAAAGCGGCTCAAGGAACTCTTAGAGCCGTCACACCACCACAAACACTCCATCGGACATCCCAACCAAAGGATATTCTTCAAACCAATTTCACAATCTTATCATATCTCCTATCATTATGAAGCTTAGCAATGTCTTGAGTGTTTGCGCACTTGCAAGCACAATCCAAGCCGCACCCACCGATGCAGGAGCAGACTCGACGATACTTCCTGTACGCTTCTTCTCCCCATATACTAGAGGATATGCACTAAGCCATTTAATTAGCGTGACGTTAATACATGCAGATCACCTGGCGAGCATCAATGTGCAGTCATCGTCTGGGCTAGCCTCGCATCATTTGGCATCCCAGGGAGTACTACAGGCGGATCTGGAGTAAAGGTTGTTGGAGGCAGCTGTGACAACATTATTGCAGATGGCAAACTGAAGCGCGATAGCCCTGGTTTCAGCGCCGATTTCACTACTACCTATGGGCCTCATGTATACTTTGGCGCGAACACAATTGGTCTTCGCAATATCGGCGGTGTTAGATACCAATATCGCGGGAAGAGCTACAACCAGGGTAACTGCTTTAACACTGGTGGTACAAGCGGAACTATGGCTGTTGATGCTATTCAGTGCAATTTCGACTGCTGATATGGAGTTAAATCCGAGGGTTTTGTCAAGCAGGTGCTAGAGTGTCTATTTGAGGCAGTGATACTGGAGGCATAATGCAATGTTGAAACGATACAATGTACCCTTTTATTAGCAGTAACTAGGTAGTGATAAGTAAGACAGCAGGTTTCCTACATGGCAAGCTTTAACCGCGGGTTTAAGCTCTTACTTAAGAGCCTCAACTGCAAATCTTGGACTACTTATATCACGAGCCAACGAGGATACACTGTCATCTTTGTCACCAGTGGTATACCGAGACTCCACTGAATTAGAGATCACTGCTTTGTAGGGAAACAAGCTCTCCGAGATATTAGATTATATTCGCGTATGGACGCTGTTTTTCGACTAATACTCCATCATTCGGGTTGTACTCGGATCCATCATCAAGAAGAGTTCGACTGCTCAGGGAAGCATTTATTCGGGACAAGGTCGTCAAACCAGAATTGACATCAACTTGTCGCACCTTGATGCCCTCAGCCAACACAGTCGCTGATCGACCGACTTCAACGGCGCGCCAGGATTCTACTACTAGAGATGTATCTCAATGCTGTATCCCCTTTAATTGGACGGGCTGCACTCTGTTTCAATCAATCCTCGTAATGCACTGGGGAGATGTTAATTATGATTCATAAATAGCATCATTTTCTGGTAACGCCCTTATTTATACCCAATTGTTGCCTTATAATTGCATCGCCAGAAAGCGTTAGGCAAAGGGCTTGAGTGAAGCTACTCAAGTTCTTGTGCAGGCTTGTTACTCTGCTACCCTCAACGTCTCGTTACATCAACCTTCATAATCACAAACAGCCAACGACCTGGTGACATTACCCACGCCTTCTACATCATCATCTCGGCCTATTGTCTTCATTTGGTGATCGCCAATTGACTCAATCGATCAGCCAGCGACTCGTGGCAATAATGGCCTTCGAGTTTAAGAGACAACAACCTAATTCGCGACGAAATCAAACATATGACTTCGCAGATAATGGGCGTACTGGCTGGATCTCAATTTTATTTGTTTGTGATCATCCTCTGACAAGTCTGTTCCCTAACCTCGCACGATCTGTTTTACCATAGGACAGAATTAGATTGACTCGTCACCCGCATGTGCATTCTACGTCACTGGGAAGGCAAATATCGGGGCTTTCAACTGGCTTTACATGTTTGAAGACCGGTCAGTATATCCAAGAGAAAAGCCGGCCCCAAGTTGGCCCTATTTGGCTGCAAGGCCCTCCTCGTCACGGACTACCGTTGGCTGTCTAAATGGAATTGCGACACAACTAGATGTCGCATCAGCATGCGCAGACAATCAATAAAATAACAAAGTTCAGCCCTTTATTTTAATCCAGCCATAGGGAGTTCTATCTTATTACCACAAGCTTTTGTTTTGATCTAGCATCTCTCGATGTGTTGATGCTCGTTGTACTGCCCTGCGTTCCTTTGCCAACTTGTTCGCATGGTATCCAGACAGACAGCTTTTGACGCGACTAACAATTCTGATCCAATCAAACGCGTTACAATGCGTGAGGCCGGGGTGCATACAGATGCTGCCTCAGGCCAGTGGCTGGAAGGAAGCGAAAACTTACAGACAATCGCGCAAGCTCTTTGATCTTCCTGGCCTGCCACGTCTCGGAACCAGCTAATTTGAGCAATATCTCCGAGGTATCCGCACACAGTTTGATGGAATGAATTGGATAGCTCGCCGGCTTTAAGTCCAGTTAATTTAAGAATGGTAACTTGAGATTAAGTTTTGAAGTGATATTACTAAAGTGAGAATTGGTGAAATTGGTTCATTCTGACTAGTAAACATCTCGCCTTTCGGCCCTCTGTGACATGACAACCGACGTCTGCGTTTGAACTCACTCGCTTGGTCCAGGCTAATAGATTCAACCTTATGTTTCGAGACCCAGGAGTATTAATTGAACGGATACCGGGCCCAGTGAACCAAGTACTCGCGTCGCTCATCATAATACAAGGTGCAATAGCCGATTACTTCTCGAGTAACCAAGGCATTTTCATAGGGCTGTTAGTAAAGGTCGGCATACGGGTTATTGGTTTCCGAACGAAGTGTGCTATTCTCAGCCTGTTCGGAAAGTAAGTGGCTGAAGCTTAGGCGGCGATCCTTCATAGAAGAAGGAGCTGGCAAGGGCTTCCTTTAATCCGCCGCGGTATAACTTGGCCTCCAGCCAGGAGATATAGGCAAGACGTAGATGAGGGATGATCGATAACGTTGCGTAGTGTTTTCTTAAGGTGTATACTGGACTGTGGAAGCTGAGCTATAACGGCAAGAAGAATCAGATTCTTGGGAGGTGGATTGACGGTCAATGATGCCTGACACTCCTTTGGGGTGGCTTTCGTTAACACCGACAGAAGGCAAGGAGTCGTAAGGCATACCAAGACCCCAAGAGCTGAATGGTGGTGGCTCAAGGCGAGCAGCTGGCGAGTCATGTTCTGAGGGGGCGCTGTGGGCGACAGGCTTCAGACTGGAGACCCTGTAGGCTCCTCCTTAATCGGGGCTAAAGCGGCATTATGAATAGTGAGATTCATAGTCTCCAAGGGATCATTTGCCTCATCGACTGATGCGAAAGTCTCATGGAGACAGGTTGATGAAGATGTGGGTGTCAGACTTAAAAGACATGTTGGTGTGTAGATGTTGATATGAAGTGGAAAAAGGTCAGAGCTAGTGTGGGCGACACGATGAGGTTTTATGAGTTCATTTGAGAATAAAGCTCTTTGATAAAGTTGCTGTATGAAGACCATGAGTTGTTTGTGGAGTGAGAATATGCAATCATCTCACTGTAGGACACAGACCAATTGTGCGGTGAAGTTAGGTTCCTTTGACTTTTGATGTATGACGTGTTGACAGGGGCTCAATCACAATTATTTACCACCGTTGAAGCTAGATCAACCCCGCTTGAATGATGGAGATTGCGGCCTTACTATGTTTGTTCTCTAGGCAGGTCTCCGTCTAAGAGCGACACGTGTCGTTTATAGTAAGGATACCCACAGAGATATTGGCTACATTGATAGGCGGTGCTTGCATGATGTGACTTATTACATTAATAGAGAGGCGAAGCAGACTGGCTATGCATTTATGGTTTCCAGAACAAAGAGCGGATAGATCAAACAGCATTAGTGAATTAAGGCGCATGACAAAAAGTGGCTCCAGTGTGTGACTATCATGAATAAGAAAGTCTGGCTAATGACAGAGTTTATCTTGCAATTATAGCCGTTGCAAGCATTATGGAATTGGAATTCTACCATTATCAACGCTTAATAGTCAAAATACGTTCATTTAGGCCAGCACTGGCAGTGATAAACTTACCAAGATCAAGAGAAATGGTATACGCTGAGTTTATCTTCCACTTACAGCTAAATACAGTTACACCCCGGTCAGCCTGTGCAGTTGTACAAGACGTAGTACTGCCATTATGGGTCCTATTAACACAGACCCAGGCGACTACAGCTGTAGTAGCAGTGCTCAAATCTTAAACCGTTTTGTAAAATTGCTGACGAATGGTAGGACTATAAATAGTAACCCTAAAGACTTAGGTGTGGAATGCGCATAGCCTACTACGAGCTGTAATACCGGAGGAGCGCATAGTCGGACAGGACGAGACATATATACGACGATGGTCAACTGGAATTACCAAGCAAGAGAACAGCCAACAGCTAATACATATCAATCGTTCACAGCTTTTGCAAGGTGGTGGCAGATAAAACAGCAATTAGTCGATTACATTTAAAGAACTTTAGGCACCTAAGCGTGTAAGTCTTTGTTAATCTTTCAGCTATTGAGTGAAAGTATGCTAAGGTCTTTGGTGGATCACAGGTCAGACATATGCAGCTACATCTCCAGTTTCGTTGGACACGGGGAAGGACTGAAACAGGTTATGCTGTTGACATCTAATTACTCATCAGAATCGAGATAACTGGAGTTCTTTATTCCATAAAGTTGCAGTGGGGACTCTACTAGGACCTCTGACGCAGCAGTGGCTATGTAACTCCCTGGTCATCACTTCTTGGCTCGTCCCAAAGGCATTAAGATAAATAAACCGGGAGGCGAAGCTGGACCTGACTACAGCGATAAAGCCAGCCAGACAATGCTGTGACTGGGCTTGTTCGCGGATCACATAATGTGCAACTTATATACATCAGAGACAAGGGCCCACTATAAACGGTTCCAGACCTTAATATCCTAGCTGTTAAATGCCTTATATCTAAGTATACATCTATTTACCTCTAGTACAGTGCCATTTCCTAGGCAGTATCACTAAGCATTAACAAGGTACCAAGTTCCGGGATAAATATAGTAGTCTCCCTACAAGGCTAGAGAAGTACAGGTAACGCTAGTACACATTTACATATATGCTACGCGTAAAGGAGACTACCTCCGAGCTCTATATAGCATGTAGACCTAAAACAAGACACTAATAACACTGGATAACCTCAATGGTTACTGATAGGTATGCAATGCTACTTTACTATATATGAACAATATATGTAAGCTTAAAACGATGATCTCTGATAGTCTCAAGGCAACATAGTAGTATATAGGTATCGGCGTGTCGCACAGAACTTAGCCCGAGTTCTTGCTTACCCTAAAGAATGTTCTACAATATACAAGTAGTACTTTAGCTATTAGAATTTCCTATTTACTCCTCCTGTGTTCTATATTTAATATACCAGAGAACACCCAAGCTTTCTCTACTGGTCGCTACGGTAGAGTTATACCTTGGTGGTAGGACCAAGGGCGACCGTCACGCCTTCAATGCGCGCTGTTACTTGGAATGTCTACCTTACTATCGGCAAAGACGAGGACCCCGACGCCTTTGCCGGAATCCACCAAGTTCCGGGGAGCAATTTGGTCACCTTTCGCAACCTTTGCGACGAGCTACGCTTTTGCTTCGAATGCCCATACGATGTTGCAAATAATGAGAAAGAGGAACCCTGGACCGACATTGCCTTCTCGTTAAGTTAAGACAATTCCCCGAGTTTCTTGGATCCCGACTTAGCTTTCGTTACCGAGGCAAAATTGGGCCGTAGTGTACCAAGTATGGCGCCTTGCGCCCTAAAGAACAGAACGTCTTAACCCATTATATATACTATCATAAGAACTGCAGTCTACCTCCCGGTTCGTCAGTCGAGTCTCACATGCAGGGTTAGCTATATAGTGCATCAATGCCCTCTCTTATCATATAGTTGTACTAACTTTCATCCCAGCCCAATGCGCACAATGTCTCCCGATTCCTAGTTGTCGTCGCGATCAACGATACCTACAGTCTAATAGATCACCTGCCAATCCGAGACTCAGTCATGCCCCTGCGAAAAAAGCTCAAAGCTCGCTCCGTGTCTCCGAGCAAGCAATCAGCATCTGGGTCGATTTCACCCACGACAGAACTCGATGAGGAGTTTGAGAATGTAGTTGCACCTGCGAGCCTGGAAATCGACCTCGATGAGGCTAGAAAGGTCGCCAACGAGTTCAGATCCTCGTGTCTCAGTAGAGCAATATCATGTGCTTTTTCGGGTGAAGGAGAGTCGTGGTGTCCAGGTCCCCCGGTCGGCCCCGGCATTCAGGCTTGCCATATCATCCCTCAGCACCATTATCATGTATATCCTGTTACTTGCGGGGATGCAGACGACGATGTTCCTCCTGAAGCGAGTAATCGCAGGCTGAAAGAAGCATAGCAAAGCACGTGGAGCCCTAGGAACGGCATCCTACTTATGAAGCACCTCTATGAGTTTTTCGACGCATGACTCTTCTCTATACATCCCTATACACTCCGCATCCGAACTTTTGTACCATATAATGCTCTAACGAGATTCAATGGCCAAAGAGCTTCAATATCTAAGACCATCGATCGGAAGGCCCCACGCCATGTAATTGCTGACTGCATTTCTACTGCACTGCGCCCAACATGGATGAAACCAACCAATTAAGCCTGCATAAAACGAACTTGCTCCGCACTCCTTTGCTGCAGGAGGCCCACCACTTTTGATCTTTCGCTGTCAAGCTCATTGGGAGTCCCTCTTTCAACCTCTGCCGTTGATTTTATTCCTCTAAATACCCCTTTAGAATTATCTAGTCCATCATTAAGAAATTAAGACTACGCCAAAATGTCAGAGTCGACCAACAATAGTATCTTTACCCTTCAGGATATTCACGGTAAAGGTAAAGGACTCGTGGCTACCAGCAAGATTCTCAAGGGTACTCGTATTCTCTGCGAAGAGCCCGTTATAAGAGTTCCTGAAGATGCGCCCGACAGTCCGGTGCTACGGGCCTCCATACGCAGGCAGGTTGATCAACTTACTTCAGACCAACGGCAGGCCTTTCTATCTATGTGCAACGTGTATCCTGGCGAGACTGCCTCTCAATATCTTGGAATCATTCGAACTAACGCTCTTCCCATTGACACTGGGGGCGGCATCTTCCTTGATGCATGCAGCATCAATCACGCCTGCGATAATAACGCACAGAAAGCCTGGAATGATAACATCGGACGACACACTATCCATGCTTTGCGAGATATCGAAAAAGGCGAAGAGATCACCATCACATATATCGGTGTCCTGAATAATCGCAGAACCCGTCAAGAAGTGCTTCGAAAGAAGTTTATGTTTACTTGCGTGTGTAGGCTTTGTTCGTTGCCAGAACATTTGAGCGCAGAAAGCGACAGACGTCTTGATGGGATTCTGAGACTGGATAGCTGCATCGGTAGAGAGGGCCTCATGGGAATTCTGTCAGACCCGAAGCGGATACTTGGATACGTGGATCGACAAGTCCGACTATACAATGAACAAGGTCCCGACGATGTTGGCTTGCCGAGGGCCTTCTTTGATGCCGCACAGATTTGCGCCGCCCATGGAGACCTCGCTAGGGCACGAGTCTTTACCGAACGGGCGGCAGCTGGATGGCTTGTCGGAGAAGGTGACGATAGCCTCAGAGTGCTCAATACCAGACAGCTTGCTCGGAACCCTTCAAGCCACGATACATACGGGCACTCAGCGGCTTGGAGGACTGCCGCAGATGACATTCCTCAGGGACTGGGCTCAAACGAGTTTGAAGACTGGCTTTGGAAGAGGGAGAAAGATTGCAAACCCGAAGAGCAGGGACTTTTTCGCAACCAAGCGACGTTCCCAAGTTTCATCCAATTGCCCAACGAGACAGATGTGGATGACAACTTCTTCAAAACTAGAGACGGGGTCAACTATCAGCCTCGGCGACATTGGTGCTTTTTGGCAGAGATCACTGACTACCTAACCATTGTTCGTCTACAAATGGAAGTCAAGGACGTCGCCGACAAGAAAACCCAAGTTTTCTTCTATACAGGCGGGCGTGGCAGCGAAATAGCCCCGTCTCAGCTTTGCAAGGGGTACACCATTGCAATTCTCTACGCACAACAGCACGCATTTGCCTTTTCGGAACCAGGAATCCGTCACGAAGACCCCACGCTTGTCAAGGTATGTCTGTCGTTCCCTATGGACGACTTAGCTGAGGTATCTTTCTGATCTGTCTTGTTACCCCAATCATAGATCTTTCCACTGTCGTTACACAACCTGCTGGCGTTGAGTGACCAAGTCCAGCAATTCTCTAAGGAAACAAATAGTATTATGACATGCCATGGGTGCGAGAAACAGGCTACAGCTTTGAAGAAGTGTGCAAAGTGCTCGTTGTTCTGGTACTGTGACGCGGTAAGACAATCACAATCTACCTATACTATTCTATTGGAATGCTGATCGTAGCGCAATAAGGCATGCCAAAAGACGGGTTGGGTCAAGAAAGGTCACAAAGCAGACTGTAAGCTTCTTAGCGATGGTGATCTTAAGGGACTTTTCTCGCTTGACTGGGGTAACTTCCAAGAATTTGCCAGATTTCCGTTAGCTCACTCAGGTTATTAGTAGCTTTGAAAGGTGAAGAAGTTAGAAATTCCGTCAATAGTCTGGCAGAAAAACCTTGGATTGCATACTACATATTAAATATATTTCTTCAACTCATTTAGCTTTTCGTTCGATCGAATTTGATCTGTGGGCAGAGCTGATCAGAGGTTGTCTCGTAAGCGCCAACCACATCCCTCGCGAATGAGACTACTTATAGAGCAGCACTAGACACACTTGGCGACTGAAGTTCAGCTACGATAGCTCTTATACTTAGTAGTAGAGTATTCTCCAAGTCTCATCAGCGGCGACTGGGTATTGATAGGTTAGACAATTTGTACCAGTATTTCTCGTAAGATACTGCTTGACGCTTTCGCAAACGAGATTCGTACTAATCAAGAAGCTCCTAGCTCCACGTCCATATGGCAGTCCAAAAAGTGGGTGGCCATCCTGGCTACGTCTAGATAATGATCCAGTCAAGGAATGCCAAACAGCTTTGGTCCTGGGATTTGTTGCTTAAATTAAGGAGTTTTACATTCTAATGGTGTTCCTCGCTCATGCTGTAGGTGGAATAAAAGCCTGCTCTGTGTATCGCTCTCATTCTTATCTATTACCTCCTAGACCTCAGTGTGTTGTATGGGTCCCATAACTTGACAAAGAGAACAAAGGCAATTATAAGAGGCAGTGCCTCGGTGATCTCATCCAGCAACGTTGTAAATATGGGTCTAACCTTAGCCTCGCGCTCGGCACTTCGGCATGCTTATACGCTACTAATTGACATTAATGAACCAGTTTATACGTGGATTCAATTGTTTTCGTATAGAGCACTAACGTATTGCAAACTTTAAGATCCACCTTGGCAATAGTGATATCGGTTATCGGCAACATTGGCCTTCCTTATTTGGTCTTAGTCTCCAAGGCTGATTGATAAACCATAAGCTTGCTTAGTTGGCCCCTCTTGGCTCGAGTCAATACGTAATGTGGAATGTACGCGGCTTCATGAGGGCAACCCTTACGGCACTTGAATCAAATGCCGACAAGCCGTTGGACCTAGCATACACTCTATATACGGCCCGTGTTGCACACGTCATCCTCTTCAAGCTCGTATTGAAGTTCTTCCCTTTGCTCGAATCAGCTAGCAAGATGTCGATGATGGGTGCTTTGACTCTTTATAACATTGATTTCGAGTATTCCTTCTATCATGCAATGACCGCGTAGCATCATAGTGAAACTTTATCCTCAAGAGAAACGCCCGCAGGCATTTAGCATCTCACAGGAATATTTGAGGAGTAAGATAGAAGATGGAGGACACTTAGTATTTTTCAGAGTATAAAGTCTCCTCTTACTCACTGTCTAATTCCGTTTCAACACCTCCTCAGAGATCATTCTCAAGACAAGTTCACTCCTATCATCACAACCTCGTTTCTACATTTTCTTCTTCTCAACAATGAAGATCGCCGTCCTTGCACTTGCCCTTATGAGTGGCATCGGCCTTGTTATGGCCGGAGATGGCTGCGGTGGTGGCAAAGAATGCGAATGCCTCTTTTCTGATGGCTCCCACTGCTGTGTCTATGGTGATGTATGTCCTCCATGATTTCTACAAGCATGTTACCTTTCCTGGCATTTATTAGAACCATAATCCATTGGACTCTCTGAATTAACAAATTCCCACACACAGAACGGCGAATCAGGCGATACCGGTGACTGCGTCGAGGTCTGCAAGGGCGCTAAACGCGTGCTCCAGTCAGGCGAGTCCCAGCCAGCTGCCTGTAATGCCAATGGAATGTTCTCCTGTGTTTCGGTTTGGAATGCACAGTTTCGTACTCCTTGTTACAATGACAACAACGATGGCTAGAGGACTTCAGTGGAAGACTCCAAGCTCGACGGTACCAGCTTGACACAGAGTTATTGAATTGGGGCTTTTTCAAAACTAGAGAATGTTCCCTTAATGTGCTGTCTAGCTCTGTTGTATAGAGAGGCTTGGAACAAAGTTTTATGTCATTACTAGTCAACCTAGATAGTGCAAGAGGGTGGATAATAAGATAACTTAATTCTCTATCATTTAGACTCTTAACCTTTCGTGTACTGTTGTTATGGCTTTATCTATCAGAATCTCGCTTGACAGAGAGTCCAGTATCAGTATTCTGTAGAACATGATCCTAGAATTTGAGTTCAGCACAATCAGATTGCAGCCAACATCAAAGCTAATGGTTTCTCCGATCTGTTCTACAGATATGTCAAGTGTCAGGAATACCAAGGTAGTGGCAATGAGCTCTCGAGCAAGACTACATTAGTTTCCCTTACTTACTTTAAGCTCTAAACCACAACTCTCGACTAAAAAAAATACATCTAGGTCTTGGCTTAGGCATTATAACAAACTGGTTCAACAACGGCGTGAAGGTCATTAGAGCGAGTATAGGAGAGGATGCAAAGACCTGACCTCAAGTAAGATCCTTTGCCATAGTTTACGAAGCCGGTCAAGACCCCATCTATCGATTATCTGAGTTCCAGTATCGCTGTTGCTTGCAAGGATTAGTACCTGGGGATAGGATTGCCGTCGACCGGCCGCTTTATCACATACCCTGTCTCTCCCTTGGTGATGACGGCATCTGGCTATTTGTAAACGCCCCACCAACCATGACTGGGGTTTGCTGCAAGAGCAAGGTTGGTTTAAGCGCTGAGGACGGCCGACGCTCGGAGCTCCATGCCTCCCACACCCGTAACGTGGACTACAATCAAGGATCAATTCCAATGCTCGGCTTTCGGCTAGCATCGTATGATGCCTTTAAGGATGGCGAATCGCTATATGTCAGTTACCTCTGCTAGCTAAATAGCTTATGCAACTAATAAACCTTAGGGGCACAGCTAGCGAGGTACTAGCTCGTCGAGTAGCACGGAAAAGTTCCAAGATCTAGCTGCCAAAAGTGCGACACGAGGACCTCAACCTAAGCATTTCGGGAATTACCTGCCTGGTGTCTCAACTTGCCGATCCGAGGCCTTGTATCATAAATCGATGCTGCAGATTCCATATTAGGGCATAGTTTTTACAGAAACTCCGATACACGGCCATCTTGGGATATAGATAAAGAGGTTCATCTCGTCTTTAGCAGCATGCAAAGATGTCTTCGTGCGTCTCTCAATAGATTTACCATTACTGGAGGTTCCCGATTCATCTTACGGTCTGCCTTTGCCTTTATCTGGGCATCAGCCTTCGTTTGTCCAATTATCAACCCCTCGCAAGGCTTCAGCACCGATCCATTATAATGCTTCTTCAGAAAGACTTGCTAGTCTACCTACGAGAACTACCCGAGACGCCTCCTCTCTGGGTTATACCTAGTTAAGTGATGGTATGACGAATCTTACTGGCTTAACGCCATCGCGAGTAAAGTAACACGCGTTCCGGTAGCGGTCTATCTTATATCTGGCTGAGGCCTGAGTGTACTAGACTATACATTTAAAGAGGAGGTGACAATTCTACAAAACAAGCCCAGCTGAGTTCTCAATTAATAAAAATATATTCGAATACTAATAGCACTAGGGCAGAATCTTCAGTCATCCATTATCAACCACAGCAGCCACAATCACATTGAACAAGACCACAACGAGCCAGTCGATCATGTCTCAGCTGCCGCGTCAGAAAAGTCCGCTGTGACGTGATCATGGAAAGTCCTTGTAGTAATTGCCGCTGGGACGACAATACGTGGGTAGTACCACGCACGTGACGAAACAGGTGAACCGCCCTGGCGTATCAATAACAGTAAAGCCAGAAGCTAAGATTCACTTTCAAGAAACGTATATCTTGGTGGTGTTAGTAATAGAGGCCAGATGGAGAATGGAGTCACATACTTCAACTATAACGATGACGGCCAAATGCCCACGAACCAGCTCGCACGAGCACCGACTGCCAGATGGAAGAAATCCTGAACTTGGCCATTGACGACCAGTCCGGGCAAAGCCAGCAAGAACAAGAACAAGAACAGTATAACAGCATTGACATGGGCCATGCAGTTGAGTTGTTTCAAGTGGCCAACACTCATTCCTCGCCGGATAAATCCCCAGCTAAGACCGAACAAGACCGATTCACCGAGCTTCCACCCTTTATCCAGAAGCCAGCATTCCCTGACTCTGGATACATCACCTTTCTACAGTCTCAAGGCGATCTCTCGCTGCCCCCGATCCCAGTGTAACTCGAACTTGTTATATCCTTTATTGAGTTCATATATCCTCGCATGCCTTTGTTTGATCTGGAAGATTTCCTAGGCTGTGTTGGTTATCTCGATGGGACTGGCGGTTAACTGAATTTGGTTCTATACAGTGCTATCCTGTTTGCAGGCTCAACCCACGTTGATCAGGAGGTAGTCTGTACATATAGATATTCTGATAGGAGGCTACTAAGGCAGGAGCTCATAAACAAGCACAAGTAAGCATACAACAACTAATCGTAATTAACTTTCCAGTTACACACACAGCTACTATTCGATCTTGATATAAACTAGGACAAGCTGGTGGCTGTTCAAGCGGCCCTTCTATTGACATGTCGTGGTGTATCGGATGATGAAGCCAAGGACTCGTAGTCAATACAGCAATAACACTGGGCTCTTCCATTAGACTCTATCGCACTTGTAAGACTGCAAACTCGCCTCCAAGTCGAAGAAAACACTTAACAAGGCTTTGGTGGTGTTGCTTCGTTCGTGGCAATATTCTGCCGCTAGGAATGAACAGGCCGGGCGGAATCAAGGATCGTGATTTTAACATTCCCATGCTTGTAGTCGCAGATCTAGAGTCTGACCTTCTCACAAAAGAACATCCACTGTTCCAACACGGATCTAGAGGCCCACTTGACAAAACTCGAGAACTGGAATCGGCTGAGCTCTGTGTTCAAAAGACAAGGCTTTCTTTTCTGATCAATCAGATCCTTGAATTACAAGCGGAAGCAGACCTTGATGGAGATATACCCGGGCCAGCCAACAGTACTAACCATTTGCAACGCGTACACGCAGTAGATGCTTCTCTCAGGTCATGGAAGAAGGCTCTACCTCGTTCATGTTCCTACAGACCAGTGGCAAGTCGCGTTGGAGGTGCTGGAAGAACACCAGTTGATATTCGTCGCCATTTGCTGCGTATAATCTACTACACAGCTCTCTACACCCTGCACAGGCCACAATTTCTACCCAGCTCACCTCGTCAACTTGGTATAGTCAGAAACCCCAGGTCAAACTCGACAAATATCCAAGAGTATTGTATTGGAGTCGGCCAACAATATCACCCGTCTCGCAGCTGAACTTCATCAACATAACATGGACAGTAACCTCCCTATCGCTACGATCACAGTACTTTTCCCTGCAATCTCAATGCACATGCTTAACATGAGGAGTCAGACCAAGACGGTGAGAGACATGGCGGTTGGTGATTTCCGAGTATTTGTGAGAATCTTGGAAAAGATGCGGAAGCTATACTCCGCTGCCGAGGCCACACTTGCGTTCTGACAGACACTCCTATCCCAGGCTTCTCTGACAGGTGTCGTTGGCCGGAGCGTGGACCAGGGCTCAACTTCTGATCAAGAGGGGCAGGCCGATGCCATGGCTATTCTTCAAGTGTTGACAACGCAGACTCCTCAAGCCATGAACAGAGGGGTGCCTATGCTTTCAATGTGGACCTTACCAAAGCATGAAATAAATTCAGCACGCCAGCCTCGGGTGCCTGATCTCTTTAGCAATGTTACCATTGATACCGATGAACATCCTCCTCTAGAAGGGGCAACGGAGGTTTCCCTACAAGAAATACCACCTAGCTATAACCTCGAATTCGACAAGGCCCAAATCGACACTTTGATGAGTCAAACAAGCAACGACTGGGACATAGATAGCGGCTACATGGACTTATACGGACTATTATCTTCTGAGTGGATGAACACTACATCTCAATTTGCGCCCTTATAAGATAATACAGTTATTGAGCTTGGAGTTAGTTCTATTTTTATATATATATGTAGTATCCCATCGATCCCAGGACAGTTCAAGTACCATGTTCTGGCTTTAAAAGTTTCACAGAGGTCTAAATATTATCCTTCTGTGATTTGAAGATTTTATCGCAGTTGAGGAGACACAAAGGGTCAAATACTAGCTTGATCTGCGATTGGAACTCGTTAGATGCCGCCCTAAGAGAAGAGGAAGAAGCAACCTACCCGTCTCATCGCAGCCACTGTGTCCTCTCCTAGTTCTTTCACGACAGCATCACGTTTACCCAGACCAACGCCATGTTCTCCCTTTCATAAACATAGTCAGTCATCATTCTTACCTGGAAAGAAGACAGGAGCTGACTTACGGTACATGTGCCCTCCATTTCCAGAGCTCTGTCGACCATTGCGTGTAAGAAATCCTCGGCTTGTGCCCTTTGTTCTTTACTATAAACAGCAATAGCTTTATGCCTGGTTAGCCAGTTATGGTCTAGAATGAGAAACAGACTTTGCTTACTGTGGAAATTGCTATCTCCTGCATGTCCAACAATGGATCCGACCAAACCAAGAGCCGTTATGTGCGCCTTAGCCTGCTCTATAGCATCAGGCAGGCGTGAAATGGGGACGGCTACGTCACTCGTTAGCACTTTATCGCCCTCTTTCATGACGCTCATTGTCGCCCAAAGGGCATCTCTGCGAGAAGACCAAAGGTTTGCCTCTTGCTTCTTATCCCTTGCAAAGTCAAATGATAAGCTGCCGGCTTTGGAAGCCAGCTTCTCGACAATTTTTACTTGCTCTCTGACCGCATCTGGGGTGCCACCGAACTTCAGGAAGAGTGTCGGAGCCTTATTCCTCTTAACACCAGATTCGCCAACAAAGTGGTTCAAATACTCCATTTGATTATCGTCCAATAGCTCGATGGCGGCGAGCTAGAGGCCACGCCCAACAATGCTTACCACGCAGTCGGCTGCTTGCCTCACAGTTACAAAACGGCATACAGCCACCGATGTGCTCTCTGGAAGCGTTGTCACCTTCAACGTGGCTTCAGTCACCAATCCAAGGTTCCTTCGCTTCCGATGAATAGTTGGGTGAGGTTATAACCCGCTGAGCTCTTCCGTGGTCGTCTTCTAGTCTTTATAACTGTCCCGTCTGAAAGAACCATAGTAAGATTCAAGACCCAGTCACGCATGGTTCCATATCGATAGGCATTGTTACCGCTTCAGCCAGTACCTACCATCCCTCCAATCATTGCGCCTGGACCTGGGTCAGGAGGAAAGAAGAGGTTGTCATTTTTCAAGTCCTCATTGAGCTTTTGCCACTGAACAGCAGGTTGGACAACGACGTCAATATCTTGGTGGTGGACAGCCAAGACTTTATCCATGCGAGAAAACTTGACAGATATGCCTCCATAAGTTGGAGTATAATGCCTTTCAAGGCTAGTCTCGCTAGAATAGCTAGTAACAGGTATTCTCTTAACATGGCAGATCTTGAGAACCTCGGAGACCTCTTCAGTCGAAGCAGGATAAACGACTAAAATTGGGCGATGAGCCGGATCCCGCTCGTGTGAGGTCCAGTCAGACGTGGAGTGTCGTTGTAGGTCTTCTTCCAAGTCTGGGACATTTTTCTCCCCAACAATAGTGGCAAGCTCAACACTTACTGCTCTAATTTTGACGATATCTGTGTTGAGTTACAATGGTCGGGTTGACTCAAGTGGTAGGGTTGATCGAAGGTCGTTATTTTGCAGTGAGTTATTTCCAAGCCAGTAGCTGCCGAGAGCAATGGAGAAAATCACTTTAAAGAGCACAGTGTTAGTAGCTAATATATTTCATAAGTAAAGCCGAGGCAGCAGTTTGAAGAACCACGACAGGCTCTGAAATGTCTGGAAGAATCTTGACTTGCCTGAGCTGCTAATTAGGGACGACGTTGAGCCGGCCTTCGTTCTTCCATCAGTAGAGTATCGCTGGCAAGACTGCATGTACAGGGGACCGCTAGTCTTTGCCATCCTGTTAAACGATAACCTTCGAAATGGTTCGCGGAGAAACCTAGCTTGGATTATAAGGAGAAGATTTTTCTTGGCTATTTCGGTGCAATTTCTGCTACATAATACAGGTAGAAACTTTCTTTTAAGTCATCAAGTCTTCAGCATTAATATAGCATGTCGGCTTGACATGGTGTTACAGGCAGCTTAGCAATAGCAATAATCTAATACATACCAAAAATGAGAATCACGCTAACTAAGTACGGATGATCTAGCCTAATGTAGAACAACCGAGTATAGCCAAATACTTCCAGCAATTCCCATTCGACTATTACCAGTCTAGCTAATCCAGCTTGGACTACCCGGTACTTGCCTCTTAATGTCGTTATTGTCTAACTATTGTCTCCAGTATTGAGGAATTATTTAGACTTGTTATTTTAACCTTAGTATATATTATATAAATACTATTTCCCTGTTTTTCTATATATATACATTTACTTTCTAATTATAAATAACTTAAACTACTTATCTTATAGGCAATCTATTTATAACATACTAATAAACTAGTTTTTTAAAAGTATAATAATTACATTAGGCGTAAACATAAGGAACATTATATAGTTAAAGACAGAAATTTTCCAGGTTAAATAATAGGTCATGGACCCGAGTCTTCACAATCGACACTACTTATACAGCTAAGATCTATTCAGCGCCGTAGTTAAATTCCTCTACCTTTCTTAGCCCTGACTCATGGCAGGAGTTAATTGGCTCATTGCTCTCTTTCTCCTTGATAAAAGCTACCTCGTAGCTATCGAAAAACATTTTGGGTTGATCCGCATAAAATGTATCAAACTTAATGTCCAGAGCAGCATGTAGGGATGAAATACGACCGTTAGGATAAAGCTCTTTCCATGGGCGAGAGCAGGCTTTGCCCTTGCAGGCTTTCATGGCCATAATAAGAGCATCAAGCCGATTAACAATTGCATGTAGTGGCCGATTGGCAATGGTGAACTGAACAGCTACGAGCTGAGCTGTGTACGATCCGGATAGCAAATTGATGGTTTGCTCAGGGTCATCCTAGCACAGCGACGTCAGTCAAATACAGAAGTTGGCTGTGGGTAGACAGCATACGTTGAGATTGTAGAGCTCTCTCTCTCCAGTGCACCAGATAGAATAGTAGAGGTTAAAGTCTTGGCTTGCCATACGAAGACCTTTGTAGGTGTTGTTGACATAATAGTCGGAGATTCTGCCTGCTTCAAAGTTCTCATCACTTGAGAATCCATAGTGGCCTTCGGGCATTCCATGTCCCCAATACTCAATGGCAGCATGCTCAATTCTTCCATCTGTTTGCTCGGACTCAGTCAGAGGCATGACCTCGCCGTCGGTCTGTTTGCTAACGCCGGCGAGCTTGAGAATGGTAGAGGCAATATCGGTATGTGTGGTGACAACGTCGATCTGGCCGCCTTCCTTTACTCCTGGGCCGCGGCGAACGAACATAGGGATATAAATGTCAGTGTACTACCCGCATTGCTTTCCGAGATGCATCCGATGTTAACTGATATGATAGCCGTTATCTGTCGAGTAGAATATACACGTGTAATCGATCTCGCCAGCAGCTTCGATCTTCTGAACCAGCTCGTGAAGCATTTTATCAACCGCCTGGAGTGAACGGAGTCGTTGGCGTTGGTAATGGTCATTGTAGAGAATTACACTCTCGTCCAGGGCGTCAAGTCTGCCAACCCAACCTGCACCAGCTTCAATTCGTGAATTGAAAGATTTGCCTCGGGGAATCTTATAATCATGGAAGAGATGTTCATGGCAATATGCACTCTGGGGTGTTGATAGATATGTCTTGTTGCTCTTCTCATCAAAGATCCAGTTGGAGTGGAGGGCTATGGGTGCAACAGTGAGAAACCAGGGTTCCTTGTGATGGAGAGCATCTTCGAGCAACTTGTATGCTTTGTCCGCTACCACGTCGGTACTGTATTTGCCAGCATAGCTCACGGGGGGCTCGCCGTTATTAGACATCTTGCTTTCCCAGTAGCGGTATGTATACGGGTCGAGTAAGAAGTCCGAGGCATTGAAGCCACGTGCATACGGACGATCATAGTTAGAGACCCCATGGAAGTTCCAAAGTTTGCCTGAGTAGTAGGTACTATACTCAGCTTCCTGCATCCAAAAGAACAGGTAGTCATCGTTGATTCCAACATCAGCGATCTTGGGGTATCCTCCATGGGGGGGGGTGAGACGTTGGTGATGTTGTGATTATGAGCAGCCTTGCCGGTCCAGAGAGTGGCACGTGAAGGACAGCACAATGCCACGGTACAGTAGTGTTGGTTGTAGGTAGTGTCTTTGGATACGATATCAGACTGAAGATCAGTGTTAGCTATCAATCTGTGTCTCGTTTACTGTGGAATACCTTGAGATACTGCATGTGATCGACACTTTCCATATGCAAATCCTGATCATCTGTGAGAATAAATAGGATGTTGGGCCGTTTAGCCTGCACGAGGCCTGCGGCGAAGAGCAGGGCGAGTTTTAGCTGCATATTGATGGCTGGCAGCTCAGCTGGTGGACCTTGTATTCGATTGATGAGTATCAGTGCAGTGCAGGTCAAACAAGGCATTTATGGTTCAACGAAGGTAACGAATGGATCAGATTTCTTATCCCACGCGCATTCTGCTTTGAGCCGCACTAATCTGACCTCACCTTGGCTTCGTCTATCCACTCACGGTTGTACTCGGTCAACGGCTTGCTCCGGATTTTGCCATCTCCGTGCCGATTAAACTAACCCCGCGAAAAGCGCCTTGGACCGAATTAGGTTTCGGAATCATAGATTAAATCGGATCTCTTGGAGTCGTTTCTGGGTTTTGACCATTTGCCGTTCGTTCCTGTAAGGTTGCTCAGCTCCCAAGCCACAAAACCCGCCTTGCCTTTAAACAGATCTCCTCAACTCAGATACCTTGTAACGAAAGACCGCGCACCGCAAAGATATCAGAGAAAATGGTCCATAATGATGACCCGCAACCTCAACTGGTGGACGAAAGAACATCTCTTCTGTCTTCGCAGAGTCTTGTTAGTGATCAAGGTACCATCAAGACACCACAACAAGATTCGCAAGAAGTATCATCGCATGGTGATATCTCTGTAGCTCGGTCTGTTCTTCCCACAATTCCTTTTGGTAAGTCTGTGTTCTGAGATGAGGTTGTCTGCTATGACCGAATCCTGACGGAACGTTGAAGGAATCTTCATTGCGCAGGCAGACTCCTCAATCGTTCTGGCCAACAGCCAAGAGATTGCGTCTGAGTTTCGATTCCTTTCAGATGCTTCTTGGCTTATGATATCCTATGTTCTAGCGCAGTGTGTTTGTTAGCCTTTGGTAAGTTTGCATATCACTTAGATCATCCCATACTATTCTTAACTCTAACCTCACTCCTTCAGTATGGAAGAACAAGCAACATATCTGGCAGAAAGCCTGCTATGATATTCTCCTATGCTGCCTTGACACTAGGATGTATCATTTGTGGAATTGGCACTTCCTACTGGCACGTTCTTTTGGGGCGTGTCGTCAGTGGAATAGGTGGTGCCGGCATGGTTGAACTGGTAACCGTCATCATTGCCGGTATACAGAGTCTTAATCATGATTCTTCATCATTGACTGACATTAATTAGATCTCTTAACTCCTCGACAAGTCGCAACCTGTAGAAGTTATGTCAACGTCGTGGCAACTCTCGGTAGATCTTGTGGTGGGCCTCTTGGAGGATGGCTTGTTGACACAGTAGTTGGAGATGGTGAACAGAAACTTGATCTGTGGCTTCGACAGTGCCTTTACACATACTGATCTTGTCTGCCCTTAGGTGCTTCATAGGACAAAGTCTGGTTGCGACACTGGCTGTCCTCCTAATCATCTGGAAGCTCCTAGTGAATATTGCTGGTCGTGCAGATCTGGCATGTTCGAGCATCGCAAATGGGCCCCGAAGAGTAGGCTTTGCTGATTCGCTTTACTTCCAGCAGCCTTAGTGATGGCATTTATCGGCCTCGATCTAGCAGGCAAGCTCCATCGACTGCCTTATACCGTCCCGCTGGGAGTTTGTGAAGTCTTTCTACTTGCGAGCTTCTACGATATCGAGAAGTATTATGCCCGGGAACCGATTATTCCAATGGATCTCGTAGCGAAGCGAGATGTATATATCCCCTATCTGCTTGTGGCTTTGCAAACAGCGTCACAATTTATCGTAAGCAAGATTGTTGCAACTGCAAGAGACATACCTGAAACAACATTTAGATCACTTACACCATTCCCATATACTTTCCCATCGTCGCAGGAATGTCCGTTACAGCAGCTGGTAGCCGCATTGTATTTATTGTCGTCGGTAATGCCGTGGGCTGAATCCCTACTGGATTCTACATCAACCATACTGGACGTTATAAATCAGCGATCTACGTGGCTACAATACTAGGCATCATATCTTATTGTTTGGTGCTTGTTCGTTGGCATGGCAGCTCAAGTCTACTCGACAGCTCGTACCTTACACTCGGAGGGTTGGGTATGGGCAGTACCTAAAGCACTACCTTTGTGCATATCGCGGCAGCCTTGGAACCCAAAGACATTGCCGTTGCCGGAACGACTTGATTTATTTGCCAGAGCGCTGGCATGCTGGTTGCAGCCAATGTGTTCAACATGGTTCACAATCTTGCTCTAAAAAGGATGTTGGAATCGGTTCTTGAGGGCGTAAAGGATAAACCAAAGGTAGTGTCGTATCTTCTACCTTTTCTCAAGGCAAGTGGCTAACTATAGGCCAAAGATCATCCATGGCGTTTTGTCAAGCGTGGAGTACATCAAGACACTGCCAACTGATCTACGCGAGATTGTGACAAATCTGTTAGTCCAGAGTATGGTTCCTACAAATGGTAGGTTTAATTACTTTCTAACTCTTCTTTACTTGAGCGGCCATCAGTACTAACTCATGATAGCGATCGCTCTGGGGTGCGGAATAGCTGCTTTGATGCTTGCCCTATTTATTCGGGAGCATAAACTCGAGAAGAAGTAGTTACTAGTTTAGTGAAATAAGTGTATATGTGAGATATAATATGACAGAGGGGAACAGTTGGGAATCACATATAACATTAGGTTATTAGGAACAGGTTGTTGAAAAGGGAAGGACTATGTAGAGCCAGACAGCATTGTTTAATTTCTCCATGGGCACTTGTTCAGTGAAGAAAGAGCATATTTGGTAGCTGGGCAATAGATAAAGTAACATTAAAACTTAGAGATTCCATAATAAGAGCCAAGAGATCGTGTCTAGCCTTGTTAATATCTGTGCCATGACTCAGAAGGGTCCCTGAAATCATGGTTTCCCCAGCATCAGTGATCAGGGTATGTCAAGGCACCTGGGTTAGTTTGCGGAGTAGTTTTCTGGGGCAGACTAGATTGTCATCTTGGCGATGGCTGACTGATCAACTAATCCTTTCAGGGGATGACGTGCTCCGGCTGTACTCGGACTTATTGGGTACCGTCTCAGCGGAAATCATGGAGACTTTCTTGCCAGTATAGACCAACCTTTTATCTTCGCGTTCATCTATCAATACTGCTCAACAGTCGCCCCCATAGTGATGGCTGACTTAGCCAATATCTAGAAGTCTCAAGTTGCTGAGGCGGCTGCCGGCCATGTCAGTCTGTGCAGCGACAAGGGGAAAGATACAGGTCGAGCATCTCAAGACTGGAGCTGTGAGAAAGAGAGAAAGATCAAGTTCAAGTAAGTAACATCTATGTTGCCCTACCGCGCATAACTTTAGCTAACACCACAATCTCTGCAAGGCTCGATATTGTCTTGCTTGGAAACCTCATGCTTGGTTTTTTCGCCCTGCAACTGGACAAAACCAATCCCAGGAGCGCCATGACCACCACCTTCATCAAAGATATCGGCATTACTAACGATATAATCAATAATGGAAATCAGCTCCTCCTCGCTGCTATCGTTATCTGTGAGATCCCCTCCAACATGATGCTTTCTAAACTCGGTGCCCCAGTATGGATGACCCTTGAGTGCTTTTCGTGGGGCATGGTGGCAACGTTCCAAGCCTTCATGAACAACAAACCGTCCTATTATGCCACCCGCTTCCTCCTGGGACTTTTTGAGGCTGGGTGTCTGGCCGTATCTCTTGTTGTTATTGGTATGTTTTATACCAAGAAGGAAATGGCTCTACGGATGACTGTCTTGTACACGGCGAATTACCTTGCTGCTGGAACGAGCTCGCTGATTGCCGCTGGGACTTTTAACCTAGATGGCGCTGCTGGACTTAAAGACTGCCAGGTATGTATAGTTTCCTTGCGTTACAGTCTATAACTTGTTGGCTGACCCATATATTCATCTAGTGGCTGTTTCTGATCGACGGCATTTTTACCGTTCTCGTTGCATTTTCCTTCCTCTTCTTCCTACCCAGGTCCCCTTCTTGGACACGCCCGATCATCAACATCTCTGCTCTCGATATACTCTCGGACCGTGACTGTGAAATCATGTCGCGTTGCATTATCCTCGAAGATCGTGCCCGAGGCGTGGAGCTCAGTTCCGTTACTATAATGGAAGCTGTCCGATACTGTTACACCAACTATTACATCTAGCTCCATGCCTTAATTTCTTTTATTTCGCTTGTTCCCAAAGGAGGATTACTCCTCTACGGGCCTACCATCATCAAGATTTTGGGTTTGACAAGTTCAAAGCAAACCTCCTTGCATCCGTTTGTAACTTCGCTCTCGTCGCTCTAGCTGTTATTGCAGCTTGGGTCTCTGATAGAGCCAAGCTCCGGGGTCCAATCTCTTTCGTCTGCACCTGTTACGCTCTATTGCTTGCAGGCGCCCAGTACGCCCTTGTTACTAACACCGACAAATGGGCAAAACGTGCAGTCTTCGTGCTCCTCATGGCGGGCAACGCAATGTTCCAGGGCATAAACAGTGCCTGGGTGGTATCCAACGTCCGAGACACCAAGGCTTTTTGTATTGGCCAGGCACTTGTTATAATGGGTGAGAACCTTGGAGGCTTGGCAGCACAGTAGCTTTTCCGGGATTCAGACGCTCCTAAGTACACCAGAGGCTTTTTGGCTATCTTGTGCTTATATGCCTCGACATTGGTCATTGTTGTCTTTGTTACATAGATGTACTGGAACAAGAATCATAAACTGGCCACAGTCTCATCTGTTTCAGAAGAGAGTGGGGGCCGCCGTCAGAACATCACAGATGAAACCAAGTTCCAGATTTAGGGTTGTGAAGCGAGAAGTGCCAGGTCTGATAGATGTTACATTCTCTTCAGTCTTCTGGTCAATGACATCCATGCTGGTTATATCACAATTTACAGCGCCTACACGACACTCTTGAAGAGCCTGGATGACACACAAACACTGAGTGACTCAGCATGTTTTACCTATACTTAAGAAGCGATAAATAACAGGGCGTCGTGACTGGCGCATTATCCGTTCCACGCATGCAATGCGGTATGAGTTGAAACCCTCGGATTGTATAGATAAGATTTCGGTATATGGTTATAGATATTTGCTGGTATAATGTCTACCATATGACCTAAATATGTTAGTCGCAGTTCAGGCTCGTAGCTAAGAGCTTAAATCAGCAGACAGAACTTAGCAGTTAAGACTTATGGCCCAGAGCTAAACTCAGCGCCGAGAAGTTAGTTAGAACTATTGCCGTAAATAGCCGACTCAAACCAACATAGTATCCACATAATCACATCTAGGGTACTTGGCCAAGTACTGCCGGCCAAAACTATCGCAACGCCTCCACGATATTTGGGATAAACTATTCTCGCGTATCTTGCCATTATACCATTTGAGTCCAGGCAATACAATATCACCGCTGTCAGTTACATTATCACCATTCTGTATCAGCTAAAAACGGTCTCAGCAGCCATGGGTCGAGATGATCATACTTCGCTTTTATCAACCCACTCTAAATCCTTGGGTTACGGTTCAATCACCCACAGTCAACTCCAATATGCGTTCGGGCAGACGTCAGGAGGACCACTCTCAAGGCCTAATGGTTTGGGCAATGATGTTGAACCAGAAGGACCGGAGCATCAGCGTTATCTACAGCCCATGTATTCAATAATCTCGACCATCTGGCCCCTTGCGATTGAAACTTTGCGTTCATATGGCAAACTGTATCTCAAAGGGGATATTATCGCTGCGTTGACCGTGGCCTCGCTCTATATCCCACTCAGCTTTTCCTTTGCAAATTTGGCTTTTCCCCCGCCAGTAGTCTCTATGCCTTTGTCTTCTACCCAATTATCTATGCCCTGCTCGGTTCGACACCGCTCATGATCGTTGGAATAGAGGCAACTGGCTCGCTTCTTATCGGTGCTGCAGTCCAAAAACAAGGCCATAACTTGGAATCAGCATTAAGTGTGGACTCTCTTATATCAGGTTCGGTCACAGCCTTGGCGGGGTCCATGCTTATAGGCGCTGGCCTGCTTAGACTCGGCTTTCTTGAAAGAATTCTCAGCCCCCCTTTCAGGCATGGTTTTATAAGTGGCGTTGGATTTGTGCTAATCATTGAGCAAGCCTTGGTTAGCTTTAGACTTAATGGGTTGTCCAAGGAGATAGGCGGTGTAAACGGCGGAGAAGTGCATAAACTAGGGTTTATAATCTAGCATCTTGCTAAAGCATATTATCTAAGTTCCGTAATTGCGCTATTAAGCCTAGCTTTTACTTTAATAATTAGGTCTACCTTCTATAGCTATTACTACGCTATGCTACTCTTATAATAGAATACTAATTATAACTGCTACGCTGCTAAAAAAATGTCTAGGAAAGTAAAATATAGTTATATTACTCTTTACAGACTAACTAGTTACTATTACTAATATAGCTATTATTAGCTATCTATTTAGCCTATATAAGCATAGACTTACTATTATTAGGTCTATAAATTTATTATAAAAGTATATTTTTTTTTATTAAAAGACTTATTTTTATTAAGACTATATATATATTACCTTTTAAAAGCTAAAGTTAAATAGGACCTTTTAGTATATTAGCTTAATATACTTTATAAAGGCATTATAAGCTTTAAGTATTAATTAATTAAATAGCTTAAATTATAAATAATAAAAAATGTAATTAATAAGTATATAAGTTATTTAAGTATAAAAGTTAAAAATCCCTTACCTTATAATATTTTTATTTAATTAAATAATTATTAATAACTTAATATATTATAATCTTTAAATAAGGCTAAAATCCTTTTTACCCTTTAGGCTCTTTAAAATAACTTAAAACTAAGCTTATAATAATTTATAATTAATTATAAAGTGCCCTTTAAAAGCTTATATTACTACTACTATAGTACTAAAGTTAAATAGGATTTTTTAGTATATTAGCTTATATACTTTATAGAGGCATTATAAGCTTTAGGCATTAATTAATTAATAGTATGTTAGCGAAGTGTAAGCAAAGGGATAAGGCTAATCCTTAGTAGATCCATTGACTTATAACCTTTCAGAATTATTGCCTGCTCTCCAATAATTATAGGACACATACGCTTGACGGTTGGATGTTACGTTTCTTGATACAGTACTCGCTTCCTCTTGGTGAAAAGGAAGTGGAGCCAGTGACATTGGGTATGGACCTTGACATGGACAATTTCTCAGCTCGCACCCAAGCAGTGACTGAGCAAGGCAGATACACCGCATTTGATATCGAGGATTTTATGTTGGGTGATTTAGATGTGTGTCATGTTGACGGAAGTATTCTTGACTAGCTGATAGAAAGATGATAGCGTTACAAAACATAGGAAAGCGCACTATTTCGAGGGCAGCGCATAGAAACAGGGGCTTGAGCAAGCTCGGTGGACCTCTATGATCCATAGGCTATTCGGAAATGGAGTAGAACTCTACCTCAGCAATCATCGTCCTTGCTGGGACAGTGACAGATATGGGAAAGCCACCATAGTCAGGGTCCTCATTAGGCATCATCGCGAAGCTGCCACTCCTAGTCTCATCCCCATTCAAGATACGCACTGTCCGTAAGCGGCCAGTTGCCTCATCATCGACAGCCTTTTCCTCCACTTTGAGGATGCCCGTGAAAGTTGAGCTTTGCAATAAGCTTTTCGCCCTAACATGGAACCCCCACCCTATCAACAAAAACTTGCCGCCTCCTCGATGAATTACCATACCTGCCCCTGGTCCTGGCTTTCCAAAGACAAAGCACCGATCAATTGCAATCTCGAAATCTCCCCATGTCCGCTTAACCTGGTTCGAAATGACTGTCGATGCATTTTTTGGTATCTCGTCGAAGCAGAAGCCAACGGATGAGTTGGGATGACGTTGGGCTTCAAGAACAATAGCTTCGACTGACTTGAGAAGTCCGTAATGCTTTGTGAACGGATTTTCAGCGGGTTCCACCGTATCGACTCCAAAGGGAGCTACGCCCATCGCTGCATAGGATCCATAGGCAATCCACATGCGCCGAGCGCCATAATCATCCCGTCGCTGTTCCGGCACGAAGAGAGGCTGGTTTCTATGCCTATACTTGGCACATGACTTGTCGTAGTCGTTGAGGTAAATATCGGGGCCGAGAAAATCCAGGTTGGGTGCAAATTGCATCCAAATATCCATGACGTTGCTCACGGCTCCACCTGAGGGATAGTCGCCTGGCATACCTCCTCCGCCCACAATGACGGGGAAGTCGTTATCGGTGTCGTCTCCGGCATAGTTCATCCACATATTGGTGTAGTGCGGGATAGGATATTGTGATTTGCCGGCTCCTGCGACATAGTTTACGTAGAGAGCATAGTAATATACTATAAACAATTTATTAGTACATAGACTCTATCTAAAGACTGTCTCCTAATCGCCGCCTTCTACTTCTACAGCGTCAGAGGAAGGGTTGAACTGGGCCAAGTTATGAGTTTTGATGTCCTCGTGAAGGTTCTCCCGATTCGAAGTGAAGAATTCGATTAGCTCCTGTGGAACAGGTTGGCGAAAGGACTGCTCAGCGAGTTCAGAACCATCACGAGAGTCTCCCAATAGGCCACTCTCATTCTCAACTTGAACCATGATTACAGTGGAGTAAGACTGATCGAATTCCCGTAAGTGTTGCATGAGAGCACCAAACGCTTTAGCGTCAGCCTTGCGACACTCAGGATAGAAGAGTGAAACAACATCCGCAGTTTCAAGTCGACCGCCAGCTTTGCGTAGTTTGGCTCGAGGGAATCGCTTCGGATTCTGCTTGACCCATGATGGCACATATGTCGAAAGCCCTGAGTCCTCATCAGTCCTTCTGCGCCATAATATGGAAGGTAGTCTGTCTTACCATTCTTGAATGAGCCAAACCAGAGCAAGACAAGATGCATCGAGTGCTTCCGTGCTGCCAAGATAATTGCGTCCAGAACAGAAAAGTCGAAAGTATCTTCTTCAGGCTCTATCATCTCCCATGTTACACAGCCTAGCAGAGTGTTGATGTTTGTATCAACCATCTTCTGCCAGACTGGCTCCATGTACTCGAGTGATGTCAATGAGGAGTTTTGAAGTTCGCCCGCCCGTATGAGGAATGGACGCCCGTTGACTATGAGTTGCTTGGAATTCTCATTACGCCTCAGATGATGAATGTTGATGCTGAGTGAGCCCATGTCGGAGGGATCGATATTCCAATGGAGCAATTGCAAGATGCAGGTTTATTGAGCTGTGGGAAAAGGAACGCAAAAGCGAGCTGAGGCCCTGGTTGGAGGAGTAGAGCTAGTGAAGAATAGAGTCTGGTCGCCAGCGGCGTACTCCCCGTGGTAGTCCCATGTTCTCATATCAACCGGAATTAGGCATTTGTGATTGGTTGATAAGCCGGAAGGCCCTTAAACAGGCGGCCCGGAATACTGACTTTCTGAGTGGCTGCAATGCCGCTCCTCGAGGGGCCGGGGCGTGACTATACGAATAGTAAGCTAAGACCAAGAATATGATCGAAAATGGCTGAACTAAGTCTGAATCTGGGGTAATTGAATGGCTAACCAAGGGAATGCAACAAAACTTGGGACCCTCCATCCTTTGTGACAAAAAGTTTTAGGTAGACTTAGATAAACTTAGGTAAACTTAGTGTAATTTAGTATAGATATAGAGGATCTTAGACTAATCTTAGACTAAGTAAGTAATTTTAGCACCTTAGTTTAACGTCAGAAGTCTTCTTATACCCTGAGACCTGCATAGCATAAACCGCCTGGGGTTGAGGTTGGTGGAGTAAGGCGAAGCGCGTCAATGAAGATTATAGGGTGAGGTGATCTTCCCTGACCGAGCTAATTATTGTCTACCTCGTTGACAGCTGCCGTATAATGGATGTTTATATCATATCAGCATGGGAGGATAAAAGCCTCTGACGCCTTTTTCTGCATAAAACAAGGGAAGTGGAGATGATGGGCACCAAGCGAGGTTAATCATAAACTCAAGCGCACGAATCCCAAGGGTCCTATAGAGCACATGCTAGACAAGTAGGAGACCTCAGGAGGCAAGAATACAACTAATCTTGGTATAGGAAGTTGAAATAGACTCATCAAAAGATATCCTAAACTTATGCAAAGTTACCTAACTTTCTTTTACCATTTAGGATCAAGGTCCTGAGTTTGTTTTCCTCCTCCAGGGAGAGTGTCGTAAATTCGACTACACTGCGTGAAGGCCCCGACTTCCTAATAACTCTAATAATCAGAATGAATGATATAGCATCTTGCCAAGACTTATTACTTGTATGCTTTTTCTTCAGTTGCGGTGCTGATGCTGGCATGGCGTGCGGTATTTGGTGCTTCCATAATGGAGATGATGGTGGGCTGCCCGGTGGGATGTCCGGAGCTGCACAGATGCGTGGGGTATTGTCAAAATAGCTCCCTTCACGACCTTGCTTCCCAAGCCCTATTTATTGGGGTATATTGGGTGGACTTCGCTTCTTGTAGAATAGTAGCTGATTGTAACAACGGTTAAAAAGCAGCTGACAAAATCATGTTCACCATAAAGAATATAAGGCAGAATGTAATATTTTTATATACTACTATATGATACTCAGCATATTCGCATGGACTATTTAGCTTCAAGAATGATACGCCTGTAGGTAGCAAGAGGCTGCTCTGTCGCATCGCGGAGAGCAAGAATTATATGCATTGTCTAAACAGAAAGTCAGCATTTGTTCGCTTCGTCTTGGAATATTGACTTACATCATTCAGACTCTTGGCAGTCTCCAGCTTGACGATACTTCCATCATCCTTGATACTTGTGATATTGACATTCGGGCTCTTAGGCGTCAAGATTGGCTTCATCTTAAGCGAAGGATCAAAGCCTTCCAAGCCTCGTCCGTAAGCGCCACCAGGTTCGCGGTAGTGGAACCAATCGTACTTGAGCTCATCGCCATCGGGATCCCAGCTGTTTGAAGCGTCGAGAACGACGCTACTACCAGGCTTATACTTGAGCCTCAACGGGGCAGTGCCGCAAGAGCCGTTGACTATAGCAACGGGCTGATGGTTGTTCTCGGAGTACTTGGAGTTGACGGTCCACTTCATACGAGCAGCAAAGTCGAACTGATAATCATGGCGCCATCGCCATATTGTTCCAAACTTGCTGGTGAATGCCTTCCCGTTGGCGCCGACGACGTAGTCACTTGTATCAGCATAAACACGCGACTGATTTGTGTGGTCAAGGAGGGTATATCGACCGCCCCAGCTGCCCCACTCGGGATGGTTCACATCGCCCAAACCATTCTGCACAAGAGGCAAAAATGCGGGTGTATCGCCCTCCATGATGAAAGACCAGTTAAGGTAGTGAGACCCCAGAGGACCGAGACGAATATTATTCTCGAGCCAGTCATTAGAGACAATGCTGGAATCTGGACCGCCGTGATCAAAGTTGCGGTACTCCTCGCCAGAGATTCCGTTCCATGCTGCAACAGTGTATTCACTGAAACCGTGCAGAGAGACAACGTAGAAGAGCTGTGGGTAGCGAAGACGGATCCAGATACCGGTATCGTCTTGATCAGAGATGGCGTAAACCCGAAGCTTCTCGACGAAATCATTAACAGCGTCTTCGCTTCTGGTGCGAGAAACGTGCTGAAGAGCCTCAGCCAAGATCGCAGATCCACCCCAAACAGAAACTGTAAGAGGATCGTCGACGCTCGCCTTATCAGCAGCTTTGACAAGCGCCTTCGCACCATCGCTCAAACTCATATTGAGGGATTTTCGTCCATAAACAGGATGGCCCTTATAAACTCTGTCAAGAAGATACTTGTACGAAGGATAAGGCGCGTGCCAAGGAACATTAGCGTTGAGGTTTTTCACAACCTTCTTGTAACCATCCAAAACACCCACGACAGACTTGTAGTCGATCTTATCAGGCATCCACGTCGAAGTCGTCACAGAAATGCCCTGGATGTCAATCTCATTGGCATAAGTCAGCAACCGGACCAGACTCATCTGATCGTCAGGCTCATTGCTAATATCCGTGAGCACAAACAATCTGCGCTTGTGCTCCGTGCGCGCAGTTGAGCATTGCTTGTCATGGCTTGGTGCAGCCTGCGCGAAGGGAAGCGCAGTGAAGAGGGCGAAAGCGCCGACGAGTTGGGAAAACATGTTGGGCATGGTGTAGTTCAACGCTGCTGAAGCATAGAGGTCCATTGTGAGGAAATTGTTGTCTTTATAGACTGCCGATCAGCGACAGGTGATAAATCATGACATTTAGAGCTTGTCCTCGGAGAGCAAAAAAATATGTACGACTTTAGAATAGGGTGTCAAAATAAACTTAGTGAAGAGTGCCCTAAATTTAGGCTAAGTTACCTAAATATTTTCATCACTTATGATTAAGATCCGAGGTTTTCTATCCTCCCCCCTGTCTTAGGTGCTTAGAATTGCTGAATGGGGTAACTTCGCTAAGACTGTGCGCTAGGGGCTTACTTGATTCTTCAAGTTTAAGCACCATCCCCGGACTAGACGTCATGAACAGGGTTTGACTCCACATTGGATGGACTGATTAAAGAACCGCTGATGTGGAACGTGAAGAGAAGAATGCGGGGGAGAGAACAGTCGACTGATAGATGGGGACGTGGAGGTGTTCAAAACTGCCTATTCTGGTCAGTTTTAACCGACGTATTCGATACTGATGCCGAAATTGGCTGCATGGAAGTAAAGTTCTTTACATTCTTTGTCCGCCCGCTCGCCAAGCTGAGACTGTTTCTTCAACGGAACATTGCCCGAGGTTGCTGCAATGACTATGGTCGAGTATCCCCGGTCAGTGGTCATAAGGAAAAAGGCCCGATAGAACGCACGTGGGCTTGTTGGAAAATCTGGGGTATTTCTCCACATTCGGCCAACCTTAGCCAGGGGCGATCTTTCCTTTGGCATCTTCGCCGACAGGGCCATCATTGTCGATATTGATACTCACTCGTGCACTCATGATTCTACTAGGCATAATTTTATCTTATAAAGCCCTAATTCCCTCTTGGCTCTCCTCCCATCGCGTCCCGATGTCGAGCTCAGGCAGATAGTCTTAAACACTTGCCTTCCATTCGATATTTTTCTTCACTTCCTTGTCCAAATATCCCAGTGTTTTTCCTAACTTCTCGCGGGAGAAGTCCCCTTGAGGGTACGTAATGATAGTATAGTACTTGACTAACTCGCGTGTTGTCATACAGTAGCGATCGTTACACCAGGTGATATTCTGAGTCTCAGGGTCCTCGAAGTGGCCGTAACTGCTTGGATCTAACTTCTTAATCCAGCGTGATGGCCTGGGATCCTCTCGACTAACCGGCAACTCAAAGAGGCAACTTGCGTCGACCATGTTCCTTTCTTGATCGTAGTAAACATTGAATCCACAATCGCAGATACACTCAAGCCGTGGCGGCTCTCCGGGCCATGCAAAGTCTTTGAATTGATCTGGTTGAAATAGGCGATCTGGAGTGGCCTGAAATGCTGGACAAAACGCTGACGAATATAGGGTATGTCGTTGTCTTGTTTTCGATATGCATTGTTGCATGAAGGAGCTGCTGGAGGTGGGACCATCTAGTGCTACGGTCCATCTAACCACCACAAAGTCAAATATAGGCGAGTCGTTGAGAAGGACATACTGGATCTTTGCGCCGGGGCATGGGCATGTCTCTTCTTTGCATTCGAGATCTACTGATTCTCCCCCAGCCCGCAAAGAACAAATATCTTCCAATGCGAGTTTCAGATGAGGACAAATACGCAAATATCCTTCATGTGCAATACAGGTTCTGGACGGCGATAGGCTCTGGCGAGATGACAGAGAAAAAAGTATTGCGGGGTGTTCGCATTTGCACGCCGCACAATACAGAGGATCCATCAACCCAGCAACGCGCTCAGCATATCCAGGAGCAGCTCTAGCTATCTGACAGGCTCTGCAATAGTGAAGAGAGGCAGAACCATCGTCACATGGCTGTGTACCGACATGAGAAACGGTATCGTCTTGTGAAACTAGTGTCTGACCCGAGAGTGATGTTTTATCGGAATGCAGCTCGTTTATGCTGCTTGTGGCATCTTGGGAAAAATTTGATTCTGATCTCGCGAGAAGCAACTCTTGATCCTCAGGTAAGGCGGAGGCATTGATGTTACTGCGACGGGACCATGGGGTGTGGCGACGCAAAAATGATGGTAACCAGTCCGTCATCTTTTGTAAGCGTGATGGTTAAGAGTTAAAAGAATGGATTTACTGGGCAAGGCATCGTGGGGTTATTTATGTGCTACTTGCAGTCGAGACTTGTGGCTGAGAGCTTAAATCAGCGGGCAGAACTTAGTAAAAGACTGTACTGCATGTGTTCCTCGACTGTTTAAGTTCTGTGGGCTGATGTACCCTAAAGCTTAATCTTATAGACGGCAGTCATCCATGTGGTCATTATGTGTGTTAACAACCTTAAATTTTACCTCACGTCGAGCAATCAGCTGCATAGTCGCAATAGAGACAGGCTTGGACAATGCTATTATTATTGCCTAGCTAGATCGATACACACCCATACACTCCTGAGTTTACCAGATATATATTTGTGCTATAGAACCGTAGCGGGTTTAATGATGCATGGGTAGTTACCAAGAAGACTTGTCTCTCTACAGCCTAGCCATAGAAAGGATAGGTCTTTGGAATAGCACCGCACCACCGTCTAGTACTATGAACCTCCATAATAGTTATCCCAAGCCAGCTCAATACAGGAGTAAATCGGAGCCAAATACTCACACTTGCGGTAGCCTGCTATATATTATCTGTAAGAAGGTTAGGGCGTATGCTTGTATCAGTAAGCTTCTACAGTTCTTTAATGAACCCAACCTCGATTACTTTGTCGGCATCGATATCAATATCAGCAAGCTTAGTTCGAGAGTTTTCTCGAAACCAAAGAAAGATCCACAGCAGCCAGGACCGGAGATAAGCCTTGGGAGATCGGACACTTGGCCAGCCAATTTTGATCGTCTCTTTACCAAGGATGTACACAGCAGGAGACTTCCGTGAGGATTGCACCAGGTCTAGCTCGGCATCTGTTGTATTGTTGCGTCGACCTCTTGCGATTGAAAGCACAATCTGTTGAACAATATCCTGAGCGAGACCCGGATACAAAATGCTGTCTGTGTAGCCATGGCGTAGTGTAACAGCATAACACGAATCGATTTCGGAGACGTGCCTTATGACATATCGATCGGTCATTGTAACTGTAGGTACCGGGAGGGGACGCATGTTGAAGAGAACAACGACTGCTGGTCGTGCGGCGAACTTGATGACGAACTGGAAGAAAGAAGGAGGAAGGGAGTTGGCGATGCCAGACTTGTCAAAGAATATCCCCAGGCCTGGAACAGTAGAAATAGGCGTTCCATCAAATGTAGACGACAGAGCCACAGTGCCTTTTGTCGCAGTGGTAGGAAGCAAGAGCGCTTGGGGCGAAAGCTGATCATGAGATTCTGCTTGCCACTGACACTCTTTTCCGAAACGCCACAGGGTAAAGAGGTAGGAGAGTATGAAGGCTAGAAGAAGGGTGAACCAGGCGCCGTCTGGAACCTTTTCGTAGACTGCCGATAGAAACGCAGCATCCAAACTGGCAAAGACCAGCCAGAGTGGCACGACTATGTACGCTGGAAGCCTCCAAACGAGAATTGCGACAAGGGAGACCATGCACGTCGTGACTGCATGAACTTATCTGGAATTTGCATCGCTGCTGGAGTATCAACTTACTAAAAGTGACTGTGATAACGCAGACACCATATGCGTTGCCTAGGGAGGTAGTCTATAGTGTTATAAGTAGTTGCTCAAGCCGCAAAATCAATGAAAGCGTACATTGTTGTATACTGCTGTAATGATAACCGTACCAGTCATGAGTAGCCAATTGCCCATTGGCATGTAGACTTGCTCGTGAAAGGTTTGACTAGTATGAATAACTTTAACCCGAGGAAAGTATGAGAGCCTCATTATCTGAGTGAGAAGTTGAAAGGTTGAAGTTATCATAGCTTGAGAAGCGACGATGGCTGCAAGAATCGCGATCACCAAGAAAATACAGACTTCCTGGAGGCACCGTATTGAAGAAGGGGTTCGTGAAAGCTTGTTTCGTCTCGTCGTGAGATATATACGCGGCTTGTCCTACATATGCGATGAGAAGACAGGGATAAGCCAAGCACATCCACGATAGTTGCACCGCACGTTTGCTGAACGCTCCCAGGTCCGCGAACAAGGCCTCGACGCCTGTAAAAGCCAAGAGCAGACCTCCGAGGGATTTCCAGCCCTCGTGGCCGTTGCGCACAAGATATGAGAAGGCAAAGTGTGGACTGAATGCCTTGAGGACGGTGTAATCGTGGACGGCGAGATTATAAATACCAGCGTAAAGGTTAAATGGCAACCAGATGACGACAACCGGTGCGAACATGGTACCGATCTTTGATGTGCCAAATGGCTGGATGAGAAAGAGTATAACAAGTATACCATATGAGATACCGACGATGGCAGAGGTTCCCAGGTCAGGATTGATAACCTTGATTCCTTGGATAGCTCCTAGGACAGACTGCGCCGGTGTCAGCACACCATCAGCCATGACCATAGAGACACCCAAGACGCCGATAAATTGCAAGAAGAATTGAATCGTTCTAGACTTCTCAAGAAGTCCACGAAGACTCTTGCCGCCAGCCTTGAGATCGCCAGTTTCGAACCTCTGCAATCGAATACCCGGCACATCCCTGGGATCTCGTCTCGAAATATCCGTATATCTCGCCAAGAGACTGTAAAGAGCAAATGTCCCTCCCTGTTCATTATCGTCGGCACTGAGAACAATGAAGCAGTACTTGGCGGTTACGATAAGGGTCAGAGACCATATAATAATCGAGAGGGCGCCGACGAGGTCTTGCCATGAAGGCTGAGACGAGAAGGTGGATGAGTAGACGTAAAGAGGCGAGGTACCAATGTCACCGTAGATGACGCCTGTAGCTTGGAAACTGAGCCACAGAAGTACCACTCCCCTATAAGTCTATTGCGATCAAAATCAGCGGCGTCTCGACCCTGGTGTAATCAGAGTTACTTGCTTGCTTGCGAGGGCCTTGCAGATCATTTCCTGCAATGGCCCGGGCTTTTTCTTCATCGTCGTCAATGCCGACGAATACATCTCCGGCATAAACATCAGCCTCAGTTTGAGCCATTTTAGGATTGACAAGGCGGAAAAATTTAGAAGATCGAAGAGGTGTTGCAGTAGTCTTGGGTCCAAGTTTCATGCAATATTCCTTGCTAACTATGCTCTGTAATATAGAAGACGAAAGGTGCTTTGGATTTTCTCGGCTTGTACCAACTGCCGTCTTGATAAGAACGTAATGGTTAGCAGAAACACTTTTCACAGTTTTCAGCCTATCGCCAAGGTGGTATCATCACCGGGATCCGGCAGCACCTCGATCCCACGTCTGCATGAGAAGAAGCGCCCGCAACAGGGTTCTTGACGGGCGCATCGATGACTCACGATATCCCAGGGCCATGTTGACAAGACATTTGATTTGAGTAAGTCAAATAGCATGCATTCTCAATTTTTCCTGATATTTCATTATTGCCAAGCGGCTTTCTTAGTAGCTGAATGCTTGGCTTCTCATTTGAGCTGACCCTTGGCTCTTTAGCGAGGTAGATTACTCCATAGAAGATGCGGGATTTTCTCTGGCAGGCCAATTAAGGATAAGGATAAAATGACCCCTGATCCGTTCTGTGCCCTTTGCTTGCGGCTCTGAATAGCCCCGGATGGCTCTTCTGGCCGTGCAGAGTCGAAGTGTATGAGGGAATATTTATCCCACCAAGCCTTTATAGATGGCCCCTTATCTTATCCCAATATCTAGGCCCTCCACGCTATCCCACTACCCAACACAAGCAGCTCCCTCATCGCCTTGATTTTCCTGCTGTCTCGGGTATGATTCTAACGCCAAATCTAATTGCCAGAGAAAGCAATGGCGAGCATCATAAACCTTCGGTCATTTTCATTATTCTAGGCATTGTCGCATTTGGCCTTGTACTAATCGCACCCTTCATCTTATGCAAAAGGGGATGTCACAGGCCAGAGCGCTATCAACTTGATGTCCCAGTGCCACAGAGTGCAGGGAAAATATGCCTCACTCCGCACGCCTTGAGCTTGATGCCGATTGATTGGTATCGAGAGACAGCAGCGGTTGAAGTTGATGCTTCGAAGCAAATTGGCAATTGCGCGGCACAAGCGAGCGCGCCAAGCTGTCTCATCTGCCTTAATGAGTTTAAGCAAGATACCCAGACTCGTTCTCTACCATGTGGCCATCGCTTCCATCCCAGATGTATTGACCCATGGCTTCTGGAGCGATCTATAACGTGCCCAGTTTGGTATGCTCTAGCTATAACTGATTATTTACCAGCCGGAACTAATTGCTGTAGTCGTGCAAACGTTGCAGAGGCTCTTCTCTACACACCTGCATTCCATCTACCAGCGGCACCTCGTCGAATGCTAAGCCGTAGACCAATAGTTAAGTTCACACTTCTCACCGGATTTTTTTGCAACCTAACAGAACACTAGGCTATCTCGGAGCTTCTTCCTATCGCAAGAATTCCAACTATTCAGTCTCACGGCCCAGGTACTGCCGTTCTTGCTCGGCAATTTCCACCTCAGGAACCACCGCTGCCGGCGACCCTGGAGGCTTCGTGCCAGGTTGGCCCCTCAGGCCGTTAGGACATGGAACAAAAGGGTTTGGGTTAGTGATGCTTCATAATTTGCAGCCGGCAAAGCAGGGAGTTCATTCACTCATATTTGTTCAAATATGCAACTGTTCTTCGAGTCCGACTTTGCATAACTATAACCTTCCCATTCTATCGAGTCACTCCTGATCGTCCCACGGATCTCAACCATTAATGAAATGCAACACTGCGGGAAAGTCAGCGCACTCCGCACGCTCTCACCGAGTCAGAGCGCTAGACTTGGTTCTTGTTCACTCCTTCTGTCGTCGATTATGCTTGAAAAGAGTCTCGGTCAATTAACTTTACAATTACTAGGCAGTTGAAAAGTGTTATGTCTAGCTATAGAAGTAGTAATTACTTTTGCAATTAAGCTTTAAGTTACAAATATTACTTAATAATAAACATGTAACTTAGAAAGGTATTTAAAATAGATATACTGTCGTTCTTTTATTAGATTAACTATAATAGGTAGTACATATTACCTTCCAAAAGCTGAAGTTAATTTGGGATTTTCCAGTGTCTTGGCTTGATATGTCTTGTTGAGACGTTATAGGCTTTAGGTATCTATCAATCAGTGGGAACAATCCTTCTGCCTGCAGAATTATTCTAGAAATGAGTCACAGCACACTACATCTTTAACTCTGGAGTTTGAGAATAAATGTTTACTGGGGCCCTTGCAAACCCCTTTTCTTCTTTAAAAATTGTCGCAAATCAAAGGTGCACTCAGCCATGTCCATCCATTTTCTCTCCTTAGAGCTGCAGCCAATCTGAACGCCCCTTATCTACAACCTCGACTCGGTTTCCGAAGCAGAGATTGCCACGATGGATCCTTTCGATAAATTACCCACAGAATTGCGCCTCAGCATCCTTATTCACACTCGCTCCAAACGGACTGTTTCCTCTCTCACTCGAGCCTCTCCTGCGATGCTTCGGCAATATCACACACATGAAAGATACATCGCCCGAAGCTTGATCGCCGCTGACTTTGACGACGAGATGGTTCAGGATGCCATGGCAATCCTATTCATTCAGAACTCCTGCACATCTTCCTTGCGTAAGCACATCCTGGATTGGTCAAAACATCGGCTGCCAAACCCCCTCAAAGATCACAATAATCAGCGGTTCAGTCAGCTATTCGATCAGCTGAACACGCTACACAGTCGACTCCTGTTCTTCATCGAGGATTATGTCACTAAGGCTACTTCATCCTATCCTCCGAGGGATTATCTTTGTCTTCCACAGACACCAGAGTCAAAGCTGCCAACGACCGAAGGACATCTCATGTTTAATGGGCAGAAAATAACGGCCAGATTCAATGTATCTAACCTCAAAGACACAGAGACACATAGGTTCTTGAAGGCATTCTTACTCTATGAGCTGAATTGCAAGGTCAAGACCTCTTTGGCCGCGATCCGGCCCAGGCTCCCTCAGCGAGAACTTGACACCGCCGAACATGAGGCTATCAAGTGTGTCAATACCTACGTCTGCTCTCTTTACTGCGCCATGTTTGCCCAATGCGGCAATGCATGGCTCCCAGATGCTTCTACTTCGCTTCAAACTGGGCTACTGTTTCCAGATACTTTCTATATCAACCCCGAGATGTATGCCTCTGATATGGGACAGCTCGAACGAGTTAGAGCGGGCTATGATATAAAGAATGAAAACAAGGTCGAAAGTAGCTTTGCTCGATTTGGACTTGGTCCCCTAATGGAGTTTCTCAGTCATGACATGTCCGATGTACGCGACAAGCAAGCCTTGAAAGAGCGTCTTAGAACCTGGTATATACAGAATTACGAGTACTCTTACAAACCTGGCATACTTTATTCCACGGAAAGGATCACTAGCCGCGCGTCGCCAATCTACAGCCAGCTTTCCTCTGAGGTCGACACAGAGCTCCAACTCAACATCTTTCGTCAACGAGCCTGGGCGTTCTTCGATGATCGCCGGTTGTACCCCAAGGGCAGTACCGGAAGGCCAAATTTTCCAACACAGAGCTTTCTTGATAAACAGCCTAGTAAGCAGGCTTGGGTTGAAGGTTGGTTTGACAATCCAAGCCAAGCCAGAGCTTTACGGCGCTCACAACGTTGGCATGATGAGTTGTGTGCTGGCTCAGATTCTGAGGATGCAGCAAGGATCCAATGGCTATCTCATTGAGTTAGTTTTGGTAAGTAGTAGCTGATGAGTGGGTTCTCTGGAGCACACCGTCTGGTGTTATAAGTTGTATTCGAAAAATATCATGCTTAAGGTCACCGGCGTCAGCTTTGCCAGCACTTCTAACAAATACTCTTGTCCTGTATTTTAGCAACCCAAATTTGAATTATGGCGAGCAACCAGCTACATAGTCTCAATAGACATGCATGGTATAATTCTATAGTCAGCCAACATTATCCAAGCCAATCTCGATTTTAACAGCTTCTCCAGAGGGTACAGATCATTGTTGACACTCACTCCACGAAGCCACAACAGACATGAAGCTGGTAGGAGTGTATGAAATGATAGTCGTTGTTATCAATTTTATTATTGAATCCAGATTATAATACAGCTCTCCGTTATCCTGAATCCTCGTAGTCGTCAATTCCAGAACTCCTGTGGGGGATCAAATGCGCTTTATCTCATGGATGCAGATAACGAACAAAGAGACTGACTTGGAGCAAAATAATTCGTTGCAGAATCTCACACTCACGACTTAATAACTATCTCTCTGATGCTCAGTTCCTTGGTAGTCTTTGTGATGGACCTCCAGCAGAAGTTCCGTCACTATCAGAAGTTGGTGAATCAATAAAGTGCTTAGTGCTGGCTAATTGAATGAAGAGAACTAAGAAGCATTCTCTCATATGCAGCTCTTATTGAGGTACAGTACTCTTTGTTGCAGCTGCATGATATGCCACTCTGACACAACTCATAACAAAGGGCCTTTTACAAGCCTATGAAAAATGATCAGTCACTCTCTTCGCCAAGAACTGAAGGATTCACGTTACGCCCATGAACCAAGGTCATGATGGACATTCACCTTTTCTTAAGATAACTACAAATGCGCTCTTATGGCAACCTTTTCCAGGCTAATTCATCTTGAACCTTTTGTCACTCATCACTGTTGTTCTATCATAGGTTTTCGAACTCCACTCTGTGATACCAACCCATCTTCATTCTATTTCTACATCACTGTCTCTCTCAGCTTGAGAGATATGGCAAACGCTCAGAATGCTGGCCTTTCTGGCACCCCACCTGACCCAAATATCCGGTTTTTCGTCTACTTGGACGAGTCCAACTTCCGAATCAGTGGTGAGGCTGAGAACAAGAAGCGCCGTGGACTTCATCCCAAAGCCCCTTTGAGCTGGCATTACGATATCCGCGTGCTCAAGGGTATCATCCGCAAACACTCCGCGATGAACGTGGACAAGAAGTTAAAGTTCATGGTTTATGGATCTAATATCGAGCATGGCCTTGTTCATCAAGATTTGGAGCTTCATACTTCAAAGGTCATAACTTTCGCTAGACCAGAAAATCGAAGAGAAACAAGTCGATACTTCCCTTGTCAGCGACATGTCAGCACAGGCAGTCAGTTCTAAAAATGACAAACAGTCTGCTGTGTTCGCCATTATTTCTGGTGACAGCGACATGAGACCTGCAGTCAGACTTGCTTCTCAATACGGGCATACTGTGCACGTCTGGGCTTGGGAAGACTCGTTGTCAGGTGTATACCGAGAACTTGAGCGACAAGGCCTCATCAGCCTCCATCTTCTTGACGGGTTCCTGGATGATCTTACTATGCGCAACACTGATATCCCTGTAGGGAATGCGTCTATCCCTCGTAATGGCATCGTACTTCCCAATCACTGGAAGAGCTCTCTTAAGATTCTCGATGGAATGAGCCACGAGCTAACTCAAGGCAAATTCGTGTCGGTAAAGAGATCAAATGATGGGAGAAATTACTGCACCGATGTTGCTTTTTTGCTTCATAACGGCCTTCCGAATCAGGATGTCTTATTTCGATGTGTGCTGAAGAACCTCCAAGATCAAGGACTGCATGCCATGAGCTTCGTGGAGTATTTCTATGGCTCAACCCAGCTCGAGGTTCTTGGCCCTTGATCGCCTTTCGTCAGTGGGTGATGTTCCGGAGTCTGAGTTCTTTTTTGAGTTGAGCTTTCCGAGGCTCGGGCGAGGTTTGGAGGCCGCTGGGTCGTGGTAGCTTGGATTTGGAGAAATGATACATTTGGAGGTCACTTCGTGTTTGGGTTTTATTAACAGGTCTAAATCTACGTTTCGGCTTGGTTTGCTTAGGCTTTTATGTTAGGGTTGCGACAGATAGACTGCAGAATGGGAGTGTCTGAACGAATGGGAATAAATTATCCTTGCGGCGTGCAGTATCTGTGAATTCGGAAAGATATGCAAATGAAATGCTAGCACCTTTAAATAAATTACCACGTGGAGTTCTGTCTCTATTATTGTAAAAGTCGGGTATCCTCGTCCAAAACACCAAACAGACTCCCTATCTCCTTTCCAATCATCCGCAGTTCGTCTGCAACCTGCCCTGTGACAAGAGCATACGCATAAAGGAGTGCATAGTCCTTCTCTTCCACGAGCAGTTCATGTGAATCACTGCTCTCACCACCCTCGTTGATTAATCTCCTCGGGTGTTCCTTTCTGAACTCGAAGATCTTGCTCAGCAAGTTCTCGCGTGCTGATACAATGCTTGGTGTAGCGTCGGCGAACGGATACTCCAGCATCGTTGAGCTGGCAACGACCTGGAAAGCTTGGCAAATGTGATCGCACAAAATAGCGCGCTCACGAGCTGTATATTCGAGCAATGCCCTCTCACCTTCTGTAAGATGGCCCTTTCGACATGCAACGAGACTCATGTTGTAGAAGCCATCGAGGATACGCATAGTGCTTTTCAGAACACGGCCGTAGACTTCCATGGGGAACGGGCCCCGTAGCTCGAACTCTGAAGCTGCAGCAAGCCTCAGGCTATCCAGGTTTGCGGCATACCTTTGTAAAGCAGCTTGCTCGCCTGACTTGAGATAGCTTTGGGATCCTTCACTGCGGAACAGTACTGTGAGAGGGCCTCGCTTCCAGATAAGACCCATCTGCAGATGGAGCACAGAAAGACTCTCCTTGAACTTCCGGCGGGCAGAAATGGGCCATATAAGTCGGCAAACCACCAGGCCCCAGATAATGCCTGCTGTAACAGCGATAGCGCGACGCTTTGCAATCTCCATGATGTCAGGTTGGCTGAACTGCCCATCTTCAGTCGTATCATTCCCATCTGCTTTCCTCTTCACTCTGTACGCGTACAATGTAGAAACATTGTAAGCAAGAAGACTAATCCTCCCCAAAGAAGCCTTGCCATGCTGAATAACAAGGTAAAAGTTTATGAAACTCGTCAGCCAGCCAAGAGGAATTAGAGCCAAGGCGTACCCATGGCTTATCTTCCAGTTGATCACGGAGAACAAAGCACCAAATAGTGTGCCGATGAAACGAGCAAGGCTGACAGTGTTGGCAGCTCCGACTGTGAAACTGCACACGATTATGAAGGACAGAAGACCCCATTCGCCGCGCCACTCGGTGTACAGCTCTCTCGTCTCCTCGAGGAAGGCTAGCATCGCCCATAGGGCGGCTCCTATCCCAACTTTGAGACCGAACTGAACTGCTTGAAGTTAGCGAATGGGTGGTTGGAGATAAAGGGCTAAGAGAGGTAAGAAAACTCAGGACCTTGATCCTAAAAAGCAGGCTAACTTGGCATAAGTTTAGGATATCTTTGCCAGATTTAGGACACCTTTTGTTGGGTTTATTTTGATCACTTATATCAAGGCCTGATGTTTTCCTGCTCTCTGGAAAGGGAAACTTACTATCATCTCGTGCCATTTTCTTAAACAGCGCAGAGAGGTTTCTCCAGAACCAAGCCAGTATCTTGTTCAGATCAGGCGCATTATACCAGGTTCTTAAATCTACCGGCGCAGGAACAGCAGCTGAGCCATCAGGTACACTAACAGACCTCTGTCTCGTCCGCATCAACGTATCAGCCTCCACAGACTCAAACAGTCTGATCGCTTTATTCCGATCTTCTTCAGCACCGGCCTTCCACCAGAGCAGCCATCTCCAACTTCGACTCTTGCGTATAATCACATACTCAAGATCATCCAGAACATCGAGGTACTGAAGAACGTCTTCGCCGAAAGATTGAAGGCTGAAGGTGAAGTGGCCACAAGCAGCAGCGACTTCTTCGAGACTAGCGCGTGTTGATTCGTGTGATGAAGCCATCTGCTCTATTCGGTCGTAGAGACCTTGCAAGGCATCTGATCTCGCGGTATCGAATGTGCTCAACGAGTCCATCAAGTTGCGCCGTAGATCTTCGTCAACGTTGATTTCGTAGCTGGGCGGCTGTCCGAACTGAGGCTCATGAAGAATTCTGCAGAGATTCTGGCGTACGCCTGTCATGGACATTGTGATCGATTCGTTAAACTGCTCAAACAGCTGGCGCGCCGTATTCGGTGAAGCCGTTCCCGACACTTTTGGGCTGAGCGGCTTGTGATGCTTGAGCTGTTCAAGCTGAGTGTTGGTCGCATTCCTCAAACCACCCAGCGCCTGTGCCAACGTCTCCATAGACCTTGCAACAGTCCTCTCATGCTCGTAAATCTCTTCGTGTCCAAGAAAATAATGCTCAAACTTGGCTTCTCTCATATCCTTCATCATCTGAGCATACGACTTTGCATAATGTGTGGATGCCGCCGTGAACCCATCCGATACAAGCCCCTCTTCAGACCCGCTGAGGAAACTGTTGGTGATCATGTATAGCATATCTCCCAGCGGTATCGAGACGCGATTCATCGTTTCTCGCAGTGACGTGCGGGCGCTCGTTCGCCAGAGCAGTAGGTTCACCGCCGTGGTAGTCGTGATGCCCATAACCAGCATCTTGAACACCTGGAGTACCTTCTCATTAGAGAATACGTTCGACATTACGTGACTTTCTTTGGTTACGACTCCGATTATCGCGAGAGCGGCAAGGGTGCTGCCGACGTTGACGAGCGGGTTCAACATTCTTTGTTTCACCCATCCCATAAACCCAAACCCACCACCGATAAAGACCACAACAACTAAAACATGTGATAGCGTCACCAAATGCATGGTTGACCCAAAAAACACAGACGTAACCATTGAAAGCAGCGAAACCGTCTCCGCGTAAGCAACCGCCACAACAGCAATGAGAATAGCCTCAATCATCGACCCCACCGACCTCGCAGGGTGAAAATACACCGTAATAGTAGCAACGACATGTTTACCCTCTGGTTTGCCCAGAAAATTCGCTAGAAACGGTACAAAAGTCGCAAGGCTGGCGATGGTGTAGGCAACAGTGCACTTTAGCACGCCACGGCCATTCGGCGTGTTGAGCCAGAGTTGAGTGCGCGCCAACGAGTCGGAGATGCCATTTCGGATGGTCTCGCTTAGAGGTGGCATGTCGTGAGGCGGTGACTATGGGTTTGTCATGATGTTGGTGGTGGTGTTGATGACGATAAAAGTATGATGCCGTAGTTTCCGGACTGAGTGGTCAGATTGGGTCATGTGATTGGTCAGATGGTGAGATTTGGGTGGTTGGTTGGTTGGTTGAAAACGTCAGACTCGTTTTAGCTTTGACGTCCACTCACTCACCTTTAGGGACTTGGCCTTATACCAGTATCATTGCTCAGAAATAAGGTAAAGCTCAGACTGCAGAATGAGTGCGTCAACTTTACAGCCATTACAAAATGCCACCAGACAGCTTTGGACGATATTTGCTGAATTTAGCTAAACCGCACTAAACTTGGAGTAGTTCTTAAAAGAGGTTTCCATAGCCCAGACCAGACGATGTGTCTGCAAAATCTTAAACTAAAAAAGCGTTTGTTTTCCCCAGAACCTACTCTCTGAAAAGTTATTTCGGGTGCTCTTTTATAAAAGTCAATCAATAAGGCTCCCACTCAGAATGAAGAGAATCCGTATTGTCTTCCAAATCTCTCACCCAGATGTTATAAACTTTCATAATGAATTGGTCAAGCTTCCTATTTCGAAACTCAAGATGATGAGGAACAGATATATAGAGACCAGCTGCGAGGTCGATTTTTGGACTTGAACATACAACCCATTTTATTCTCGTCGCAGCATATCACTCACAAAAATGGTCCGTCACGACGACACCGACTCGTTGGGTCGGGAAAAGAGCCCTTCACTCACCTTTGAGACTGCTTTCCCATATGTTGATCTTTCTTTAGAAGACGACATTGCGGATGCCAATAGGCCCTCACTCATTATTCCCTCCCCCGACAGGCCCTCTTCCTTTAGGTCCTTATCCATTAGGTCCTCATCCATTGGGCCCTTGTCTCACCTATCAAGGCCATTCCCCATAAACCACGAGTCAGACTGGCGTGCAAAGCTCTGCGTCTTTGGCTCATTCCTCTTTCTCTTTTGCTCCGCTGGTACGTCTCACATTACCCATTTTGCATCAATAAACATCTGATGGAATTGTCTCAACATGAGTCGTTCATCATACGTTCTCTCACTCCCTGCTCCCTTTCAGATTTGGCTAACACCAAACCCCAGGTTTTAGCGGCTCTCTCGGCACAATCCAATCATATTTCAAGACCTGCCAACTCAAAAACTATACCAACAGCGAAATCGGCTGGATCCTCGGTACATATCTATTCCTCGCTTGCATCCCCAGTTTCCTCTACGGCACCCTGCTCGACCGCTACGGCCCTCGACTCCTAAGTGCAGTCGGAGGTATCTTCTCAACAGCCACTTTTCTTATAATGGGGCAGTGCAAAACATATTGGCAGTTCATGCTATGCTTCGGTGTCTTTGGCAGTATCGGCGCCGGCATCAACTGCACTGTTGCTATTGGAGTAGTGGGAAAGTTATTCGCTCGTAAGCAGGGCTTGGCTATGGGCATCGCTGTGACGGGAGCTTCCCTTGGCGCTACCATCTTTCCACTTGTTCTTCAGTCAACGTTTGACAATCTTGGTTGGGTTTGGTCCATGAGGATCGTGGCCATAGTCATTGCCTCCTCGACGAGTATAGGATTCCTCTGTTTTCTGCCCTTCGACCGACTCGTCGTATTGACCGATAACTTTGACTCATTTGGAAATATAGGTTCGGCATTTGATCTCTCGGCATGGAAGAACTCCGGCTTCATTTTCGTGTCTTGCAGCCTCTTCCTGATGGAGTTTGTCAACTCTGGCGTATTCGGTCTGCTCCCAGCTTTATCAGTTGCCACTGGTATGACTGCACAGGACGGATTCAGCCTTCTTTCGGTCATAGGCGGGATCTCATGCCTCAGCCGCTTAACCATAGGCCTTTTAAGTCATTATATCGGAGGGGTCAACACAATGGTCGGCACAATGGTGGTAATGACCATTCTGATGCCCCTCGCCTTCGCCAATTGCACTACAGGCGGCGGACCGAGCGGACCAGTATTTCTTTACACATTCGCAGCATTTTGGGGTTTCCTCTCGGGATCTTTCTACACAGTGGCTCCAATGTGCATCGCCAGAACATGCGATCCAAAGGAATTTGCACGGTATTATGGTATGTATCTCATCAACTGCTCTTGGGAATATGACTAACAATGGCTCAGGTTCTGCCAACTTGCTTGTAGGAGTATCGTTGCTGATCGGTAACCCTTTGAGCGGCGTTGTATTGGAGAAAGCGGGCGCACAGACTCTGGCATACCTCTATCTCGGCATTATCCTTTTTGCAATGGTGTCCATTGTGGTAGCCCGTGGACTTATTCTGGGGACTTTCACCACTTTGGGTGTAAGGGTCTAGGAGGATGTCTGTTATAGACTCGCAATTCTGTGAAATGGACAAAATGCAATGAAGGGGGGATGAATGGGAAAGCATTTATTTGTATATGGCGCAATTGGTTATGCATTGTGGTATAATATCCAAGTTCTTGGTTTTTGGCAGTTGAGATTTGTGGTTGAGAGTTGATGTTTACCAGTTAGATCTTATTTTGCACATTATTTATGAATCGGAAAACAATTAACGTTGAATAACGTTTCGTAACAGAAAGGCATCAAGGCAGCCTTGGTATCTCGATGCAATACAACCCTCTAGGGAAGGAAAGCAGACTGAGGGTCTTGATCTCAAATGACAAAAAGACGAAGGTCACTTAGCATAAATTTTAGTATATATTTTGCTGAATTTATTTTAACACTGTATGTCAAGGTCTGGTGTTTTCTTTCTTGCTCTCCGAGGACCCATTGACGATCCGAAGTCGGTCGTCGGATCGACTTCACGCCGGCTCGTAGGTCATAGCGCACAGCATGTCGTTCAGCTCGGCATCTAGACCAGTAAGACCGTTGCATGTTATCTAATCGATCTGATCTCTCTCCAGCATCGCGCATTAGATCCAAGCCATCAAACTCTTGGTGGCGTGTTTGCGGTATCAATTCCGCTAATACGAGCTCAGAGTCCTTCGCTTTGCTTCCATTCAAATGAGATGAGATGTTGCATTACAATGTTTAAGCAGAAGTAATGTTACAATTAATTCACATCCTTGTTCACATAAAACATAGCGGACGCTTCTCACAAAAACACCAACGGATGTCCGGATGTCAAGGTTAATTTTGACAAGGTACAAAGTTTACGAGGCTAGCGCTCTAGGCCGGAATGCATCGTTGTGCTGACTGCCGACCTTGATGGGGTCTGTGCTGTCACTGCCTGTCAGCTGAGGTGATGCCGGGCCTTCCATGACAATGAATATTTATAAGACTAGATGCTGCTGTCAATATAGTTACGCCCAGATTGTAGTGCTCAAGTCCAAGTAAACATGGATAAGCAGCCTCAAAAGGTGGCTGTCATCGGCCTCGGTGGGTATTTCGAGTACCTCACCTCAATTGAGGACGGCACTGACACAACCCAGGCATCGCCGGCCTTGTCGCTGTCAAAAATATGCTCGAAGTCGGTTTCAACGTAACTGGATTCGAGCGCAGTAAGTATGTCGGAGGTCTTTGGCATTACACCGAGCAAGACAAGACATCAGTCTTACCGAGTAAGCACACAACATAAAGCAGTACACGATGTGTCGCTGACATATCTGAGGTACCATCATCAACATTTCCAAGGAAAGAGTATAGTACTTACTTGATCTCGTTCACTTCATGTCTCGCCAAAATTGCTGACTGCTGTAGGCTGCCTTTACAGACTTCCCATACCCAGACTCCACACCAAGCCATTGCCCGTCCGCCAAAGTGGAAGAGTACATTGAGTCCTACGTGGACCACTTCAACTTTCGCCATAAGCTTCGCTTGGGCGTATCAGTGGAAAAGATACGACGCGATGACGAGGGTAATCGCTGGGTTGTAGACATCCAGGGCTCTGAGCCTGAATATTTCGACAAGGTCGTCATGGCGACGGGCGGAAACAATCGTCCTCATATTCCCAACGTTGACGGCATGGAACAATTTGAAGGCGAGGTTCTGCATTCGCGCGCCTTCAAACGGTGTGTCACTACGACCCTTATTGATCCGCAGGTTGACTGACGATGATGGCAGGCCTGAACTCTTCAAGGGCAAGCGAGTGGTTGTTGTCGGCGTCTCCAACACGGGCGCAGACACAGCCGCAGCTCTTTGTGGCCATGCGGAAAAAGTATGGCTATCTCGTAGTCACGGTGCTATAGTGGTGAGTTGCCCATAGTCAATTCCAAGTCGCGTTGCTCATTGTCGCAGATCCCACGAAAGCGCGATGGCATCCCATTCGATCACACCCTTACGGCGCGCACAATGGCGTTTATGGGAATGTTCGAGAGTAATTTTCCCCGTCTGTACGAAATCATCTTCAACGCCATCTGCAAGAAAATGCAGGACAACGCGTTCAAGATGAGGCCCGAATGGGGTCTTTCTCCTGCAGATTCCGTCCTGCACACTCTGCCTGTCATATCGGATAACCTCATCCCTCTACTCGAGTCGGGCAACATCACCTGCATTCCAAAGATAAAGCGCGTCACGGGGTGCAGAGAGATTGAGCTCACGGACGGAACGCGTCTAAATGTTGACACGATCATCTGGTGCACTGGATACAAGGCAGACTTCGGCCTCCTAGACCCGAGCGTTGATCCCGCGCGCAACACAACGCCAAAATGGGCAGAAGCAACCGGATCTCGTGGAAAACCGCTTCCACGACTTTATCAGAACGTGTTGTCGCTCGATTACCCAGATTCGCTGGCCTTCATGGGCAATGTCCTCGTCGCAACAAGCGCATTCCCCATCAGCGATCTCTGCACCATGGCAATCGCACAGATCTGGAAAGGAAACTCTCCCCTCCCCTCAATTGCCGAGATGAACCGCGCCACGGACAGACAGCACGAGTTGATCTGCAAGCTCGCCAACGAGGGCAGCGTGTCACCTGGGTGGTTACGACAGGCTGAGTGGCTTGCGTGGGCTGACAAGGCAGCTGGGTCGCAGGTGTACGAGCATCTCGGATGGGGATTGAAAGGATGGAGACTATGGTGGAGTGATCGCGCTTTGTATAGGATGTTGATGGATGGGGTCTTTACGCCGTTTGTGTGGAGGGTTTTTGATGGGGAGGGTAAGAGGATGAAGTGGGATGGGGCGAGGGAGGCGATTGAGAAGGTTAATGCTGAGTTGGCGGCTGCAAAGGCGAGGAACAAGAATAAGAAGAGTCAGTAAATGAACATGGCTAGGTAGAGATGAGCGGGTTGTAGTAGAAGCTTGACGAATATGGTGGAGCGAAGCCAAGAGGCTAAGATCTGACGAGATAATTTAAGCATAATAACCATGGAGATCGCTCAATGTCCGTTCTGACTGGGCGCTGAATGGTTCCGTTTCTGCTGCATTTGTCATGCCCACCTCTTTGTTACACCGTCTTGGCGAGAAGTTGTGGATGTCCAACAGACAAGCTGTTGGTCGGGGTTTGAAGATAATCGTCCTCGTTAAACCGACTATTGGTGCATCTCACTCAGATATGGAATGAGTTAAGCCGAAAAACGTTATATCAACGTTATGCCCAACGTAAGATACGCATATCATCCTGCAAGTCTTACTCTGCATGATGCGACCGAGGGTGAAGAGGGAGTATAAATGGCAGAGTAAGCCATGATCAATTGAGCATCTCAATCACTACAATTCTAGCGTACACGAACATCAATCTTTATCAAGGTCTTAATACATTCCCCAGACATGTCACAACTCAAGAATTACACTTACGAAGGCGTCGGCGAGTTTCTCACAAACTTCCTCAACTACGCGCAAGCTGTCCGTGTCGGTGATCAACTCCAGCTCAGTGGTCAAGGTACATCACCACGCCCCTCCAATCTCTCACCCACAAATACTGACAAATAACTCCAGGCGGCTGTTTTATTAAAGATGGGGACCTGGTCTTCGCAGAAACTCAACTTGAGCAAATTGACTTGGCCTTCGAAAATGTGGACAAGGCGCTGAAGGCATCTGGTGGAAAGGGCTGGGAGCAGGTCTTCAGAGTGAACTCGTACCACACGGAAATCACGCCTGAAGTTGGACAGAGAATGGCGGAGAATTACAAAAAGTGGATGCCTAATCACAAAGTCATTTGGACACAGATTGGAGTGAGGCAACTTGGTGTTCCGACCATGTACTGTGAGATTGAAGTGTCAGCTTATGACCCTGAGGGGACAAAGAAAGAATGAGCTTCATAAATGGACAAACACAGACCAAGATATATAGACTGAATGAGAAAACAAATCCACCAAGCTACACCATAGCGACGGACCACTAATTAATTTATATCAATCACTGATCAACGACAGCACAACCTTTTCCTGCCTTCGACTATTTGCATGCTTCTCTAGGGTAGCACAAAAACCAGTGACGCAGCATGCTGACTAACAATTCCGAGATCGCCTCTGCCTCATTTAGGTTTAGTGCGGGTCAACCTTTCGCGCAAGAAGGATCTTTTTTCCTTCGCGACATCATCGTTTCATTCACCGCACAAAGAATATCTGCATCCCCAACCACACAAAATGCCTCCGCGCAACAACAGGCCGCGCAACTCGCGTCCAAGAAATGACCGTCCTCTCCGTCCCGAAGCCGACAGCTATCGACCCGGCGACAGGTACGACCTGCCTCCCCGACCGCCGCCCCGCGATAATTATGACCACGCCGATTCATACCGCCCGCGCGTGCCGCAGGGCGACTTTACCTTTCGTGTAGACAAGCCGGCTGGCATGCCTGATTTCCCGACCGATTATCGTGGACCATCCGATAGAAGAGGGCCGCGTCGCGATGGTGGTCGCGGTGGCCGAGGTCGGGGCAGAGGAGGAAGGAAGTGGCAACCCCCGCCTCATCCGTCCGAACGCGCTTTGGTATCTGGAGCAACTGCGAATATGCCCGAGGAGCGACTTGGTGAAGAAGGCGCTGCCAAATACCGTGATGTCGAGGAGCTATCAGATGACGATGAGCTCGAAATGGACATTTCTTCATCCTCCGAAACAGAAGGACCTTCCAAGAAACGTGCCAGAACAGGAGACGATGAATCTGGCGATGCTGCACCTAAGTGGTCAAATCCCGATCCCTACACCGCCCTCCCATGCCCCGACGAGAGCACCCGTAAGAAACGGGATATGGTCAAGCTGATCCGAAAAGCGCGCGTGGAAGACCAGTCGGATAAATTAGCTGCTTCAACCGAAGCCGAGGACTTTATCTCGTTTGACCTGACAGAAGATGAAGAGAGCAGTGAAGAAGAAGAGGAAGCACCGCCGCCTCCCCCGCGTGAACCACCACCGCCACCGCCTCCGAACGCGCCCTCTGGACCGAAAGCTGAGACTGCGCGTTTGCCCGAGAAGCCGCGGGCGCCTGCTAATGGGACTTTGGATACGGCTCGAAGAAATGACCCGCTTGGATCCCGCAAGCGAACTGCTGATGATGAGATCAAGCCTCCCGATTATGGACAGTTGAAGAAGGCGACGACGAAACCTTCGAAGGGTGCGCTTTTGCCCAGTTGGCAGCCGAAGACAACGGAGGACCCATGCCCTTGGGACACTGTCGATCACTCTGCTACCATGAACATGCCTTTCCGGTAAGTGCAGCATCCTTTCTACCGCCCACCAGTCGCATTGCTGGCCAAGCTTCCCCCTCGCTCCTGTACTCGGACTAACGTTTGCAGATTACACAAGGAGATCATCGACTTCTACGAATACGTCAGACCCCGCGATTTCGAACAGCGAATTCGTGACAACCTCGTCGAGAACCTTCGAAAAGCGATGCGACGCGACGGAAGGAACTTCGCGAGCGCCTCGATCCACCCCTTCGGTTCCTTCATGTCAGGCCTCTACCTCCCCACTGCAGACATGGATCTGGTCGTGTGCTCCGCAAGCTTCATGCGAGGCGGTCCCCCGACATACCTGTCAGCAAAGAGCTGGCTGTACAAGTTCCAGAAATTCCTCACCAGCCAACACGTAGCCGACCAACACTCCATCGAGGTTATTGCCCACGCTAGAGTTCCGCTGGTCAAATTCGTTGACAAGCAGACTGGCCTCAAGGTCGATGTGTCGTTTGAGAACTTGGGCGGTGTCAACGCTGTCGACACTTTTCTTGAGTGGAAGGCCCAATATCCTGCTATGCCTATCTTGGTGACTGTGATCAAACATTTCCTGCTCATGCGTGGTCTGAATGAACCTGTAAATGGAGGAATTGGTGGTTTCACAGTGATTTGCTTGGTTGTTAGCATGCTGCAGCTTATGCCACAGGTACAGAGTCGAAACCTCATTCCGGAGCATCATCTCGGCGAGATGCTTCTCGAGTTCTTCCACCTCTACGGGCGCGAGTTCCGCCACGATACCAACGCCATCTCCCTGACCAGACCGATTGGGTACATCCGAAAGGTATGTCTTGCCACACTTCTCTACCGTTACTTTTCTTGCTAACACTCTCAGTCCGAGGTCCGAAGCCTCACGTACAAGAACTACGACCGCCTTTCCATCATCGACCCTAACAACTCGGGCAACGACATCTCCGGCGGCTCATCCAACACCATAGCGATCCTCGACCGCTTCAAAGAGGCGTTCAAACTCTTGCGCGAAAGAATGGACGATATTGCCCGTGATCCCAACAAGGGCAATATTCTCGAAGTGATTCTCAGAGGCGACTACTCCTCCTTCAGAATGCAGCGTGATTTCCTCCGCCACGTACACGAGAAGCATATCGGACCTTGTTCTTCCTGATCCCACTTTTCCTGGACACGATCAAAAAGCCCATATTGATACCCCCAATCGGTTGTGCATATTATTTGATGCCGGAGTTTTTTGTGTCTTTTTGCTGGTTATGGACATTTAGACGGGGGAGGTTTTACCTGGCTTTGGAAGACGTCATGATCTTCGCATTTCTTTCTTGTTGTTATTCACCTTGCATTGTGTATAGTAACGCCGTGATGAAGGGGGATTGTTGTTTTTGGGACTGGCGCAGATTACATTTCCATTGAAAGGCGCTCACGCATCGGCCTAGTGGCCTAGAATTGGACGACGAATTTATTCACCACGATCCGAACTTGTTCTACTAACCTATGCAGTGACATGACGCACCACTACGCTGACGATACTCGCAGTTTTTTTTTTTTTTTTTTTTTTTTTTTTTTTTGAAAGAGTGCGGAATGCATTCGACGTCCTTTCTTCGGTTTATAGCTGTTGAAAAACTCGTTGTTTTTTGGACAACACTTTTTCTCACTGCTTTTCTGCTATATGCAGGGCTGTGGAGAGGATTGAACATGGTGATGGGGATGAGAGTGAGATCTAGTGGAGGTGAAGGTGTCGTAGGAGGGCCAGCATCGTCGCTAGAGGTCGAGGAGGTTGCAGGATCGGGACACTACCGATGGAGTTCAGCCCAAGACACCAGAGTGGAATACAACATTTGACTTTAGATAGATATACCTGATCCATTTTGTTATTTAGATAGACATCTTCAGTTTTCTTGTCCTCAAAGTAAATTAGATCTTAGATGCAGATCCATGCAATTCTTTAATTAATCGCCGTGGAACTATTGACAGTGGCGTCGTCTTAGCCTCAGACTATTGCCTCTAGCTCAGGACATCAACGTTCTTAAGTCTGGATCTCCCCTGATACAACCCCATTCCTTTCCTTTCCTCACTTCTTTATTCTCCGCGGCCATTAAAATGCCTTCAACAAAGTCCATCGCCGTCGTCGCGACCCTCGCAGCAAGCGTCACCGCATCCAACTGCAAACCAACCCCAAAACCCACCACCACCACCTCAGCTCCCACTACAACATCATCATGCCCCGCCTACACGCTCATCTCAGAACCAGCCGAAGACATAAACTGCAACGTACGCGGCGATCCCAAAGAGGGCCAAAGCCAGGTTTTGGAAAGTTTGTACCTGGATGATTGCGCGCAGAAATGTAAAGAGTTTGATCTGTTCAACTGTGAGCTTATTAGCTTTGTGGAGCCGGCTTCGGCAGAGGAGCAGGGAAGTTGTACGCTTTATCCGGATACTGAGATTGTGAAGAGGCCGAGGGGGGGAGAGGTTGTTTATTATGACTCGAGATGTTTTGCGTGTTATACTAGGGGTGGTAGGGGTGGAAGGGGAGGGGGGAAGTTGAGGGGGAGGATTAGGAGGAGTTAGATGTGATCTTTGGGCTGGTGACGGTGTTTTGGAGGTTGCGCTTTTTGACCGTGGTTGGTCGGGCTACTGGCTTTTCGGGCGGTTCTTTTTTATATTGCCAGCTTACGGCCACATCTCCTATAAAATGGCTGAATCTCATTCTAATATAGGTAGTATTTATATATGTCCAATGTGTTATAAATCTTATCAGATAAGCACATCAAGATCTTGGCATTGTCTAAAAACAGTAAGCGACCGATCGGCTGTGAACCTTGATGGATCCTCCACAGCAAAAGAATTGGTCCAATAGAACTGGCGACATTATTAACGTCAACTTTGATCCGCTGCACATTTTGCATTTTCTCAAACTATCTTTGGTAACTGCAGCGAGGTCGATTCAAGAAAACAAGTACGTTTCAGCCACGGTGACTGATGGAGACCTTGGCTAATCGGTGACTATAGTGCTTGACTACCTTTGGGGCGATACGAGTAAAGAGGAGAGGAGGTTGATACGAAAACTTGGTGAGTTACTCCATCCTTTGGACGAGAATGTCAACTAAAATTGAGCAGATTTCTTTATTCTTGTAAGGGAGCTCTTGTTTATTGAGATGGAATACTGATCGATGAAGACCTTCTGTTGCTTTAGCTTCTTTTTCAACCATCTTGGTATGCTTTCTCATTACAGTATCCATGGCGCTCTTCTGACGTTGGAGTCACAGATAGACAAGCCTTTGCGAATGCATATGTGAGTCCACCAAAAAAACTCGTGCAATGACTTGTACTGACTGTATGATAGGTAGCCGGCCTCAAAGAAGCCCTCAACCTGAGTGGCAACCAATACAATGTTCTCCTCTCCATGGCCTCAGCAGGGTAGGAATTTGCCCAAATATCCAGTTCATAATCAACTGACAGATCGGTTAGAATGCTGGTTGGCCAAATACCTAGCAGTATAATCATCCATAAGATCCGTCCCCGAATATGGATGTCTTCCATGGTCGTCGTATGGGCAGGCCTCACCATGGCCAGTGCAGCTTGCAAGACATATGCTCAGCTCTGCGCCGTTCGCTTCCTGATGGGCCTGGCTGAAGCAAGCACATATGCTGGCTCAATTTATATCATGGGCTCTTGGTAGTAAGTCTAATACCTCCCCATTTCACTAGCAAAGCTCACGATCTGACAGCAAGTCCAACGAAATCGCCAAACGAACTGCCATGTTCACAGTTGCAGGTCAAGTTGGTAAGATGTTTGCCGGAGCTATGATGGCTGCCATCCATGAGTCAATGGAAGGCCATGCCGGACTAGAAGGCTGGCAGTGGGTGTTCTTGATAGACGGCATCATCACTTTACCTGTTGCTGTCTTTGGCTTCTTCTTCTTTCCGGATGTACCTGAGTACACTGATGCTTCATATCTGAGCGATAAGGAACGACAACTTGCGCTTGATCGACTGCCGCCTAAGAAAGAAGACGGTCATGACATACAGGCGTGGAGTCTTGTGAAGAGAGTGATGGGGCATCCTTTACTGTGAGTAATATTTGCTTCCCTATCTAGCTTTGGTGCTAATGAGGTGGACAGTTATGTCTGCTGCATCTTCTCAGTCCTCGGATCAGCACTCCAGTCTTATGTCGTACAGGGACTTATGCTTCTGTACCTCAAGTTTCGCAAGGACATTGATGGCTTCACACAGTCTGAAGTCAACACGCTCCCCATCCCTACTCACGCCGTCGGTATTGTCGCCGAACTTTCTGTCTCATTCTTCATGGATCGGTATAACAGGAGAATGTCACTTGGCTTTCTGCTCTGCTTAATCCAGATAATTTGCAGTATCGTGCTACTAATTCCTGGAACGTCAGTTGCAGGGAACCTCACAGCGCTGTACCTCTCCGCCTCAGCGTACGGCATCAATCCATTATTGTATGGCTGGTCAAGCAACATCCTGGCCCGTACAGCAGATGATGCCGCTCGCAGTGTTACTCTGGCTTCAATGGCGGCAAGTGATGGATTACTTTGGACATTCTGGGGCATCGTCATGTTCCCTGCTGATCATGCTCCATACTGGCGAAATGGTTATATAGGCATGCTTTGTGTCAGTGCTGCCATGGTAGGCTGGCTATTTGTCGTTCGCTGGGTAAGTCTTTCGCTTTCACTATGATACATGGTCTGATGATATCTAGCTCGATCGTTATACTGCGGAAAAGTATCCTGCTGGTGATCATTCAAGTGCCTCATCTCTGGTGGCGACAGAGGTGAATTACTCTACAATGAATCAAGGGACTGCAGATGGGAAGGTTGTGCAGCAAACTTATGTCAAAGGACGGGGGCTTAGACACCTGTGCTAGAGCTATGTTAGCGGCCTTGTTGCCAGTGATCTTACATGCATATGCCTTATGCAATCTGTTAACAATAAACCTAGCACGGCTTAGTTTAATACAGTTAGACTCAACCGTCACACTGCGGTGCAGAATTTGCCAACAAGTGGCCGACACCAAGGGATCATGCTTAAGAAGCTGCAAATAGAGTTACTAAGATACACAATGACCTGTTATTATCTTTGGGCGACAACACGGAAATAGATAAGGAGGATGATGGTGTACAAAGTGAATTAGCATCCGCAGCTTGCCGAAAGCGCATGTCTGAGGCGAGGGATAAGAGGAGGAAAACAGACGTCACGCTCCCTTCGCCTAAAAGAACAGACAATTATGCAACTAAACAGATCAGGAAGAGGAAAAGGGACAATATCGAATCAGCTGGGGTTACAGAGCCGACGAAGAAGAAAAGGAGACAGAGCCAGGTCGTAGGTAGCTTGGACCTGAAGTTGACAGCGATTCCGTCTTGAGGGTGCATTCCGAGCCTAATACCTAACGCTTACCGCAATGTTCGATTCCAAAGCTCTGGTAACATGTGCTATCTAGTGCAATACAATAGCGCGCCTCTTTTATGCAGAAATGGGCAGATAAGTTGAGGTTGAGCTTAGAGTGGCTGGCTGGTCTCTCGAATATGCAAGCTAGTTTCAGTTGCTCCACCAATAGATATTGGCCAGCTACAGAAGCTACTATAGTTATCGCTTAAAACTTCCAAGTTTAATATAGTATAAGCTCTCTAGAAACCTCTATATTGAGACATCTTGAGTTAATGGCTGGCTGAATAACTTAGGCTATCTTCCAAAATGGCTGTTAACTATGGTATGCTAGCATCAATAGCTTAGACTTATTTTAAAAGATGGATCTATAGCGTTTGCCTAGTCTATTTTTGCAGTTGCGTTAATAAAATCTAAGTTTAATGTGGCAGAATGAGCTCTCTGTAGCTTTAAGAATTCAGCATCTAGATTTCATTAGCTTAATGTAGCTTCGCAATACTAAAGAGCGGTGAATTAAAGCGACATTTCTACTTTACCGATCTACTCATAAGGGAAAGATGCCTTTTGAAATTTATAAAAGAAATCATAATTCCTGCTCTTATTGAAGAACATTATTTTCCAAACTTCTTAACTTCTCAACTACTTACCTCTCAATCTTCTTAAAATGCAAATCACATCTGCCCTCCTCGCTTGTACTCTGTACGCCCCATTCGCTATCGCGGCGGCATTGCCTGCAAAAATAGGAAACCCGATATATTTCTACAGCGTTGGTCCCAAGAGTCGTGGCTGCGCGATGGAAATGCCAAAAGGATGTCCTCCTGGCGTCGGGTATGTTCTTGTCAAGTCGCCCCAGTGCGACACGAAGATTGGATGTTGTTTAGTTGGCTGCGTCATTCCTTCATAATTTTGCATTACAAGGTAAGTTACTTCCTTTTTGGATTTAGCTTGATTTCTAACAGGATTACTTAAGGCTGCATAATGGCCTCTGCAATATGCTATGGAAACAGGTAGAACTGCAGGGGATAGGATGTATGTGTTTTGGTAGATATATAAAAACTGTTTAAGTTAACTAGTTAACAATATTTATTAATTACTGGCTTAAGATATACTTAAATAGTAACTAACTTCTATCTCTAAGCTATTAATAATACTTAAGGTGCGTTTAGTAACTGCTTTAAGCTGTATTAGATTATATTTCTCCTTTACTCTAATTAAGGTAATGCTAACTAAAACTAACCGATGGGTTTTGAGATTATTATACTGTAAGCTCACATGTCCAGTTAGTGACAAGCTGTTAAACTGACTTGTAATTGTTAATTAACTGTCTAGCTAGCTGCTGTGGTATTCCTTTTTGCATTTGCACTGCCTTAGACCTATTTAGAATAGATTTAGTTGTATTGTTATTTATTATCTGTATTCGCAGCCTAAAGCCTAACCTTATAGGCGGCAATCATCCCCATAGACAACAGTGTGTATCCGCCATGCGGCAACATGCTCCTCCCCAGATCAAATCTCTGCCTCCACGTCCCAGGCGAATCGAACCTCCGAATCAGGAGCTCGAGGGTCGAGAAGCCTAATGTTTCCCACTTTCGGATCAGCGGTATCGCCATGCATCTTCTGAGCCGTAGCATGACCTGGACTGTCGCCAGTTTCGCCTTTGCCATTCTCGTATTCATTCGCTGGTTCTCCAGTCTCAACCTCAATGTCAGAGAGGTTCTTCAATGCGTTCTTAGGAGTACCATCAGTCTGATCGGTGGATTGTAGATCAGAAAATCCACCAGAGATACGGCCAGGTTCTTTATAGAGATCATAGAATAGGAGACCAAGCTCTTCGTAGACATCCGCTGGTCACAAGCACTCTCGTTCCAGGTAACTTTGCTCTATCAGGCATCGTACAGCTAGATTTCTGTGGGATCAAGTCATTCTCAGTGCATCATGAGTAGTGAGGGGGAAGGGTTTTCTCTGTAAATCTCTAATTATGTCGTTATGCTCAAAAAATGCAGAGTAAGAGTAAGGTTAAGTGTAGTAATGCTTGATCATAAATTACTACCAAAATATCATAAATAAAGAAGAAATGTCTTGACTTTACAGCTTGTGTTATAGTACCTATATTTTGCTATGGTTTGTCTAGCCTGCGGGTCATGACACTGGCAGTCATTGAGATCGCACGCAGTGAACAAGAATGGGAAACAGAAAAATTTGAACGGTCTCCTAGAGCTCCTATTAGACCCTACTAGCACTCCTCTGTTCCTTTTCGCCAACGGAAGTCTTGCCAGTGCCAGTGGCCGAGGTCACAACAGAGTCAGCTTCCCTTGTTCTCCCATAGCCACCAAAGTCTCAACACCTCTCCATCTTGATCTTTCTTCATCCCCGCACCAACACACGCGATATTCAGACTTCACTTGTATAATACAACAAAGATCATCGCAAAAATGTTGGAGGAGCTCACTCCATGGGAGCCGCAAACTCGCATATCGAACTGCATCGAGATTGACGACCTTTGTGTCTCATTCGAGCGTACCACCCGCGTCCCCGACAATGGATCCCTCAACTGCCTTCCTCCTTCGCTGGGAGAGTTTCCTTTGTTCAAGACTGACGACGTTGGCGATAAACTTCCTGTGAGCATGGCCGAGAAAGGCGGGGTCTTCATCCCCATGTATCGTGAGTACAGAGAGTCATTACCTTACTACCGCTCGTCTAACTGTCAACGAAGAGCACGAAGGCATGTGTATCAGTTTTGAGTCTGAGAAGCGATATGCGATCAAGATCTTCGCTGGAAACGTCAACGTCATCTCCGGTGAACCTCGGATCCCGGATGCTGCGTTGGTTCATCGACGTCCGGGGCTCTCCTCACAAAAGAAATTCATTCAAGACTACGTCGTCACCCCTCCTCAGCCGCGGATCGATGGCGTGGTTACCAAGACTCAAGAGGTTCGGCAGTTTGTCGCCATGCCTGTTGGAAGTGGCCACTCTGTCGAGGCACAAATGACTGACGAAAGACACACCGCATGTCTTCAGTTCGAGGTCACTCGACTTGATAGTCACGAAGATGAGGAGCGAGCCATCAACATCATTGTCAGGGCACTGACCGGCAAGCCCTTTGCGATGAAGATCTCTAACCATGCCTTTATCAAGGATATCTCACAGAAGCTTCATGATCTCGAAGGTTTTCCTGTTGATAAGCAGCGACTGATCTTTAGAGGGGAAATGCTTGAGGGTAAGTAGAGAAACATACCATCTCGTTATGTATTGTCTAATAAAGATTGCGCTGCTAACACACTCGATAGGTTGTCTCCTCCTTAGCGACTATGGTATCGAAGAGGTTTGTCACCATGCATGTCCAGACTTTACCAAATCGTTCACTGACATATACAACCGGAGCAGGGCTCAACTCTATACCTCGCACTCAGGCTTTCTTGTGTTCATCAACTTCGCGGGGTTAAATGTTCGTGTCCTCCTCCTAAGTGCACTGCGCTCAAGCCCGGGACTGGAGAGGCTTTTGGCCTTGGTGGTGCTATCCGCCAAAACATTGTCGACATCCCCAAGGGACTATTTCAAGAGTCAATCGCGATCTCTTTTAATGTTCAAATCATCAACAGCGCCATTTTCACTGCCATCACTGGTCGCGATCTGCCTTCCACTCCTGTCCTAGCATAGCATTTGGTACGGCATTGACTTCCAGCAGGGACGTAATGGAGTCTTACATATATCGTGTGAGAAATATCTTGGGAAATGGGATTTATTGCTGTTGCCACGCCTGTGTCGGATTGATGCAGATGCCCTTGGTCATGACAACGGACGTGCGACAGTAAGACCAGACGGAAATCAGACCTGGACCAAGATACTGCGCTTCTATTATATCAAATGCACCGGCCGCGTGGCCTAATGGCTAAGGCGCTAGATTTCGGTCTCCCTCTTCTGAACTCTCTAGAGATTCCAGGTTCGACTCCTGGCGTGGTCGACATACAGTCCTCGGATCTTTCCTTTTGCAAATTTTTGCAACGGAGGTGGGGCGTTGGAGAACAGATCAAGCCACCTTCTCCAACGTTTCACATTTTATTCACGAGTAACAATTGAAGTTGCCTTTCTTTCATTCCGGTTGTCTTTATTATAACTACTTTAATAATCTAGTACCGCGTTTAAATACTGTTAACAACGGGCGTAGCAGTCTTGTCGTCTCCGATTGAAGGCATAAGCTCATTCTCAATACTGCTCGGCTTCTCAGGGACAGTCTTCTTGCGCAGACCGAAACATGTCGTCAGAGGTGTAAAAACGCCAAGGTTGCCGTATCGCTCCATGTACGTCATGGAGCAGAAGCAGACAATGACAACGAGCCAATAGACGTTGTACGAAACAACAGATCCGATAGTCGCAGAGTTTTGCCAGCCAAGAATGGCGTTGAAAATACCCCAGCCACCGCCACCGTTGAGCTCGGCGTTGCAGCAGTTGACGTGCCATACACTCTTGTGGATATCGTATGAGCCAGGGCCGGAGCCAACTTCGGCGGCATCACCACCGATGATGTTGTTCCAGGCGTGAATTTCGAAGGCCCAGACGGCTTTGCTGAAGAGACCAGCGGCAACGAGGTACAAGAAACCTGTGGAGATGATGAGAAATATCTGGAGGGATGTAGTGTTTCCTCCTCTGGTCAAAACGGTCAGCAGAAGCTCAGAAAACAGAGTCATGTCCATACCTGTAAATGATGTACCCAACGACGCAACCAGCAGCAAGACCGCAAATAACAGCCAGAGGAAACGACGAAGCTGGGAGTCCCAAACTGACACCTCCGATATACACGACAGCCTCAAGGCCTTCTCTCAGAACGGTGATAAAAGGCAAAATGAACATGACGTGCTTTTCCGACCAGAGCTTGAAGCGACTCATGAGACCAGAAGTAGCAATCGCATCTTTCTTATCAAGAGCCTGCATGAGCTTGACACGCCACTTCTCCTGAAGTTTATTAACTCTCAAGAGCGCAGCGCCCATAATAGAGATAATGATTGCTGCGATAAGACTGAAGCTTCCCTCCCAGATATCTTCAGTTTTGCTAAAGACGTCTTTGCCAAGGGAGTAGAATGCTCCGATCATGCCGGCGCCGATGCAGATACAAATGGCGAGGCCGAGGCCTACTCCAATCCATACCTGCGATCATTTGTTAGAATTGAGGGAGGGTCGATTTGGAGATGGGGGAGTACCTGTTTGAGAAGGCGTTTGTAGGTTTCTCTATCGCCCTCGCCGCCGACGCTCTGCTTCAAGAATGCGAGAAGGACGGAGACGATGATGCTTGTTTCGAGACATTCTCGGAAGCAGATGAAGAAAACTATTCGGATGAGAGTTAGAAAGTTGGTTCATGAATAAACACAAATTTTGGCGTAGTCGTTACATACTGGGAACAGCAAAGACGTTGACTGTCATGATGATATCAGCTCGTTGGCCAGACCAGGCAATCGGGTACAATTTTCACAGTAAAGAGAAGAGTGACTCATGAGATCTTGGGCACGAGGGGATATGCAATGGAACGAAACAATATATTGATTGATGCGCCCAACTCGCTTTCACAAGACAGTGGATCCCCTCGAATTGACTTTGATCCCCTCCCACGCTACGACGCCCCTAGCGTGCAGCCTCAGTGCCGACTTTACCGAGTTCAAAGTCATCTGCCTGTAAAAAGGATGGATAAGATAACTTTTGACACTGCGCTAATCACTTTGTCCTTCACAGCTGAGTGCCGACTTTCCGAGATTTTGTGTATCTGACGCCATCTGATTTGACAAGATCGATAAGATAAATTAATCGCGCTCCCGATTATCCGATAGTTATCAATCTAGACGTGTTGCTATGGGCTGATCCTCGTATCTTGTGCGTGCCGGTTATCCAGAGTCTGGTGCCAAAAAGTAAGGTTACTTGACTCAATTGCTAGAGCTGGTATTTGGGCTGGCTGAGGAATTGCCGCATTCTTTATCTGATCGCTTCCCTGCATGACACTCAATGTAACCAGCCCGTCGCCAATTGATCCAATTTATCTTTCTTCATCGTCTTCAAGACGAGTGCATGCAGTAACAAGATTGATGAACTAGCGACTGTCGCGATGTTTCCATCACTCATCGTCTCATCGCTGGCCATCCTTTTTGCTGTACCAACGGTCAGTGCAAAGGATGTGCATTTCGACTGGAATATTACGTGGACGACTGCAAATCCCGATGGGTTACAAGCGCGTCCTGTAATCGGCATCAATAACCAATGGCCTCTCCCAGTCATCAACGTCACAAAAGGCGATAGAATCATCGCAAAGGTGACGAATCAATTGGGGAACCAGTCTACATCCATCCACTGGCATGGAATGTATCAGAATGGAACGAATTTCATGGATGGACCTGCTATGGTGACACAATGCAATATCCCTACCGGCGCTTCTATCACATACAACTTTACGGTGAGTCTGATTCATGAGTAGTGAAAGAAACAAGTCTGATTCTTGACAGGCCGATCAAGTTGGCACTTACTGGTATCACTCTCACACAAGATCTCAATACCCCGATGGTCTACGCCAAGCCCTCATCATCCAAGATCCCAAGAATCCATATGAGGGCGAGTATCACGAAGAGCGCGTCATCACACTCTCAGATTGGTATCACGACGAAATGCCTATTCTCATGAAACAGTTCATCTCCTACAAGAACCCCACCGGCGCAGAACCCGTTCCTAACTCAGCACTCATGAATGACACGCAGAACATGACTCTCCCAGTCGAACCTGGCAAAACTTATCTTCTTCGCTTGGTTAACGTCGGTGCTTTTGCGTCTCAGTACTTCTGGATTGAGGGGCATACCATGAAGATCGTTGAAGTCGATGGCGTCTGGACGAAGCCTGCTGAGACGGACATGATTTACATTGCTAGTGCTCAACGGTATGCTGTTTTGGTTACGATGAAGAATGAGACCGGGGCGAATTACCCAATGATGGCCAGTATGGATACGGTAAGCTGATCCTTCTGAGTGGTGTATTGTTGACCAAGCTGATCATCTGAATTGATAGACTCTGTTTGATACCATTCCTGATGGTCTGAACTGGAACGTCACAGGCTGGATTGAGTACGATTCCGACAAGAAGCTTTCCCCAGCTGCTGTCTTGAACGACTTTGAGCCGTACGATGACTTCAAGCTCGTTCCCACAGACGGCGAGAAGTTGTTAGAAAAGGCCGATCACACTATCAGCTTGGATCTCACGATGAATAACCTTGGCGACGGCGCAAACTAGTAAGCAGCCCTGCATACCTCTAACCAAGGCCAGCTCATTGATACTGACCACTTCTAGCGCCTTCTTCAACGACATCTCCTACGTGTCCCCCAAGGTCCCAACATTATACACCGTCCTCTCCGCAGGCGAAAACGCAACTAACCCAACCGTTTATGGAACCGACACACATTCCTTCGTCCTCAAGCACGGCGAGATTGTGGAAATCGTTCTCAACAACGACGACTCTGGACGACATCCCTTCCATCTTCACGGTCAAAACTTCCAGGTCGTTCACCGTAGTGAAGAAAATGCCGGCCATTACAACGCATCGTGGACGAATATCACTTACCCATCTGTCCCGATGCGAAGAGATACGCTGCTAGTGTATCCACAGGGAAACTTTGTCATTCGCTTCCCAGCTACTAACCCAGGTACGTTAACATCAGACAATACGTAGTAAGATAGATCTAACTGTGCAAGGTGTCTGGCTGTTCCACTGCCATATCGAGTGGCATATGGATACTGGTTTGATGGCAACGATGATCTCGTCACCGCTTGAGATGCAGAAGACTTTGACGATTCCAGAGGATTTCAAGAAGATTTGTGCGGATCAAGGGATTTCGACTGTTGGTAATGCTGCTGGTAACACTGAGGACTATCTGGACTTGACCGGGCAGAATTTGATGGTGCCTCCTCTGCCAGCTGGGTTCACTACGAAAGGTTATGTCGCTATGGTGTTTAGCTGCGTGGCGGGCGTCCTCGGTCTAGCCTCTATTACTCTGTAAGCAACCCTAATTTTATGACAGAGAGATATGCTGACAACTTCACACAGGTATGGCTCTGCACCTATTGCAGCCAAGTAAAAGAGTATTGTATGTATATGATATAGAAAACCAATTGAATAATATTAGAGACTTGATGAACATCATATCTGTTTGGCAAGATCGTAAGATGCTATATGCTTGAACCGCGTACCTCACTTGAATCTTGCTGGATGACGAGCCGACCAATTCGAGACAGTAGTATCATTGAAACACTAGATATGATGCAATCAAGCACAACGCACACAATAATGAGAAGATTTTAAAGTTAAAATGTCAATATAAAGCTAATACAAAAGAAATAATTGTTACCAAGCTAATAACCCTATTTAAAACCCATTACATCTCAACCTCTTCCCCATCGTAACCATCCAAATGTCAAAACGGTAATCAGCGTTCCATAAAACCGTCTGATGGCCCATGCCGGAGCCAACAAGGGATCATGTCTTGGAATAGGCGACTCGCTAGTTGGTTCCGGCTCCTGGCTTCACATAGCTCGAACAATCTCAACAGCCTTGTTGATCTCGGTCAAGTCAATCTTGGTGGCAACCTTGTTGTCCAAGCAAATATCTTGGTAATCATCCACGATCTGATCGTACTTCTGAATCTTCTGCCATCGCAGAGTAGACTCGTTAAAGAGGTCCTGGAGATCCTTCTTCTTGGTCACGAGGTCTTTCTCACGATCGTTGAACTTGCCGAAGTAAGTCTCTGCCTTGTCGTTTGCAGCCGTGAGCTTGTTGTTGAGGGAGGCCTCTGTCTCTTTCGCAGCCTTGAGTTCGGCCTTTGTAGCCTTGTGAGCGAGTTCCTCCTTGTCAAACTTGTGGTTTGCATCAGTGAGCTTGCCCTTGGTCTCCTTGAGAGATGCCTCTGATAGACGAAGCTCCTTCTGGAGATGGCCATTGGCATCGAGCGAATCGTTCAGCTTGCGCTTGAGGCTAGTGAGTTCACCTCGAAGAGTAACGTTCTGCGCCTTCTGGCCAGTAAGCTCATTCTCAAGCTTGATTCTCTTTCCATCAAGCGCCTCAATCTTGCCCTTGAGGCCAAGGATGTCGGTATTGAGGGCCTTCTTCTCGGCCTGGGCCAGGGAGAGCTTTCCACTGAGAGTAATCACCAGTTCGTGTTCGTGGTTGAGTTCCACTTGGAGCTTCCTGATAGTCTTGTGGTCGATCACGTCATCCTTCTTTAGATGCTCAATAAAATCGCTGAGCGCCTTGAACTTCTTCTGGTACTCGGCGCTAGCGAGGTCCAGCTCCTTCTCTAGCTCCTTGATCCTCTCGTCAGCTGTCTTGCGCTCATACGAAAGTGAGTTGATCTGCTCCTCAAGGTTCTGCTTGTCTTTCTTCAGGGTCTCGACGTAGGTGCTCTGCTTGTGAAACTCTTCGTGAAGAGCAGTGAATTTCTGGCCACAGTTAGTGATAGAGTACTTATATGGAATAGAGGGGCTCGTACGTTTTGGGCTTGGATGGTGAGGTAGCCAGCTTGCTCGATGAAAGCAGCTCCGTGAGTCAAGGTCTCAAAGAGAGTCTTGGGGAAGGGCATGGGGTCAAGAACACGAGGAAGCGTGGCTTGAGGCTGGGGGAGACGGAAGTCGGTCTTTTGCTGAGTGGGAGGGATCAAGTCATCCGAGTCGAAATGGCTATTCGTCATCATTAGCATTATCCACCATGACTCGATGGTCACAACTTACTGGGACTGAGCCTCAATCTTGGCGAAAAGGTTCAGAGTTCCAATGTTGACCTGCTCGCCACCATCCTTCACCTCAACAGCAAGCTCCTGAGTGGTAGTGTCCCATGAACAGGTGAAGTCGAAGACATTGTTGAAAGCGAACTTGGAGACCTTGTTGTCATAACTGATGAACTTCAACGGGGTTCCCTTGAAAGCAGTGGTCTTTGCCTTCCCTGACTCATCCTTCGTCCACTGCCACGAAGAAATAACAGGCTTGCCATCTGTGCAATCCTCAGGGAGGACAAAGATAGCTTGCTCATTCACAGCCTTGTCGCCGAAGGTGATGCTTCCAGCCCAGATAGCGAGAGCAGCATTGGGATCAACCTCGCCCACAGGCTGCCAGACCCGGTTGAGAGTGAAGGTCTTGGTACCATCTCTGCCAGACATGGTGACCTTGATCTTGCTGTAGTTCTGCTCAGTGGTAATGTCATAGTTATAGAAGGTACCAGGGAGTTTGAATGAGACATCGGTGGTGTTGGGAAGCTGCTTCACGTTCTTGATGATGCGGGTCTGGTAGAACTTGTCTTTTTCAGCGTGATGATCATCCACTGACCATTGTGTGAATAGATAGGCTGGCTCATTGGCGCGAACGGCACCCTTAGGGAGGACGATGGTGATGGTCTCGTCATCGGCGTACTTTTCCCAGTTGAGCTTTCCTTGGTAGATGAACATGATGGGCGATAGAGCGAAGTATGAGATGAAAAGAGAGGATATGGAATCAAAGAGAAGAGATGGATGAGGTTGCTAGTGAAGAGAAGAGGCAAATGTTGATGATGAACCAAATCTGTAGGAAATCGGCGCAGCTTTATAGACTTTGTCTATTGCTGCATGAGTCTGGCTACACGACGAACTAGTAGGTATCCCATCAGCTCCGGCTGCAGAAATTATTGATGGTGACTAGCCCGAATACTCACCACAACCCCTACACGCCTCCGCGTAGCATTCCGCATGGCGCTTGTGAAACCGTAAAACGACCGTGTGGCAAGCTGAACTCCCTCGACCATTCCGTCTCCACGCCAAATCACATCCCCAAACCACACAAAACCCTGGTGGCTAGCTGTGCGGCTTGAGACAGCACCTTTAGCCCTCGCTAACAATTCCCAAACGCTCTCTCAAGGCTGAGACAGGCATTGCTTAGACCAAGCTGAGACCGAGACCCTGGAGAGGGAGCCCAATGATAAGGGTTCAATAGCGCGCGCCACGTGCAGGTCCAGCTCGCCACGGGCCGTAGAACGGTCGGGCCCAGACCTCGCCAATCACACAGACTATCTACCAATAAATTGATCACAGTGCAGGACTAGCAATAGTCTGCGGTAATGTTGCCATTTTAGAGCTGTGGCTTAGACAGGCCGGGCTAGAATGCTGCGGCTGATGTGCGCGGGGAAGACAGATTAGGGATAGAGCATGCCAATTGGGGTTTCAGAGGCCAGCTGAGCTGCAGCGCTAGATTGGAAAGATTCGGAGGATACGAGTTGAGAGATTTAAGAGTTGAGTTCGAAAGTTTTGAGTCCTCGGGAAGTGGGCACATGCACAGGGGAAAATTGTGCGATGCTCGAGAGGAAACCTTGAGAATAACGGGTGCCCTACCAAGGCGGGTCCTACGAATAACTTCACTTCAATCAACCATGGTAGGCTAATGACGAAACAAATAAAAGCCACGCGAAAATGCCAACGGCTCACAGAAATTCTTATGATTGAACTGCTGTGAGTAACTCAGAGACTTGTTTAATTGATTGTTTGCATTTTCCCACAAGGACAATGACGCAGCATCCCCAATTGCTTCAACCCCTCTCAGCATCACCACAATCTCCCCAATCCAGATATCTCCCTCCATGCCTGGCTTCGTCGTCGCGTCCATTTCCTGCTTCATCTTCCTTCCATTGTGCGATGGCGCACCCACCAGTGCTCGCTCGCCTCAAAGATCAGGCCAAAATTAAGGCTCCTTCTTCGTCCCTTCCCGGGCATTTTTCTCCGGTTGGCTGAGTGCCTTCTGGTTTCGATACACGGACCGAGAGCTCCGAGGGCTTCATGTCACGCAGATGCGGGTATCGTTCGATCGAGGAGGCTGAAGAGAGGTGCCTGCCTTATAAAAGGCTGCTTGTTGCCTGCCTGGAGAAGTGTTGCTGCCTTGCCTCCCACCTTACTCCCGTCTCGATCTCGTACGCGCGCTTGGGTGAGAGACCGGATACTCGCATCGTGGCCTCGAGAGATCGCTTGTCTCGGAGCCCTGTCTTTTGCGTTGTCATATTGTAGTTCGGGGGAAAGCCTGAGTTTGGCCCAGCAATAAGGTACTGAGCTCACGCATCCGGAGCGTCGGTGCTGGTGATTGCCTCTCGGGCTTCTTCCTTCTCTGCAAAAAAGGCCTTCCCGCTCTTGCATTGGGTCTTGTCTTGCCAAGTGGTTACGTACGTGTCTCGTTGTTGTGCCTTCTCGAGCGCGTAGGCACCAATGGGTCAGGAGCTAAGCTCTACGTTGAGACTTGATGTAGAAGATCTCATTTTGATGCTCCTTTGTATGCGCTGGTTCTGTGACGAGGTTAACGAAGCACTTGCCCCAGCACATTCATCTTGTTCTCATTGTCTTGTACTATGCGAGGCCTTGGAGGTCGCTGAATGTTGTCTTCTCGAGTGCTATTCGAGGTGGTGGCCCTTGACTGTGCTTTGCTGTGTGAGGCTGTTTCGTTCCTCCCGCGGTAGGTGAGCAAGCCGTTCGATGTAGATGGCATTACCTGCCAATAACGTTCATCGTCTCCGCAACGTGGCTCCTGAACCGGCCGTCTTCTTCTTTCCTTCTCTTCTCTTCATGCAGTAGGTGTTTCGGTCTTGGGACCCTTACACGCCGGCCTGTAAGTTGCTGAGCTCAAAGACAGCGCAGGGTTATACGCTCTGGGACAACTTGCATTAACCCCGCAGTGTCGCAGTAGGATGAGCCCGCGGTATAGTTCTTGATTTCGTATCACTTCTTGCAGCTTTAGACCCAAATTCACATTGCTCTTCTGTGTGCCTCTCCTGGTTCCAGCTCCCGGAGTTTCGAACCCGCCGTCTCAAGGCGCTCGTGGACGAGTGCATGTTTCGCTGTCAGAGGTTCTTTCCTTCCTGAAGTGCGTAGGTGAGCAGGTCGTTCGATTGACGCCACCTGTCGATGTTAGTCTTCAAAAACCTGCTCACTTTCCAAATTTGATCATGCACTTGCCTCTCTGCTCCTCAAGCCTCTGAAATCGCTCCGGCGTCGGGTAGGTGCTGGAGTGCTCACAGATGGGTATAAAAGGCCGTCCCACCCATCTTCGTCTTCGTCTTTTCTTTTCTTCTCTTCATGCAGTAGGGTTTCGGGTCTGTTGACTTTGAAACCGCTGGCCTGTTGACCGAGCTCAAGATGTCGGCGCAGGGTTGTGCGACACTGGGACCACTTGCGCTAACCCCCCAGTGTCGCAGAAGGTAAGTACAGCACAATTTTTGATTTACTCTCACTGCTTGCAGTTTTGTCTACTCTCGCCGTTTCTCTGACTTGTCAGTTGATTCGGTTTGAATCCTTTTTTTTTTTATTGCATTCACCGGCTTGCCAGTGGTGTAAAGAAGAAAACTTTGCCTGAATGATGATGTGCCAGTGTGTAATGTGTCATGCCAACATGCCAACATGCCAATGTGACAACACGCCAACCTGTGATGTGTGATGTGAATGATATGAATAATGTGTGATGTGCCAATGCCAAATCATGTCTGCTGAGGATGCAACTTTGATGGTGGTGAAGATGGGCTGAACTGTGTGCAAAGAGTGGAAGGGGAATGGAATGAAATGAGTGAATGAATGCAAGATAAAAAATTTAAACAAACACAAGAACGGGTAAATGAGCGTGGTGAAAACGTCAGTAGAAATACAGATGAAGAACTGGAGAGATGAGGCATGGGAGAGATGCTGTATTTATAGGCAAAAACGAGAAACAAGCTTTCGCAGGATGAGGGCAAATGTCCTCACGGTCAGACTTTGGCTTTACGTTTGTTGGTGACTCATTGGAGGCATCTGATGATACTTTGCTTGCCGAAGTTTGTCTAATCATCGGAGCGCCACGTCAGTGGTTACAGAGACGATGCTCGCGATGTGGACGAAAGGATCAGGCGGAGGTGCAAAGCTTGCTCGTAACTCAAATGATCAGCCGACACTTGATGTGTTGACTTTCATCTAGGACGCATCATAGAACTTAAATTCCATCGAAGAACTCGGATGGATCGACGCGGGCAATTGATGGAAGAGGGGTTTGGCAGCTGGCGACAGTTGAAGGCCCATGACAACAAACAACGAACTAGTCCCATCGGAAGCTCTTCAATAACAACCTCAAGCCGCCTGCAGCATCGAATTCTCATCTACAGTATCCTCGGCGGTAACAGGCATACGAGTTGCAATGTTGCTACGACGCGTCGCTTCATTCCCTCTACGAGGGAACTTAATGTGATTTTGACTGTGTTTATTTATGCCACGTGCAACTCTGTCAGTGGCCACGTCTGGGAGATTAAGCTTTTGTATTGAAGTCTATCTATACCCTAGCTGCTGCTAATAAGGTTACTGATTAAGTTATCATAAAAGCATATTATTCTGTTTTTTATTAGGAGACTTATCTTTGTTAAGGCTATACGTATATTGCCTTCTAAAAGCTAAAGTTAAATGGGATTTTTCAGTATATTGGCTTGATATGCTTCGTGGAGGCGTCATAAGCTTTAGGCATCAATCAACGCGTCGCTTCACCCTGCGGTCAAGCTCGACCGCTGCCATCGACCACCGAACACACGACGGGCTCTTCTCCTCGGCGAACAAAGTACAAACTATCCGCTTCTGCTTGCATCCATTGAAACTGATTTCTCTGACCATCGCTGAGAGTCTAGTGGGGTCTTCAACGACGATCCTGACAATCTCGCTGCTTCCGCCCGCCCATTATCGAGTCAACACGAACCAGAACCGCCCGTCACGCCGCACCACCCCGATGCGAATCTCTCAATATGTTTCGCTCACCAACGAAAGGAATCCTTCCTGAATGACTTGTGAAGCTCTAGCTCAAGACGAGTACCGATGTCGATTGGTCTCGAAGGGCAGTTGAACACGATCGACGCCCAAAGAACCACGAACCCAGCATCAAGGAGTCACACTCCACACTTCCAGCTACGCATGGAGAGTTACATCGACGACTATTACATTGATAACACAATCGAGAGATTTGCCGGTTCGGGCTCGGCGTATTTCATTCCCTTCCGTTCAAGTCCCCGATTGGCGGTGCTCCGGCAGACCGCAGCATCGGCTAGGTTCTGTCTGCTGATTTAAGCTCTCAGCCCCGAGCCTAAACTGCAAATAAACCATCTTCAGCATCAGAAGTCAAGACAATGTTATCGACAGAGCCTCGTCACCCCTAGTTCAAGACCCGAGCGCGCATCCTCCTCTTCTCGGCACCAAAGTACAGACACTCGCTACCTACGCAGCTGCACCACACTCTAATTCCCTGGACGTTGACGAGAACCGCGTCAAGCATTCAACGGCGATGCTACGATGTCCACGATCCCCCCGATCGACTGTGGGCGAAGAATGACGAACGCACAACCGATTCGCCCGTATCACGCCGCTCCAACATAACACGAATCTTGCCATAGACTTTGCTCCAGAGGAATAATTACCACCCGTATCCTTGACCATACTGCCCGCGAAGCCGCCCGCAGAGCTTCTAGCCAGCACAAGCGCGGGCGTCGACTGGTCTCGAAACAATTCACTACGATCGAAGCCCAAGGAATCACGAACCGAGAATGATGAAGGCACGCTTTACGCTTCGGAGTCTATAGTGGAATATAAAAGAGTCGATAATCAGTATCAGGGGAAGGAAAACCGTGGCCTCGAGCATAGCATCCTTTGTTTCCAATCAAGTCCCCAATCGATGGCCCTCTGGCATCATCGGCAATCACAACAACATTATCAGCGGAGCGCCGCATCCCTTCGCACGAGGCCCAACAGTGCAATTTACGATAGTCCTCCACAGGAACGCAATATAGAACCACCACTTCAACCCACCCGCATTGTTCGACGTTGCGGTCTCGAAGCCGCCGCAGGCCAACAGGCTAACCACGATCGAGTGTCCTTCCACCACGAAGTTGTCGACGGATCAGGATGGCCAGAGAAGCGGAATAATGTCAGGTAACTGAGGGCAAAATACAAAGATCAAACATGGTGCCTGATGAGATTCCATCGTGAGGGACGTTTCTCAAACCATCTGATTGAGCATGAAGTGATCGTTCCAAGTTGGAACCTCCAATTCTTGGGCCTGCCCAGAAACCGATATTTACCCCCAAGAATGAATTCAACACCGCACACTAAAGAAGCCCGCACATTGCCAGAACAGCAACATTCGAACCATGTTCTGCATTCACATCGCCGATATACCCAAGCTTGCCGTCCCCAACAGAAGCGAATGCGACCGCGCTCTCTCCGGCTCTCGCGTTTATTGGAGACAAGACGTTCGATTCTTCGTCTGTGACATACCAGGCGTCTCCGAGTGCGACGTTATTCAAAAACTGAGCCTTTGTGCTGTATTCTGGAACCATCTTTGCAGCTGAACAGCTGTCCACCGCTGCGTCATTCAGCACAAATGTCTCGCCAGTGTAGGAGGCGCTACACCACTCTAAACCGGCTTGCGCGAAGAATGGTTTGATGCTCAGGGGTAGGACAAAGTTAGAAAAACAACCCATAACCACCGCCGTCCCACCGCCACGGACATATCGAAGGACGGCGTGCCAAACATGGCTGTTTTGGTCCTCGGTCAAGCCTTCATCGGTTATGAGGATAGCTTCCGGGGTCGCTCGTGAAAGCCAGTGCTTTGCTGAGTCTGCGTCCTCAACTCTCAAGAAGTCGGCTCTTCTCCGAATTTTGGCCATGAGTGGTTCGAACATATCATCCAAAAATGGTTTATGGTCGAGTGAGATGGCGAGGATCCACGGTTTTGTTGCTGTGTTAGCCATGGTGCAGAAGTCGGTGTAGGTGCAGTGAACTTTGCGCGTCGTGGCATGAACAAGATGCAGATGAAAGTGGTAAGAACTGAAAAAGTTCCCTATGCCTCGTGCAGGTAATTTGAAGCGGGGTCAGTTGTCATCAAGAGCGGGACAAAGTTATTACGAAGTAGAACTGTATTCCTGCTAACTTCCCGAGCTGAAGCCTAATTTCAGACCCTAAATCCTGCGGACACCGACAATCTGCTGAGTGTCTGTTCGCTTGCGTCACGGGGGGGTTGGTATGGATTGCACTGAAGCATCCCCCAAAGATGGGCTGGGGCCACAGAACCGTCTTTGTTGTAGGCATGAAGGGTATCTCATTTTACGGGGCTTTGGCTAAGGTAGTCGCAAAAAGACTGAAAGTTGGCTTAGGGTTCATCTCAGTCGTTTAGGCAACCGAAGTGGTGGTAATATCGATTGTTGTCTCTGCTGAGGTGTTTCGACTTTAGTTGACTCTGCAGTAGTCACCGATATGTGAAATGTGACGGGAGAACACACCTCGACGGACAAAGAAAGACATGTCCCAGAAAACGGCTCTGACAAAACAGAAGTTTTTGCTGATTTATCTGCAGTGAAAGATGCAACTGATGGTACAGATGAAGTTTTAGTGGACATGTTTCAGGTGCTTGCTAGTGTCACTGAGGCTAACCACAACGTCAGGAAACTGCATCTCACTCACTTCGCTTGCACGGGATTACAACTGCGCAACCGTCAGTCAGCAGACCAAAGGGTAGATGCAAGAATGTCGGAGATCAACACAGTTAAAGAATGACTGTGAAAACACCGAAACAACAAGGAAGCGAAGGGAACTCAGGGCGGCTGTCTTTTGATCCAATAAAAGAGTCGGAGATTCGGATGGAGTATTGTCAAATTATTCATGTTCTATACGATTACGGTTGGCAAAATGCTCTCGTTTTTATCAACAGCAACATCATCAAATGTATTGCGATGTCACCATATAACCAGTAGGCAAAATCAAGCGTATATTTGTCACATAACTGACTATCTGTAATATCCCACCTTTAATTACTCGTCAACGGTTTGAAGTTTAATCACCCTTGGTATCGAGGTTGATGCGCTGCAACTTGCAAGCGTCTCGACACTGTCTTCAAGTTGGAATCAGTGTGCCACAAGAGGCTTCAAGTTAATCAGTCTTTCAGGATCAGGGCTAATTTCTTTGGTATTAGTATCATAATACCGATATTGGAAGTGGAGATCGATCTATTTCGAGCAAAGATGTATAAAGGGGATACTATGAAAGTCTTTGCCAACGCCAACAACGAATACAGCACCGGTAAATGCTGAAGCTATGAAACATGTGTCAGCTGAGAGAAGGCATTGGTTATAGTAAGTCCTGAGGTACTTTGAGGTACTTGAGTGAATGGCTGCATGTATGTAAAACTCGACATCAGTGCACTCCAGTATCAGCCGTGCTTCCTGGCCAAGAGTATCTACACTTTTCTTGCCCCAATTCACAGCATCTACTCCTCGCTCAACAAGCACAGTTCGAACCCGAGGAATGAGAGACTTTGCTTTGGCTAAGCGATTCTCGTCCAAGTCGGTGATGACAGTTGTGGTAGCGCCAACCGCTTAAGCCACCAGGAGGGTCACAAGATCGATGGGTCTAGCGCCGCAGATGACTAGAGGAGTTCCAAGGTGAAGATCGGACTTCTAGATGCCTCCGAGGGCCACAGAAAGTGGGTCAAGCAGTGAGACTGCTTCGAAGCTGAGGCCGCTTGGTAATGTATAACCAAGCTTCGAAGTGGACATGGTAGCGACGGAGAGTGCCGTGATGGGGAGGGTCGAGAAGAAGACCAGATCTGGGCAAGCTTTGTACTGGCCGGTATCACAGTAATAGTAAGTCAGCTTGGAACAAGGCACGCCACATTCAAGAGCAACTCTGTCGCCTGGGGACAGCAGATCAGATACCAGTATCAAGCTAGTTGAGACATCCCTTTCTTGGGGAAGAAATGTATCAGATTCAGATCTCGTCTCGTCATTGTGAGCTCTTGATTACAACTCCAGCACGACCAAGTAAGTTGTCGCCCCAAACTACCATTGAGCCGATATAGCCATGCTTCCAATAATGGAAATCTGAACCACAGATTCCGGTGGCAAGGCCATGGATCAAGCAATCTGTAGGACCTGGCTCGGGAATATCGACCTTAACTAGCTCCAGGTTGTGCGCTGAATTGGCTTGTATCGGAAATCTCTGTGGCTTTAGCTGCAGGACTTCGGTGACAGGTTGTTGTAGTCTAAGGAGAGGATATCCCGAGCAGAATCTAAACAGAGTAATTCAAAGCCACTACGACATTACGCAGTCACCGAGGAAAACACGTTCATCCCCAATAGGCACATAGTTAGCATCGAAGATCACGATACGAAGAATGAATAAACGGCTTGTAAAGTCGGAAGGTAGCCCGCGCGCTTGTTAGAAATCAGAGGCTTATAAATCTTCAGGGTTCTCCACTAGTAGGACGGACTCAGGAAAAGTCGAAAAGTCCAGCGCAAGCAACGTAACCATATGTTCATGTCTTGAATATTAGATTGCCGATTAGTCAATTGAATATAAACTTGGCCTTCTCGCCGTCATATCATAACTCAAAATCACCTTTGATCCAATTCATCTTACCAAGCTACCTACACAACTCTCCCAGTTACCCTGGTCTCCCCGTCACAATGGCTTTGAAACTTTACAGACATGTTCAATCCATTTGCACAAAGCGAGTCCGAACAGTCTTTGAAGAGAAGAAGCTTCAGTATGAGTTCATTGTAGTGGATTTCCTCAAGGGAGAACACTTGTCTAAGCCATATGGTGTCGAATTCCATCCTTTCAAGAAGATCCCCGTCCTTGTTGGCGAGGAGTCGGATATCAAGGTTTTCGGTAAGACGAACCTCCACAGTGAGCGATGTCGAGAAACTGACAGTCACTTTCAGAGAGCCGAGCTATATCTTAGTATATTGCCGCTAAATACCGCGGCTCTGGGCCTGATCTGAGCCCGTCTGGTACCAACATCAAGGCGTACGCATCGTATTAGCAAGTATGAGGTCCCCACTCCTGGAACAGTCAACTGTCAATTAACCATCCTAGGGGCTATCTATCGAGCTGTGCTATTTCGACGCCAACGTCAGTGGTATCGCTTGGGAGGCAATTTTCAAGCCCTTCCTCGGTTATGGTGCAGGCGATGAGGCGATAATCAAAGCCAAGCTCAGCGCTCTTGATACTGCTCTCGCAGGATATGAGCGCATTCTCTCCCAGCAGAGCTATCTTGGGGGAAGTGAAATCACCCTGGCGGATATTTTCCACCTTCCTTATGCTATGGGATGACTGCGGCCTATAAGGTTAAGCTTTAGGCTACGAACACAGATAATGAATGACAACACGATATTTTTTTTTCCCCGACACCTTCCTTATGGATCCTTAGTTAAAGAGGCTGGTTTCGGGGAACTCTTGCTGAAGTATCCCTCGGTCCACGCTTGGTAAAAGCGTCTTGAAGAAAGGGACAGATGGAAGACGGTCAGTGCGAGTGAGTAATGGTCGCCGTAATATGAGATAATATTTGCTGGCTGTTGAGATGGAAATATTATGACGCTGGTCTGGCCTCGTGCAAAGGTATTATAGCTGAGACCTTGAACCAGCACAGAGAACTTGGTAAGGGTACAGACAGGTAGATAGCCGATAAACTATCTTTTTTTTTTTCTTTCTATTAGCCTTATAAGGCCATTAAGCTTTTAACTTTTATTAAAGGCTTAAATAGTAAGGCCCCTATAGCAGGCCAGTATCTTAAAACTTAATATTAGTAAAGGTTTATTTGCCTTGGTAGCGTAATTGCTGCCTTGATCAAGCAGTATAAATACTGCTTACCCCTTAGCAGCTGTATCAGGTCCCTTCCTTCATCCTACCCAAAAGACGCAGCTGGTGCATCCATCACACTTCCAAAGCGAACAGAGTTGGATGAACGCGGGGTAATGGCGGAGTTTGAAGGAATTAGGTTAACTTTTGTGTAAGTTAGTTAGCGAAAGTCAAATTGACCTGAAGTTAATAATAACTCTATTAATTAAATGTACGTGCCAAAGTACATAACTAACCGACCTTGCGTCCGAGAACAGATAAAGTGATATTAGTGAAGAAGCAGTGGTTTAAACTGGGGACGAACTATCTTATAACTTGGTGTTGTTTATTTTTGTTTACGAATTCTTGACAGAGAAAATGAAACGTGGGGATCACTGAAGGCCCTATTGGCGACAAGAGACTGGTATCTCAATCGGAACCAAAACTGAGCCCAGGCAGGGGGCGTCTTATGCGGCCCCACGCCCGGGCGATGATGATTGACTGGGAGGCTAACTTCATAACGAGGTCCGGAAGGCTAACCCGATCAAGATCCCTGAGCCACGCCATCGGCCAACCCGTCACAAACACGAGCAATTGCCAAAGCTTTCCAGGGCGTCGCTGGCAATGGGTCGATTTTCAACAAGGCAGCCAAAGTTCTAGCCGTTATGGATTAGAAATCATAAAATCAACAAGACCTAGAGGCATACGGTGATCCTGGTCGAGATATCACAAGCTTTTACGACAATAAATCAACAGGGTTAGGTGGTTGTTCCCCGGATAGCATATTAACATATCTCAAACACCTGTTCCGGAGACTGGGGTCCTTCGCCCCGCATAATGCCGTACATAAATCCGTACCCCCTCATCAAGAATCGCTCACCATTTGCTCGAAGAATAAATGGATATGTGCTTCCAAAGGGGACAGTTACTATATCCCCAGGATTAGTTGTCGAAACGCAGCACCCAATCGAACCCTTTTCCGTGATGAAGATGCTTGAGTCAGGGTATTTAAAGTCCCAAACTGGCTTGCCAAATTGATACCCATCCGCCTGCTCGGCCTCCTTGGATAACCCTGGGGCAATATAACGCTGATAAGCTTCCTCGTCGAGGACAATTCTAAGATACGACACAAAGTTGTGCATCAGTGTCCGCTCCTCGCCAGGATTGCTATCTTCGTTGAGACCGAATGACAATGAAGTCGCAACTGCGGTGAGTTCATCCCTACTATAGACTTGGCTTGATCGGCTCCATCGTAAGTTCTCGAGGATCTTGCGCCACACAAGACCTACCTTAACTCTCCCCTCTTCCGTTTTCATGTTGGCGTTACTAAAAAGGCTTTCGTTGTAGGTCTCGGAAACCTTGATCGAATCAATAAGAACGCCACGAAGAGTCAGAATCCTCGACTCGGCACTGATACTCCACGTCGGCTTAGAGTCAAGTGAAGGTCTCCAGGGAAGTGCTTTACCAAACCTGAAAGGGTTTCGAAATAACATGGCCCGATCCCATCGGGGCACCCAAGATGGGTGATCGGTGCCTGGAGCGTAGAGCAACACATCTGTATTTTGCATGTCGACGAACGCAGCAGCGACAGAGTCCATATAAACTTCCACCGTTGATTTGTCGTAGTCAGGATATAGGAGCTCACTGCCACGTGTGATACTCATCAAACCATGGAGACCATATATCATGTCTCTTGGGTCGGTGCTGGCAAAGTTCGACGCCAGATACAGCATGTATAGCCAGTTATTGGGCTTTCGTAGGCGCTCTGTAGTGGCCGTAGCGGCCCACCAGCATTTGGTGTCCGTAAAACCGTATGATTTACTAAAAGCTGGCTCCATGATGATATAGCCGGCGACTAGCTCCACCCGATCCCATTCGACTGTCGAATGGCCACAATGAACAAGTCGAGACTGATTGGCGTTGATTTCTTGGATGACCCAGACCCGAGTGAAGTAGCTATGAGAATATAGCCAAGCCAAAGATTTCCACATGTCCTTAGTGATGGCCTTGATTTCATTTGGCAACGGTATTAGGCTTCTGTTCTGATACACCACTTCGTGATACACATTTCCACGAGTGCTCAGCCCACTAGTTGAGATAGCAAGCTTTTGACAGAGGAATTCGGAGATAAGGCGAATTGAGTTGATAGCAGTCTCTGCGTCATTTGCTGGGGTATCTGGCCCGAGCCAGATTAGAACTGTCTTGGCGTTTTTGTAAATCTTCCGCATTTGTTTCACTTGAGCGTTGCGCTCTGATACATGGGACTGGTCGATACTAGGGGGATAGGTAGGTCAGTAGCGATACCAAGACGTTACCTGAAACTAAATAAATGTCTGGTTTATATGCTTTGTCTCCTTGTCCGCTAATGGGGAGTTGAACAATTATATAACGTACCAAATAGCATCTGCCCACAAATACCTTGACTTGTCTCGTTGCCTGAAGTGACGGAGTGCATTGCAAAGATTCTGAGTGACCTTGAGCCGCCTACCGTGGCATATTATATTGGCCTTTTGATTCTGGTCTCCCCATACATAGGAAATGGCTTCGTACTCGGGGATGTTAGCATCGGACCAAGAGACCGGATGAACACGGCATTCGATGGGGTCATTGTCATCACCGGGGAGAAGCTCTGCTATCCGGAAAGAGGTTTCCGTGCCAAGCTCTTGGTATAAATATCCAAGTTCGTGTTCGGTCATGATGCTAGTAGCGGGTACTCCAAGAGTGGAGAGTTAGGCTTGACAGATATGCCACGTACTTCGGGCCGAGCCGCTCATTCATGCATATAATTGAGATTTTTGAGACTTGTATCGTAGCTAAGCCAAAGGATCATATAATCATTCAAAATAAGGCCTTTCATATGGGCATTGAAGTTCTAAAACTGACCGATATATTCTTGTGTTATATGTGTTACAATGAGGCATTTTTAATCTCCCCTCAACGTCCTCTGTTGCTCCTCAGTTATCGGTGGGGTTAAAACTGTCTGGTTGGCCTGATAACATCAGGCCACCACCGCCTTGAGTTATTATTAGACCTTCAACTTACCCCGCCTTCTCATAAGTACCATCCAAAGATAAACCATAGGAGTTCAATTACAAGCAAACTAAATCACTATGGCTTCCGCTACACGCTTCAGACTCGTATTCAACGTGCCCACAGTATCACTGGCTCAATGCAAAGAGGCCATTTTCGCTGCTGGAGCAGGTCGCTACCCCGGCCCGGGCAACTACACAGAGTGTTGTTGGACCGTCATAGGGACGGGCCAGTTCCGCCCAGGCGATGCGGCCAAACCACACCTTGGAGAAGTCGGCAAGCTTGAGGAGGTCGAAGAGGCAAGGGTCGAAACTATTTGCGTGGGCGAAGATGTGGCAAGAAATGCAGTCAAAGCTCTGAAGAGGTAGGTGATTTCACAATCCCATAAGAATACGCAGTGCTGATGCTTCTTAGTGCCCATCCCTATGAAGAGCCCTCTTATTCTGTGTATCGACTAGAGGACTTCTGAGAGGAAGAGCCAGATAATGCGATGTGTTGACAGGCTGGACGGGATTCAAGGCAGTAGAGCAAGGCTTGCTTAAAATAGAAACTGCATACAATATGATGAATACATACCACGGGCTAAGAGAAGTCGGAGTGGCATGAAAAGAATAGAGACAAACGAGCCTCAGATGAATAGCCTATATCAAACACCTCACAGAATCCTACGAGTTCAAAAGCCGATTTGGCCTATGACATACGTCAGCTGACATGCAGGATCAAGGAACTAGTGTGCCGTTCAATGTCAGCACGGCTTATTATGCCGGAAAGTCGTCTCTCGACTTTCAGGTCTTCTTTCGCTACTGGAAAGTGAAACAATGTCTTGTAAAGATATTTACAATGCTGTGATCGCTGGCGTAAGTTCTTTTCCTTGCCTACAAAGCCCGTGTTGACATCTACAGGGCACCGGGCGTCTCGGCCCACCGACTATCAAATACCTACTTAAAAATGGCTTCAAAGTCAGTGTGCCTTGCCTACGACGCATCGGTGGTTGCGATGCAAGCAGCCGTCAACGCTGGTGTTTATCGTGCCATTCCTTCGTTCTTTGGTGTCTCGCTCGAGAATCCAGAAATAGCCAACATGCCGTTTATGAAGACCAAACTACCATTTCTGAACGACGTCTTGGCAAAGGCGGAGAAGGGCGAGATTACATACACGGGTATCAACACTGGCATGTTCCTCAACTGGGTGCTTGATGAAGGCATATTCGTTGGTTTATCGGGCAAAGCACCGACTCGCGTTGCGGATGGCGGAGATATCCCGATGTCTGCCACTGCTCTCGATGACATCGGCAAGGCCATTTCGTCGGTGCTTCTGAGGCCTGACGAGACCGTCAATAAGCTGTACTATATACACACCGTGGTAATGACACAGAATCAAGTGTTGGGGTATGCCCGTGAAGTTGCTCCAGAAGCAGAGTTTGTGGTTGAACAAGTCGACACGAAGGTACTGGTCGAAGCGGCGTGGAAGCGGTACAACGAAGGAATACGAGATAGAGTTTCAGTAAGGGATTTTGTCATCAGAGCGAGTTATGGTATGGGAAATGGGTTCTTTCCAAAGACTGATAACGAGCTTTTGGGCATCAGGCAGTGGAGCGATGATGAGCTGAAGGAGGAGATATTCAGACGCGTTAAGGCCGATCCACCCGTTAGTCTTAAGACTCCAGAAATGTAACTTATGTCACACCATATCTTCGAACTACACTTTCTAAATTCCCATTTCCAAGGGGTTCATCAACCAACCCAGTCTTCTTCTGTATCTTCCAGCTCATATAGTTGCTCAAATAGCCTCATGCCGCGTTGCCCCCCTGATGCCTTGCTCAGTTTAGACAATCGCTTCCTCAGCATCGAGTATCGATTTACCTCTGCGGGTTCTTCGTAAATTATATCCCCAACTGATACGGGAGATACTAAGTCGGCAAAGGGATTCTAAAACGATAGAGTCTCCGGGCGTAGCTTACGTTCGTGGAAGGAAAGTAACAACAACGCCATATCATCCTCATCGAAATCTGGGAAACATTTCTGTGCAATGTCTAGTGCACACTGAACGTCCGCTTTTGTTGTCTTCTTTGTGACTTGCCATTCCCAACGTAGTGCCTTGACATAATCTGTCCACTGAGTTCTCACGTCGGCGTCACGTTGCACATCGTTGACGTTGAACTTAGGGTACAAATCCCACAGCCCAGCATTTTTCAGATCTCTCAACGACAAGGTACAAGAACGCTTTTCAATATGAAGGACGCCTTGAGAAAGGTACTCTCCGTTATCATATTCCGACTGGTTGAATCGAAGATCGCGAAAGCTGCTTTCTTGATCCGAAAACTCCGCATCCTTGAAAGAGTTGAGTAACCACTTGTCCCTTGCAAACTGCCCGCGTGGAAATCTTGATGTATCCACAGCGCAAATACAAATATCGCCCGGCTGACTAAACCACGGGTTGCAAAATCGCCAATTTGCATACTGGATCACAAATAGGAGAGAGCTGCTCCACGAAACAAGGTTGTCGGTTTCCCAAGTACTAGAAAGGCCCTTGCCCAAATGGCGATGCAGCATTTCTGAAGCCTCTTGATAGTCTGTTGAGAAGATATTGATCCGGTGGCGATTCGCTTCATCATCCTGGCTAATTATTGAAGCGATGCAATCTGTGTCGTTACGACCCGTGCTGTTGACATCATATGTCCGGAACAGGTACCGTGGAGGCCTTTTGGCCGAGTGGTCGAAAACAATGTCCTCCTCCGGTTGAAAGAGCGTTGGGCCACCAGGGCAGTTGCATAGTGACTGAAGCCAGAATTTGATCCAATCTTCCTTTTTCTCTTCCTTCCATAATAACGGGTTGATAGTGGCAAGATAATCTTCTAGATTAAGATCTCCAGAAGGCCTTGTAGCTTGGTGATAACATTCTTCAGCAGTCTTCCACAGGATATCGTCATTTTGCGCTTCCCGAATGATCCCCTGTGCAATCCTCTCTATAGGCTTTTTGAAATGCTCAAGAAGGGCGCTTACGTTGAAGTAGGCCTTGTCGCCAAAGGAAACGACTTGTCTGACAATGGCCTGGATTGCTGAGTCGTTTAGAAGTTTCGCAACTCGCACGAGCTCAATAGCCCTAGTTGGGACGGTGCAGATGGACTCGACATCTTCCGTGTTAAATATGCCATCAGTACGAAGCAGCTCGACGATATTGGTTGCATGTTTCGACAAAGCATCGACTGCTTCACCGTAACTATGCATGACTTCCTTGAGGGACTTGGCCGGCTGTCTTCTCTTTTTGCCTGTGATGTTCAGTGCGTCGATGCCGCTGGCGATAGACCCAAACTCGGCGGTAGCCGTGTTCGCGTGGTCGTTCATCGTCTGTTCAGTTGGTCAAGCAGGAGGTCGTAAGATTTATGAGTTTTGAGCATGGGGAGGTTATGTGTTGGTGCGGGGTCTCAATCACAACTTCCGTCATGTAAGACACGTAGATGGAAAGGAGCCAATTAAAAGACCACTTTCAAGCCATTGATACTGTCTGATAGAGCTTAAGCACATTTGATTCACTACCTTTAAAGTGTTCGACGAATAATTCGCCCGCAAGAATAAGATCATGACTGATAAAGTTCCTTTCGTCTAAAGCATTTGTCCTAGCTCCACTTCATGTCGCGAAGATATCCCGAATCAAATGCATATTTTGCAAATGGGCTTCTTGCTTAGCCTCCTCTGACGTGAACGGCCCCAGCCTTTCGTCTTCTGTATCTTCTACGAGCCTTAGCAGTCCCTGGTAACGACAGACTTCATCAGGGTCAGGAAACAGTCTCATGAGCAATTCCCAGGAGTACCCTGAGTTATGGTGTTAGACTCTTGAGCGTTGGAAAGTCAGGGACAGTATTACTTACAGATCCGGGATAACGAGCGATTACGAAACGCCATAAGTAACAACACAGCATCCCACGTGTCAAGCCCGTTCATGGGGCCTTTTGCAATTTCGCAGGCCAGACTGAAATCCTCACTATACGTCTGACACCTATCACTCCAGCTGGTTCGAAGCTCTAGCACCCGACTCGTCCAGGTGGTCGCAGAAGAGTGTTCTGCAAACTCCGGATATAACTCATACAGACCAAATGCAACAAGGTCCTCCAGAGAGAAGACGACCGATCGGCCAGCGTGATTGATCGTCCCTTGAGAAATGTACTCCCCGTTGTCAAACTCTCGATTCTTGAGACGAAACCAGTCAGACTTCGGGTGGGCGTAACTCAGGAGTAACAACGCGTCTCTTGCAAACTGCCCACGAGGGAACTTTCTAGTATCTACAGCGCAGATACGAACATCGGAAGTAGGTGTATGGCCGACATGAGACCTCCATATAGCGTACTGAATAGCGTTCATCAAAGAGCTAGTCCATGAGACAAGGTTATCTCGTAGTGCACCCTTTTGGAAGCCACTGCTGCCAAAGCAGTTCTTTCTCTCTAGGTGATGAAATAGCATGCCCGAAGCTGTGGTATCATCTAATGAGAGAAGATCAACCTTTGACTCCGGGTATCGGTATGAGAGGATGCTGTATTCAGATGCGAAGACGGTCTCTGAGTTGAGCCCCGAGCTTTTTGAGTCGTAGACGCGAAATAGATACCGTGGAACATATTTTGAAGGAAGCCAATCTCCGGCTGAGGATAAAATGGATCGGGGATGGAACAGTGTTGGACCTGAATGGCACTTGTTCAACGCTCGGATCCAAAAATCGGTCCATTGGTTTCTTATTTCAGCCTTGCGCTCTTCGTCGAGTTCGCCCCTCTGTTCACCGGTAAAGTTTTGGTACGGTCCTCTGATGTGGTTCACCATATTACTGGGTTCCAATCCTTTTGAGCCGTAACTTGGGCAAAGGTCATCGCTGGTAAGTTCAAAATACGGTTCAGGATACAGCGAGCCAGAAGGATCCCTAACTTGGTTGTAGCATTCCTCGGCAATTCTCCATTCGCATTCGAGGCGTTCATCGATCTTATCAATCGTCTTGAGCACAATGTCGTCAATAGCAGCTCTGAAGTGCTTCAGAAGCCTATCGACGTGGCGCCCTCGGAGGCCAGTGCGTGAAGTGATGATCTCAACCAGTGATCGATCACTGGCGCCAGTGACGTTCTGGATTGATTTTGTGATACGGATGACGCTTGCACGTATCTTGAACAGTTCTTCTTCGCTGGCTTGGTAGATGGCGAAGGGGAAGTTTAAGAGAGCTACTAGTCGGGCCTCACTAAGCTGCGCAAATTCGACGGCTTGATTGAAGTCGCTGATGGCGTCTTGAACCTCTGATCGTAGGTTGACTAGGCCGTCGTCGGGGATATGCAGAGCGTTGATAATGCGAGTGATGATCGAATCAACCGCATCCTCATATTTTGTTCCCATTGTGTCCGCGTTGTGAGTGTCCTGAAGCAACGAGGCCGATGTTCGGTGTGAATGTCGTGATACAGAATTTTTAGTGGATTCCTCCCTTAAAGCAATCACAACTAGGCGCGGTAGAGCCTAGCGCGTATCGGTAACTTCTGACGGCACTGATAGCAGAACGCTATCTTCACAGTGTTTATTCTTAAATTAGTCTATCTTCAGATGAACGGATTAAACGGCAAAAAACATACAACACCGGGGATTCGCTGGTCGTCACCGACCCAACTACTAATCCGGCGCTTCGAAGCTTGACTCTGGGGGAGCAGACGGGACCCCGTATTTTCTTCGAGCTTTGGTCGTATGTGACAATTAATGCCGCAAAATCAGATCAAGATGTTGACAGGGACAAGGGAAATCATGATATAGAGATGTGCAGAAATGGGAAAACCCCGGATTCAAACAGCATCCCGACCAACAAGATGCTGGCGTCACTCCTTCAGAAGTGAACAGCACGAACGGGGTAGCGTCCTTTAATAAAGAAGCAAGTGACTGCAGGAAGCGGGATCTGCATCACCAGGTGCGGTATGAGCATGGAGTAGAATGGGACGGGACGTCAAATACGAAACAAACTGTCATGCTGACATTGTCTAGTTTTGGTCCAAGTGAGTTGGCCTTGCCCAATCTGGTATCCACCAGCGGTCCACCGCGGTGCGCCACAAGCCCTTCAGCCACTGTCGTTGGTTCTGCCTTGCATGTCGACTTCTTGGGAGGCGGCCTCCCCGGGCAGGAGTCATACTCCTTCTGAGTCATGTTGTCCTGAAATCGGGTTGAGCAACACGAATTTAAAGCCTTTCAATCTCTCTTTTCGTTGTCAATACACGAAAGGCATAACATCTTTATACAATCGGCTAGCAACATGCCCCAGTCTGAACTCAAGACGGCAAAGGGTGCTCGCGACTGGGTTGGCCGTGACCTTCTATTGCGCGACCACATTTTGTATGCTTGAGCCACTTCGTGCACTTCGCCCGTCCCGTCCCCTCCGTCACACAGCTAATTGAGATTCAGCCAGACAATCAGCGACGTTTTCAAGCGTCACGGCGGCATTCCCTTGGACACGCCCGTCTTCGAGCTCCGCGAGGTCCTGGCTGGGAAGTACGGCGAGGATGCCCGACTCATCTACAATGTAGAAGATCAGGAGGGGAACTTTTATCGTTGCGCTATGACTTGACGGTGCCATTTGCTCGCTGGTTAGCCATGCACAGCAACGTCAAGCAAATCAAGCGCTACCAGATCGCCAAGGTATATCGTCGAGATCAGCCTGCCATCTCTCGTGGCAGACTTCGAGAATTTTATCAGTGCGATTTTGACATCGCCGGTGTGTATGACGCTATGATACCCGATGCTGAGATCCTTCGCATTATTGTCGAAGTGTTCAGAGCACTCAAGCTCGGCATTGTCATCAAACTTAACCACAGATGCATCCTCGACGGCTTATTTACCGTTTCTGGCGTTCCCAAGGAAAAGATCAGGCCCGTCAGCTCAGCAGTAGATAAGCTGGACAAGGCTTCATGGGATGAGGTTAAAAGAGAAATGGTGGAAGAGAAGGGTCTGGCGGAGGAGGTTGCCGACAGAATTGGTAAATATGTCAGGCGCAGTGGCAGTTTGTGTGAGATGATCGATACCCTCAAAGGGGACCAAGAGATGTCGGCAAACGAACAAGTCCAAAGTGGCCTGGCCGACATGGACCTTCTCGCCCGTTACCTCAAGGCAATGGACGTCATCGACAGTGTTTCTTTCGATCTTTCACTCGCACGTGGCCTCGACTATTACACCGGATTGATATACGAAGTCATCACGACTACCTCCGGTCGATCCATTCAAGTCGGCAGCGTTGCCGCCGGCGGGCGCTACGACGGTCTCGTGGGCAGGTATGGCAAACAGACCGTCCCTTGCGTTGGTCTGTCCTTTGGAGTAGACCGTGTCTTTACCATCCTGGACGCCCGGCAAAAGAAGAACACCTCAGATCTCAAGAGCGAGGCCGATGTGTACGTCATGGCAGCTGGCGGGAAAGACTTTGACGGTCTGCTAGCTGAACGCATGGAGGTGGCTCGCCAGCTTTGGGACGCAGGCATTAGGGCCGAGTTCACTGCCAAAGTCAAGCCCAAGATGCTTCAGCAATTCAACGTTGCCAAGGAAGTACCTGTTGCCGTGATTCTTGGTCAAGAGGAAATGGAAGCAGGCCAGGTTAGGCTGAAGGATGCGAGAGCCGGTGACGGGGATAAAGTCGAGAAAGATCGAGGTCGACTTATTTCTAGAAAGAATATGGTGGAAGAGGTGACAAGTCTTTTATCAAAGATAGCACTAGAAGAAGGTCAAGATTAGGAATGGTGAGGGTTTGGAAGTTGGTACAAGATTGGCGACTGGTCTAGGACTGATTTGCACAGGATGGAACAATGTCACTTTCATAAACATATCAACGTATATGATAGGCATGCAAAATACAGGGCAAAAATTTGACGGGACTCCATATTCCCTTCGAGCTTCGAACGTATGTGACAATCAACGATGCAAACTCAGCCCAAAATGTTGTCAACTAATGCAAAATTATTATTCAAGGTTATTTTTCGTCTGAAGTTGGAGAAATATGAATATGAGTCCTGCCTTTAACAAGAACCGATATCCTGATAACCCCATCCTTGTCCGCTTTCACTGAGCTGTCAAGATAACTGTATGTCTGACCTGGCGTAAGATGAGAAATTCCAAGTTCGAAGAGGCCGGCATCAGCTGATGGACAGAGCACTAATTCCAAGTCTTTGGACGTATAAGATCGTGCTTTGGCGATAAGAACGCCAGGATACGTATAAGGCGCGTGCTATAAGTATTAGTAGCGGTTTCTATTAACTTAAAATAATACTCTTATTAAATTAGTTTAGGCAGTATACTAGCTACCTAATATAATTACCTAAGATAAGCTTTTTAGCCTATCTAATAATTATATTTAATATATAAAGAAAACTTAAATATATTTACTAAAGAATAAAAAGGCTATTTTTATTACTTATTATAGCTTTTTAACTTAATATTAAAAATACTTTTTAAGATATAAGCTTATATACCTATTATAAAAATAATTATAGATTAAGGCTATTAGGTAACTAAATACTATAACTATATTAATAACTTTATTATTAATATAGCTATAATACTTATAGCTTATTTTAACTTAATTTATAATTAAGGCTATAAGAAAGGCTATTATATAGTTAATTTAAACCCTTAAAAATATTATATTACTAAGCTTAATAATCTTTATAATAAGGTTATTAGCCTTTTTACCCTGCTTAGCTATAATGCCTTTAGCTATACTAGGTATTATAAGGTCTTTATAGTCCTTTAAGGTATATAAATCTTAATTTAGTAAAAAAAGAATAAGCTTAGGGAGCTTACTTAAGGAAAGTATTTTAAATAGGTATATTATATTAAAAGGTTAAAAGTAAATTAAGGCTTAGTAAATATTACTTTATATTTTATAGCTATAACTTCTTTAAGGTAAATATAAGTTACTTAGTAACTTAAGGAGAAAGGGTAAATATAAAAAAAAGCTTAAATAGACTGGCTATATAAGTTAAAAAGTTAAAGGTTTTAAAGAAAATATATTTATAGTAGCTATATAGTTAGCTATAGAGGAAAAAAGGTTAAAAAGACTAGTAAAGGTTTAAAGAAATATATATATATAGTAGCTATATTATTACTACGAAGGAAAAGTTAAATTAAGGTTAGGGAATATTAAGTTATAAGGTAGTAAAAGATTGGTTATAATAAAGTTATTTTAATATAATAATGCCAGGATATGGCACTTCTGAAAGAATAGGACCTCTCAAAGCCGTTTCAGGCGGACCCTAGGAGTGTTGTTAGATAATACTACTTGATTAATAGTTTTGATGTAGCGCATACCTTCTGGATCATCCGATGATATGCACCGGGCCTGATGAGAGCAGCTGTCAAAGCCGCCAGGTTCATTAAACACGACGCATTCTCAAGGTCAAGATACTGAGACCCCGTTGGTGCTGTATTTACGCCCCGTGCTTGCTCAAATTTATTCACGCAAGCCTCTTTCAACTCTTCATCTCCATATTCACCTGCAGCAATGGCCAATTGAGTATACATAGCATACTCATTTGGGCGATAATTGCCCGCATCAATCTTGTCCGCTCCCACCAGTCCAGTCAGTGAAACCTCTTTTGTCTTGGTATCAAACTGAACTGTCTCGTTCCGAATGATAGCCCAAAGACTTCGGGAGAAGTTTCTCAGCGGACCGCATCCCATCATGATGGCAGCCAAGTCTCCTGCTGCACCGCACAGACCGGGAATGGTGAAACCTGTCAACTCGGACCTTATAGTCAAGACACTACCGCTAGTCTCCGTAAAGTTGGTGTTAAGTGACTCTTCGAATATTGGCAGTAGTACCTCAGTTGACTTTGTTCCAAAGACTCGATCATACAGAACTGCCCCCGTCATGCCTTGCAGATTGCACATGACATAGATCCAGTTTGGCTCATACGAGATCAGGCAGTAAGGACTAGTAGACCATTGTCGCACGAGTGTTTCCTGCAGGTCATGGAGACTATAGCTGTAGGAATGTTTGTCGTCAATATTGAAGACCAAACTTCCAGGCTTTGTGTATCTCATATCGCCTGTATCGGTGGTGTAAAGCATGACTCCCTGAAGTAAGAACCCTGTGACCATGATATTGTCTTTCTTAACTGGATCCCAGTCTAGCGAGAACTTGCCAGTCAAGCGCTCCCACTTCCAGAAATTGAGAACTTTCTAAGTCAAAGATCGCTCAATGACTCTTTGGAAACCTTCGTTGACGTAGCCGTGGGCGTTTGGGGCATAGGTGGATTGGTAAAGGCCAAGCACAAACATCATCTGGTAGATCTGATACCGAAGAGCTGCGATCTGATACTGATCGACGATAGTAAAGCCTGACCAGTCATCTAGACTCTGAAAGGCCTTATCAAAGAGGAACTGCAGCTTCCTGAGTCTCTCAATGCTCAGTTCTTCATCTTCTTCTCTCTTGGAAGCTGCGGCGACGAGTCTGTCGGTCTTGGCAGCCTGGCGCAGAATGAATTCGTTCCTCGCCATTCTCTTCTTATAGCCCCAATTCCTTTCAGCTCGCGACGAGACATTGGCATAAAGGAAACCTGCAAAGAGAATGCCAGGGGCCCAATAACCTGAGTTCTCCCAGATGGTATCTCCGGTAGTAAAGTAGGCTCCCAGAATAGACAAGCTCCAGACGAGGAGAGGGAACAAGATTGCTCCAGCACCGAACCACTATTGTTCCAAGTCAGAAACATATTGTATCAAATTAATTGAGCACGGACGTGGGGTCAGCTTACCGCAAAGAGAGCGAGGGGAATGCTAGCCCAAGTCAGCGCGAACAATATTCCACCAACTACATTGGCGCTCGCAAGATATCCAGCTCCAGGGAATATCAGCCCAAGAGCTGCAGCTCTATATTTCGGTCCTAGATCAACATAGCTCTGGGAAAATATGCCGAGGCTAACGAGAACAAATACTATCCAGACACCAAGAGTGCGGGCTTGGACATTTTTGCGATGAGGGCCGGAACCAACGTTCGGTGGGATAAGATCCTTCACATATGGTCCTGCGCGTGTCAGCAGCTCCAACTCTCTTTCACGCGGATTATCTAATGCCTAACTGACGTCCCATAGGCTTGTTCGTGTTGAGCACTTGACCTTGGCAGACCCATGATGACGGCGATGGTAAGAGAGTGTCTTGTGCAAATACAGGACAAAGGAAATTTGCAGTGCGACGAGATTTGTCCTTTCAACATGCCTTTCATATCCATTAATCCGGGGTAGTATCAGATTACCCCAGACTTTGCGGGGTTGTGATCGTGGGCGATCTGGTCATCCATTTCTGACTATGCCTAAGCTAAATGGTGTATGTGGGGAGTTTGTCAGAATTCTATGACAGAACAACACAGCCAAGATATTTGGTCCAGCACAGACAAATTTTCCTCCAGCTATCTATTCCTTAAGATCCAAGTTCTTATTTGCTATAGCCTATTCCTACCTAGTTAATTTCTGCGCACGCACTCGTCAAACGCTCCAATGTCCAAGGAAATCACATCTCCACGGCCCTACACCTCCGAAGCAGAATGTCTTTAATGTTATTCCCAACTATTCAAAACTTTCGCCAGCGGAAAGACCAAAAACATCAAATGGCGTAAATGGCAGCTCAAGCAAATGTGGTGGATGCTCGTCGACAACGAAAAGGCTATCACCGAAGCACTGGCAGCTGATCTCGGACGTCACGAGTTCGAAGCCCTCACGTCAGATCTGCACGGCTTGAAAACCGATATCCTCGAACATCTCAACCATGTTGAGGAATGGGCAGCTGATGAGCCAGTATCTTGAGCTGGATTCCTCATGGGATCACTAGGAAAGGCGCGCATTCGAAAAGAACCGCTGGGTGTCGTTTTAGTCATCGGTGCATGGAATTTCCCTTTCCTGCTGACGTTGCAGCCTGTTGTCGCTGCTATAACTGCCGGTTGCTGTGTCGCCGTTAAACCACCTGAACTATCAGTTGCGTCTCAGAATCTTATGCAAGATCTTGTAGGGCGATATCTCGGCCCAGAGGCCATTAGGCTTGTCACAGGAGGGCCGCAGGAAACAACAAAACTGCTTGAGCTTAAGTTCAATCACATCTTCTTCACTGGTTCTACAAAGGTCGCTAAATATGTTGCTGCAGCTGCAGCGAAGCATCTCACCCCGACGGTTTTGGAGCTTGGTGGTCAGGGACCAGCGATAGTCACTGCTAAAGCTGACATTGATCTTGCGGCTAAGCGTATCGCATACGCCAAGTTTCTCAACGCAGGACAGATATGTCTCTCGGTAAATCACGTTTTCGTGAATCCAGAGGTTCATGACGCTTTTGTGAAAAGGCTCCAGCATTGGACACAGCAATTCTCCGGTGGAGAGTCGAGTCATATGTGCAAGATCGTGAATAAGCGCAACTTTAACCGTTTATCAGGTTTATTAGGTGAGACCTCTGGGGAAGTGTTTCAAGCTTCTGGAAAGAAAGGGGATAATATGCTTAGTCCAACGGTTGTTACCGACGTGAGCATAGATGGTAAGTGTCATGACTCCCTCGGTGCAGTCTCTGTCTAATCTTCTCGAAAGACTCGCTTCTTAGTGAGGAGCTGTTCGGTCCCATTTGTCCGGTTATCAAAGCGACGTATAATGATGCGGTTCGCCAGACCAATAGGTAAGTGACCAGTCATGACCAAGGCACTAATCGCCTTCTCTAACATGCAACAGTGGTCCTCATCCTCTCGCGATCTATATCTTCAGTTCAGACGGCTCAGAGATCGACTACGGTAAAGCTCTTCCCCACTATAAAACACAATCTCTGCTGACACACTGCGCGCAGTTCTGCAAAATACTATCTCAGGCGGCGTCACTATCAACGATGTTCTCATGCACTATGGCGTACCAGGCGCTCCATTCGGCGGCGTAGGTGATTCTGGCCAAGGCTATTATCACGGCAAATACGGCTTTATGGCATTTACCCATCAGAGGACCATATTGGAAATGCCAACTTGGATGGATAAGCTTATGGCGTTTCGATATCCTCCTTTTGATATGAAGAACATGAAAAACTTTGTGGTGAAGAACAATTTGGGGTTCCGACGGGGAGAGACGATGGAAGATCAGGTGGTCGGGGGCAGTCGGGGGCAGTCGATCATGGGTTTGGGCAGGATTTGGGGTCCTGCTCGCCTCTGCGGTTGGTGTAGCTGTGAAGAACCCTCAGATTGTTCGCGGACTGTTTTTGTATATCAAGAACAAAGAACATAGATGGCCTCTATTAGACAGTAAAGAAAATAGTCACCATTTCCTCAGCTCATCACTACAAGGATATCTTGCTCAGAGAAAGCATGCCAATAGACGATTCCTTTGTCCACTTCTGAATAAGTAACGCCTGCGCCTCAACAATAATCCTTTCTACTACTCCGTGCTCAATACTGCAATCTCTAACCCTGCCATCAACCATTTGGGTTAGTCATCATAACTGTGTTGTCAAACAGGACGTGTGTCGGAGTTTACGAATTCCTTTCCTCATTTGACATTAGTGCCTTTCCGGGATCCAGCGCTAACACCCGATGCAGGAACTTCCCCAGCCAAAGATCTTCTTGTAATTATGCCTCTCATTCTTTTCTGACTGTACTTTTATTTATTTTCCGTGTCATGTATACGTGACATTACTTATCCCGGTGACAGCTTATGCATAAACGCTCACTAGATCACCTGCCGAATTCTTCACGTGCCAATGTGTCACCGTAGCACAGTTACTACTCAAGGATCGCCTCCGATCCGTCAATCCGCCTCACTGAGCACTGCTCGCATTTTATTTATCTTGTCTGTACTGTGTTTCATTACCCAGAAGAAAACACTAGCTCAGGCAAAATGATTCCTCCCAACGCTACTAACTATGTTTCATCTCTTCTCTCAGAGGCTCATTGGCTCACACAGCCATTACTTGATGGACTGTCAACATCTCCACTCACTATACCGGTTTCATTAGCATCTGTACTAGGCCTCGGCTACCTGGCAAACAAAATTCTAGTCAGCAGGGCTCTGAACCACGGCACGAAAGCCTACTTCGATTGGAACAAGGAGATTGTGTTGGTGACTGGTGGATCAGGCGGCATTGGAGGCGAGACTGTACAGCAGTTGGCCAGTAAGGGCATTCGCGTGGTTGTCCTTGATGTACTTGCTTTGAACTACAAGGCTCGTGAGTTATCTTTCCTTTCAAAGACTTGCCGGGACTTACCACAGACAGCATCCAATGTTCACTATTATAAATGTGACCTAACGAACTACGAGCAACTACAAGAGGTTGCTGGAAGGATCAAGAGGTAGGGTGTACCATACGAGCGTATGATGACAATCACTGACTTACTCCATTAGCGAGGTCGGCGAACCTACAGTAGTTGTAGCGAATGCTGGTGTCTGTCGTGGAAAGCCCCTTTTGAAAGCCACCAAACAAGATATCGACCTGTTAGTATACAGCCATGTACAGCCAATGAAGTTGACTAACCCGATATGCAGTACAATTGGAGTCAACACTCTAGGTCTCATCTGGACCATCAAGACCTTTCTACCAGCAATGGTATCCCGCAACCACGGCCATCTTCTCATCGTCGCCTCGCAAACAGGATTTTTAGCCACCGTCGGCATCACCGACTACGCAGCTAGCAAATCAGCAGCCATCGCTATCTACGAAGGGTTACATACCGAGATCAAGCACGTTCACAAAGCTACCGCGGTCCGCCTCTCGTGTGTCTCGCCGAGCCATGTACAGACTCAGATGTTCACGGGTGTCAAGTCTGTTCCTGGGATGTCTACCATGACGACAGAGTATCTGGCGAACAAGATCTGCGGTATCCTCTTGAGTGGAAGGGGTCAGAATATTATTGTTCCGGCTGCGGCGGGAATGTCACCTTGGGTTCGTGTGTTGCCGGACTGGGTTCGTGTTCTTCTGCAAGATGCGGCGGCTCCGGCTTTTACAGACTTGAAGCCTCATGATCCGTTCAAAAAAACTGCGTAAACAGACAGTTCATTCCTAAGATAGTTCATTGATCAATAAATCTTATATGATGTATTATTTGCAGTTGAAGCTCGTGGCTGAGATGTTGAATCAACAGGGAGAACTTAGTTGCAGTTTAGAACATCTCCTTCTGTGGTGCAATGGGTTTCACGTAAAGCCATGCGATAGTGTTTAGTGCGGTGAGGTTCAGAAAATATTTGCAAGACATGGCTTTTCGTCTACGTAACTTGCCTAAACCAGCTCGACTCAGGATAGGTATATTAACTATAGGATAACTACGGCCTATAAGGTGAAGCTTTAGGCTACAAATATAAATAATAA